CAGGGCCTGAGTCTTCATGCAGATTTGAAAAAAAAACTCTTCCTAGCAACATGTACAAGGATGCACTTTAAAAGTCTTTAAGAAGTGAAGTAAAATAAAATAAAATAACAATGATGAGAGTGGGATTTGAACCCACGCCCTTTCGGACCAGATGGACAACATATTGCCTTAGTCTGGCGCCTTAGACCGCTCGGCCATCTCACCTTGCCATCAGTGATGGCTCAGTATCATGAGATTCAGCTCATCATCAAATGAATTAATGTGATGTTATAAATGCGAGGACCCACCAATATGCCTGTGGCTGCCGGCAGAAGTGTTAATTGACATGACCTGTGTCTCAATGTATCAAGATCGCTAAGGCACTAGGATGTTGTCGCCTGCAGTCAGGTGCGAATGACAGCGATGCGGCCACGGGTGAGCGCCGTGTCCATGCTTATTGCGAAATAATTAGTTCTCCATCATGCGCCCACAGATGGCATTCTCATAAGCATCCTTCAATGGACACCTCCCAGTACCATGACGTGCACCAACGGCGTCCACGTACGTGACTGATCACAAAATCGGCGCCTCTCTCGACAGTAGCGCAGCCGCCGTGCTGCATGAAACTTCAAGTATAAGGGGGGAGGACGCACCAGTGACAGCTAATATCATCGCCTTAGTAGGAGGCTAAATATAAACGGAATGGGAAACACATTCATGCAGCTTATAAATGTTCCGTCTATCGTGAGTCACACGCTACAGCGCAATAAATGACAGCTGACATGGGCGCATGCTTGAGCGAACAACCATGGCAGTATAGCGGTACCTGTGAGAGTTTTCAACAATCTGTCACACCCACCCGAGGAGCCGATAGTCTCCCCGTATACTAGTCTATCGCATGAGATGATGGTAGTGTGATCACAGATGTCCAGTATTAAAACGAGAGCGAAATGAGGATTAACCCTCACCGACAAGTCCTTCCATAAACTGCTTCTTCTAGCCTAGCATACACACGATGCGCGTTACCAGGGGCCTACTACTCGCATTTGCCCTCCTGACAAGCCAAACGTTCGCTATACCGACACTTGGTGACGAGTCCGATCGTCCCTGTGCGCAAACCTTGAAGTGTACGACAAATGCTGCAGGAGAAGAGGTTTGCACGTGGTTCTGTTAATGAACGAAAAGGATAAACGGTGAACGCAGCCGCTTGAAATCGAGCTTTTAGGTGATACTGACTGAAAGTTATCCAGGAGTATTGGGTCCGGCAGGTGTGGTGGACCGTAATAACAGATAGCCAAGAGACGATTTAATACTTCGTGCACGCCACGAGGGAACGGAATTGATGGAGTATAGTCTCGCAAATGGTCTGTGCGCACCGAGATATCGCAGTGGTTCATTGACTATACAAACTCAGCACGAGGATGTAGTACATGAGTCAGTATCCGAGATGGTTCAGGGTGCTGGTGGGGCACCCATGGACTGTCTATGACGGCAGAATAGCTGATATCTCTCTACCTGTCGTATCGAGAACCGTGCAAAATATTGCAAGTCAATTTGGCGTCGAGCGCTGAGCTCTTGAAATCACCGTCGAGACAATGGACGAAAACCCCGAGAAGTAAACGCTTCCAAGACCAACAAGTTCGTCGTTGAATAGCAGCCGGCCTCAGAACGGTTCAGTGAGCCTATTGCGAAGACGGTAGTTAGCGGCCACAAGAGCTGAGAGGAGCGATGGGCGCTCATAACGTTTCCTGTCCCCATGATTTGTCAGCAGCTCTCGACCTTTCCTCCGCAAAGCCTTCACTCGTTCCTTCTTGTTGCCTGCGCTGCCCTCCCCATCGTCTCAACCTATCGATCACCGTTATTCGCTGTTAAAGAAATTATTGAGCCTTGTTCGTGACTGCTTGAGTCTTTGCGCGGGAGGATCGGTCTGAATTAACCTGAGCAGGTATCTGAGTTGTCCCTAACGCTCAATCTTTCATGTTCCAATCTTTTTCGCAGGTTACTACTCCAAACCCTTTCATATTATGGCATCTCCACCAAAACCATGGGAACGTGCCGGTTCAGCGGTTGCATCTGCCCCAGCACCATCGCCAGCGCCCACACCAACAACGTCGATGACTCCAGCCAGCGCTGCAGCTAATGCAGCAGGATCCTCCTCATCCGTCCCGCCTTCAGTCCCCACACGCCCAGCAGCTTTGTCCAGTCCATCTGCGGCGCTCGCCGCTCCCACCGCAGGTTACAACTCCGCCTATTCTTCCTACAGCCCTTACAACCGCTATGGCAGCTCCTATGGCAGCTCCTACGGCAGCTCTTACTCACCCTACGGCGGGGCGAACAGCATGTACGGTGGGATGGGGTATGGCGGAATGGGCGGAATGGGCGGGATGGGAGGGATGTACGGCGGCTACGGCTCATACGGGATGAACAGCATGTACGGCGGGATGCCAGGGTACGGGATGCCCGGGCCTGGCGGGCCCCTTGATCCCACGCAGCCGACGCTCACGCAGGCCCTCGAGAGCACGACGCAGAATACGTTTGCGCTCCTACAATCTATTGTGCAGACATTCGGAGGCGTCGCGCAGATGCTCGAGAGCACGTTCTTCGCGACGCACTCGAGCTTCTTCGCCATGGTCGGCGTCGTCGACCAGCTCGGACAGCTGCGCGCTGCGCTGGGCAGCGTGCTCGGGCTATTCGGTCTCGTGAGATGGTTGAGGGATTTGCTGACGGGCCAACGCAGCGGGGCTGGTGCGATGCGGGGGGAGTTTAGGGACTTTGTGAATGGGCGGCCGGTCACGCCGCATGGACAACTGCCAGCACCAAAGGCCAGCAAGAAACCGCTTGTCATCTTCCTTCTCGCCGTCCTCGGCGTGCCGTATGCGATGCATAAGCTCATCAAGGTGCTTATGGCGCGCCAGCAGGCGCTGGCCGAACAGCAGGGCGGAGCGCTGCCACCGCTCGACCCCTCGCAGCTCACGTTCGCTCGCGCTCTATATCCGTTCGATGCGTCGTCACCTGCGGAGCTGTCCCTTAAGGAAAACGAAATCGTTGCTATTATGGGCAAGCTGGATCCTGCGACCGGTGCGGAGGTGGACCCTCGGCTGGAGGTACGTTGCATGTTGTGTTGACTGTGCATGCCAGACTGACGCTGTGGCTACAGCTTGAGAGTGAGTGGTGGAAGGGCCGGACGCGGGATGGCCGTGAGGGCTGGTTCCCGAAGAAGTGGGTGCAGGTCTTGGAACGGCGGAAGCCCATCGAGGCACCGCCACCGACCGCTGAAGGGAAGAAGGTGGAGTGAGATGTGGGGTTATGTGAATGTAGTCTCTCATTTCGTTCATCTTGGTCATCTGTTGGTCCCTTCATTTAGGCTCCCTGTGCTGCTGCGTACTCATCGTTGTGTTGTTAGTTTTGGATTTATGATCATCATGTATGCATACCCTTTACACTATCTATGGCATGTTCTCTCGCGATGACTCTTACCTAGGAGCATATTCTCATTCTGTATCCTCCTCTGACCTATTCGCTGACTTTTGGTAAAGACTGCGTGCGCCTTCTGTCGTACTGATAATCCTTCCAGCTTTTGTTCAAAACATCGCATACAAGATACATTGACTGGTACGATTTACACCGATATAGACTTCGATTTGCCAATGATGACTATTGTTGTGCAGATTCTCCATAACTATCTGCTCGGGCATACCGCGCGAGCGCGCCGTCATTTCATAAAATTCCACAATGAGCCGGACATCCTGCAGACAATATCAGCTCTTCATTTCCTCATCTGAACCGCAACATAACTCGCCATTTAGCCCTTCGGATTGCACTCTTCCTTGCAGACCTCTCCATCTGGCCCCATCGTGCAGATGATAGTGAGGGCACACCGTTGCGTGATGTCAGCATAGGGCGTCGGCTTTGCTACCGCCGTCGGTGTCCTCGGGAGGGCGAGCGCGAGACTGCCGAAGAGGGAGAGCGAGAGGAGAAGAGCGTTGGTTGACAAGCGCATCGGTAACTTTCGAATGGATGTTGTTTGGTGCCATTTGTTTTGACATCCCGTTGCAGCTTAAATACGGAGCATTTCTGGCGTTGAGTGGCCACGAGTCATGCATTCAGTTCGACCTGCGTGTCAGTCGGACAAAAAGGTGGCGACGTCAGGTGAGGTCTGCAACGTATTGCGACAAGTTGTTTCAGACTGGTTGTTCCGCGTTCTAGTGGCTATTACCGGTCTAGTACGGTCCATCTGGTGAGTGTGCGTCTCGCTGTAGTTGTAGTCTGAGTCATGGCTCATCCACGTCAGAGTTGTCACCTCTGCCGCTGGCAAGGCACACAGCCGGATGCCCGTGGACTACGTTACGAAGATGGCCAACTTGTAGCGGCAATTCAATAGAGACGTTAGCGCTGTTGCGGGCACAGCCACCAAGTGAGCCTAGAGAGCTGCCTGATCTGTCGGGAACTTGGGCGGTCGCCGTGGCACCGTAAGCGCCCCTTACGTTGAGACTCGCTCCGAGTCAGAGCAGCAGCAGCGCGAGGACATTCCTGATCATCTAATGCAACTAGCCTACAATGTAAGATTGACAGATGGGTGATGTGCAAGAACGGGCGTGTTTAGCCTCTTTGTCACGAGCTGCGACACGAAACTATAAGGTGTACGTGCTCAACGTCTGAAAAGTCCGGAACGTGTTCTTGATTGCTTACAGATGGCGAAGCAGGTCAGGGCTTGACTCCGTGCTATACGTGAAACACCTCATTCTCATGCACTGTGCACCTTGATCAATGGTTCATTACGCTCTTTTCGAAGTGCTGATGTGTTCACGGGTCTTTTCAGACTGCTATTGGCAATCGGCAGGCTATGTTGAAAATTATGCTATAACGTTTTTCTACTCCACAAGTTTGCTTCTTGGCCCACACTCGTGTACGTCCTTCCGTAATTGCATGCGTGTGCGGTACGGTAAAGTATCTCGGACAGTGGAATTTTGGAAGCGGACTTCAACAACAGTTTTCTTTTTGTGATTCGTGCTATTTTACGTCTTGGATTATGCATGTGTATGTTATTCGTTCATCGATGCTGCACTCCCCCCCCCATCCCCTCCTTTATCTAGGTTCTAACATTTCAGACGAGTCGTATCGGTCGATCCTCGCTCCCAGTTCCTGATATGAGCCAGTTGGAGATGATGGTTGAGTGTCTGCTGCATATCTTTAGGCAACCTGGTGAACGACTCACCTTCATCATTAATCGCAGACAGGCAAGGTGCAGTCCTCCCCAACCGAGCAGACGATGTCTTCGGGACATGGGTGGATGATGTCGGAAGTGGGCAGGGCTGCGGCTTGTCCTAAGAGCAGGACGAGCGAGAGAGCAAGGCTGGCAATGGAAAGGCGCATGGTGGTGAAGAGCTTGGAGCTAATACTTACGCCGCGTTTCAAGGGATTTGAAACTGTAGCCGCAATCCCCACGGCGGTTGGTCGCCTTTTATACGGCCTGAAGTTGAGGTGGGGCATTCTTGATGAGCCGTTACCGTACGAAGCGGGCATTGTTTCATATCCCTCATTGAGTGCTGACCGCTAAAGGAGGCGACGGAATCCCAACAGATGGTCGGTTGCAGAGCACTCTGACGAATGGATGCAGGCGCCCGCTATGTCACACAGAATGGGGACGGCAGGAACGGTGTCGTCTCATATCATATCCGGTGAGTTCCTGCGCTGGCATCAACATTGCGTTCGCTCCGGAACGCATCAATGACAGACACGCTCACGTTGTACAGGTCGTATCACGACGCCTGCCCGGGCGGGTGATGGAAGATGTATCGCGCATCTCATCCTTCAGTGCTGCATTGCCACTTTACGGGTCAAAGAAATGTGCTCGTCTCTACTGAGATCATGCCGGATAGCTCGCGCATCCGGAGGTGGGACAGTGTGATGAACAGATACTGATCATCGCCAAGTTCTATGTGAGAACAAAGCTCAAGCATTGAGATATGTCGGTTGAGGTGATTTATCCTACTTCCAAATTACTCAGGAACGAACTTATCGTGTCCACACCGGTGGACGGTGCCATAGCCCTCCGCGTTTGTCGCATGCTGACAACCGCGCCTTGTTACCAGTGTCAAACATATTGAGTGATCCGTGTGATTTTTCGCGGCGCGATGCTCAAACATTCAAAGGGAGGACTTGAGAGCTCCTGTATGAGCCTCATCGTGAATATGCATGTTTTTATCGGCACGAACCACAGATATCGAAGGTCATATATTTATATTCGGACTGTGACGAAGCATGCTGCCAAACAAGACATAAGCTTATAGCACATTGAGAGGATCTTGTTCAGCCGTTATTTTTCAGTACCTTCCCTTCGCTTTATGTGCCTACTTGCATAACGTTGGGCACAGTGGATAAATCCCAAGTACCTATATATATATGTGCGCCGTAGAGTACCAGGTCGCGTTCGCAAACACGATCATGTGAAGCCAGCGCTTAGCATGCGCATGGCCGCTTGCGACATTCCCCAATGCTCTCACTACGATTCTTCTACGCATTTATGTTGTGAAAAGAGCTGCAAATTGTGCCCTTGAGCTACTGCCCGTTCTGTTGATGAGGACAAATCTCAGTAACCAGTTCACAGATCACGGATCCGTCGTGCAAAGACTAGTCATCTTGAGCAATTCGCGCCGGCTCGACCGGAGCCAGCGACGGGACCAAGTTCGTCATTCCTTCCGCTCGATGCTCTTTCTCGTTGGCTCAGTCTACTCGCATACTCTGTGCCAGCCGCAGAAGCTGAGCTGCTGTCGCGGCGGCCGGCATGTGTGGACTTACCGTGCACCGACCTGCGTATCTCTAAGACCCACGGTCTGGTACGGTGTAATGCAATAGCGCGGTGCGCCTATCAGCTACTGGGAGATGCACCAAGTGCGGACGTTCCTACGTTTGCCGTGCCGTGAACCTAGTAGGCTTCTTTGTTAATCTCGCTCCTGCGGCTTGAAGATTCGCAGCGTCATCCGACTTTTTTCAAACGCGGATATACATGCAGAAGAGCCGATCCACAACGACATAGGACGTTAGAGAATTAGGTGAGAACCCCTTTACCATAGAAGCTCAGATATTGCAAACTGCCCCTGACGATCCGTCACTCTATAGGCACCCGCAACTGTGGATCAGGACAGTGGCAGACAATCCTGAGGAAGGGCTGATGATTCTGTGTTACCGACGGACGACGCTTGTTTCTGGTAGCCCAATATGAGATCACACAGTGCGAGAGGACTATCGCTCCTCCAGCTTTCCGTTTGCAGCCTAAGCGACCTGATTATCTCCTGGCCAACCCACTGTCCTCATCGCTCATACCATTTCCACGGAGTCACCAAGCCTCGGACGACCACGAAGCATGCCAAGCCAACAAAAGAACCTGAATCACTCAAGATTGCCAGTCTTAGTCTCTCACATCACAGTTCTGTCGATCGCTGGCAGGTCCCTGGAAAGCCATCAGACAAAAATATGAGCACGAGGCCTCACCGTATGTGTCAAGCACCAGGGCTGTTAGGTCTAGCCGGACTTCATCAATCGCCAGTTTTAAACGGAGAACAGCCCTCAGCGTATCTGGGGAAACGTCAAGGGCAGCGAATGCATGACAAGTGAGTTTTGATGGACGCGTGATTGCTGTCCACATCTAAGACATAAATGGGGCAGGGAAGAACTGCTCTTTTCTCATCTGCGTCGCTCACTCTCTGCAAGCGCAACAATCCTCCTCATGAAGCCGATCCTTCCTTTCACCCTGTGTGTCCTGGCATCTTTGCAAGCGACTGCCTCACTTCCAATTGCTGACACCATTGGTGAGTTTACTTCATATCCCGCCCATCCACGCGGACATCCTTCTGCGTCCGGAGCGTCAAGTTGGACGTCATAGTCCCTGTCGTAGCAATCTTTTTTCCAACCTCACTGACACAGCGTTTCCTCGTAATTGATAATCCTGAAACGCGAAGATGATGACTCTCCAGCGTATGGGTTCGCAGAAGAGCCTGCATGTGGGTCGACCATGTCTTTCTGACCACCGCCGGTCATTCGTTTGCGCACATTCTGCAGTCCGCAAGCGAGAAGGGCACGACATACTCCCCCATCGATTGTTGTGAGTCCGACATCGAGGATGATGTTGACAGTAGGTAGCTTCAGTCCCTTTCAAAGGTGTCGTGGTATTTACAATCGTCTTGTTGCAGTCGTTTGTGCATTGTGGTAGACAGGAATGCGCATTGTTTCGTTTATGATGACATTTACATCCTCAGGTTGGGTTCCATGGAGTCACTGTGCTGCAGCTGGAGAACAGCGAATGCTATGTTTCCCTGACCTTTGCAGGAGAATATTATCGTATTGTGTCTTTCAGCCATTCGTACGCATGAATGATAGTGCGCAATATAGAGATGAGAATTTTTCCTCCGTTTGTCGATAATACCCGCACAGCACCCGCTTACGCACAAATTCGACAGCATCCTTCTCAAAAGCATCTCGCACACAATATCCCAAGAGTACTGAACCGCACAAGAACAAGGCAGGACGACGGCAAGTTCTAAACTTATATATATGCACAGTAGATTGATCATGCATCGTCACTTCTGTATTGTCACAGGAGCTCGTAATTTTTGGCGCACGCTAGTTTCCCTGCTGTGGCCGACGTGCCCCCAGCAGGTACTTATCCCGAGGGCCACGTAAAGGCCTGCGCCAGGATCGACCACAGGCGGTCGACCCCTACCTCGGGCCCCGTTACCCCCGCACCTGCCCTCCGCTCCCCGCCACCCGAGAAGATGAAATGTTACCTGCCGCGGATCATTCTATATCCGCAAGTCTTTTATAAGCTTGCTGTCTTACCACTGTATCTTCGGCTCTCTTGCAGAAGGCAACCCGCTGGGGGTCGGCGCGCCGCCCTCACTCACTTCCGCCCACGCGTTGGGACCTCAGGCGATATGGTCGACTACGAGGAAAGCGTCGGGACGCACCCATGCTGATTGGGCTTCTCGACGGCCCGACAGGTACTTGTCCTGCGACTGCAAGGAGTCAGCCACATCATCACCATTGAAGAGCGGAGCGCACTTACCTAGGCGATGAGACAAGGGATGGTGGATGCCGAGCTGTGTGTTGTGGGATAGGGCGCCGATGCCGGCCACCGGCGTGATCTGACCGACAGCTACATACTTTTTGTTCACGCCGAACACGACCGACGTTGACAATGTGTTGACGCCACATTGGCTGACCTTACTCTCACATCTGGCGTCTTGATTGCATCTTCACCTCCCTTGGACGAAGAATCCCGCCGGGGAATCCATGGGCCGCGCAGAACGCGCGTTATGCCATCCCCACCCAACTTCCGCCCACACCTTGGCTCCCCCGGCGAACTAGCCAGGGGAAAGGCATCGGGACGCACCACATGCGGCTCGGGGTCTCGTCGGCCAGACAGTGTACCGTACCGGCACCTGCGACTGGGGAGACGGTCAGCAACATCGTCGACAATGAACGCCACAGCGAACCCACCTAGAGAACGGGATCAAGTGTTGTGGGTGTCGAGTTGTGTGTTGCAAGATAACATGCCGATGCCGTCCACCTAACCGACTGCTACATACTTTTAGTTCACGCTGAAGACGACTGACGTTGACAATGTGTTGACGCCACATCGGCCGACCTTGCTCTTACATCTGGTGTCTTGCTTGCGTCTTCCGCCTCTCTTGGACGAGGAATCCCGCCGGGGAATCCATGGGCCGCGCAGAACGCGCGTTATGCCATCTCCACCCAACTTCCGCCCACACCTTGGCTCCCCCGGCGAACTAGCCAGGGGAAAGGCATCGGGACGCACCACATGCGGCTCGGGGTCTCGTCGGCCAGACAGTGTACCGTTTTGGCACCTGCGACTTGAGAGAAGGTCAGCAATGTCATCGACAATGAATGCCACAGTGAACCCACCTAGAGAACGGGATCAAGTGTTGTGGGTGTCGAGTTGTGTGTTGCGAGATAAGATGCCGATGCCGTCTACCAGCATGATCTGACCGACTGCTACATACTTCTTGTTCACGCCGAAGACGACCAACGTTGACAATGTGTCGACGCCACATCGGCTGACCTTGCTCTCACATCCGGTGTCTTGATTGCATCCTCGCCTTTCTTGGTCGAATAATCCCGCCGGGGAATCCACGGGCCGAGCAGAACGCGCGTTATGCCATCCCCACCCAACCTCCGCCCACACCTTGGTTCCCCCGGCGAACTAGCCAGGAGAAAGGCATCGGGACGCACCACATGCGGCTCGGGGTCTCGTCGGCCAGACAGTGTACCATTTTGGCACCTGCGACTTGAGAGAAGGTCAGCAATGTCATCGACAATGAACGCCACAGTGAAGCTACCTAGAGAACGGGATATCGGGTCGGTGGCTGAACTGTGGCGCACATCTATGTGAGCGAACAACTGGGTCAGAGGCATGGGCGGGGAGGAAGGGATGGGAACGTACTTCTTGAAGTAGGTGGTGGTGGTTGCTGGTCAACCAGGAGGGCGAGGAACGGGTCATTTTATAGTGAGCCACCCGGTGTCCCCTGCCTCGTGGCTGACCAGTCCTGTGACTGTGACCCATGCGTCACGTTCGAGCCACCGACGCGACGCGCTGAACCTTAACTCCGCTGAACATATCTCACGTGACCGCGCCAGCCCGCTCAGCGCATTCATTTCTTCCCGGTCCAGTCTACACGTACTCACCTTCTTATTCTCTAGGACGCGGTGCGTAGATACCAAATAAGTGACTACTGCAACAAGAAAGTTCCTGAAACCCTTGGATTTTCTGGTGTGCATGGAACGCGGCTGCGTTATTTTACCACGCGGAAGTTATATTCATGACACTGTGCGTCAAGACGCGACCCATGACGACCAGATAGCTGGTGGTCAACCGTATATCATGTACCGTCGAGTCTCAAGTCAGTTTACTCTCATACGCATTCATCCAATCGTCGCTCACTGGTATACTTTGAGGTTATAGTTGTTGATCTAGTTGATAAACGTCATCTGAGAGCTTAGGCGTACTATTCCCTGCTACATCTATGTGGCTCTCTCAGCACACTTTCAGGCCTTAGCGTACGTTTGCTTCTTCTAGACGATATTGCTCGGTTCACAACATATAGCGACGTCCACGCTATCTAGGTGTACAACCAAAACGACTCAACCACCACAGCCAGTTTTTGTGCGTGCTATTGACCCTTTGCGCGTAAATCCGTCCCTGAGGAGTGCTGATTAACCTCAGCGCTTTGAGAACGTGATACGACTAATTTGCTCACTGTCATACGTCTAGTAGCAAACACCAGCAGCGCACGTTGGCGTCACTGTGCATGTGCCGGTGATAGCACATGGCGGCCTGTAGTCGCTTTCTAGGGTCGGCGCGGGTGTGGCAATGGCCGAGCTGCCGAAAAGGCCAGCAGCGAGGAGGACGATGCTCGTGACGGTGAAGCGCATAGCCATGCAAGCGTTCGAAATGTGCGTCAAAGTGCGGTGTGAAAACGGTGGTGCGCAGACCCATGTTATCCCAGCGGAGGACTTCATTGCTTTTATCTTTAGCTAGCGGTACCAGGCGCAGGCTGACGCTCACTGAAACGTCGGCATCGGACAGCCTCAGTGTGTTGTCAGCATTCGAATTGGGCCGTTCCATCATTTCGTGATGAGGTTACAGCCTACAGGATCATGCGTACGCCTCAACTGCTTATGTGGAGTAACAGCGTCATGGTCGTAGCGAATCGTAGCCTCAGTAGCAGACACGCGTCCGATGTAACATGCCCAATTGCAACAGCGACCCTGGCGCCCTTTAGCGCATCTACCTTTCCACAAAGAGTGAGCGCCTGACTGTTTGACGCTCCTTAGTCGTTTTATCAGATGCGCGGGAGTAGTGCTATAGAAATTATGAGGCGATGGTAAGCTATCCGGCGCCTTGTCCATCTTTCACTGACAATGATCCGATATCGTTCTGCCCAAATTTTACAGTGTCTCAACTTGTCAAGCGCTGCCTGTACATAGTCGGTCGCTATCTCACGCAGTTAGCGCAAACTCTACGTCACATTCAGACATGGGGCGTCGGATTAAAGACTTGAAGTCCCTCCCACAATGAATTAAAAGACCGCTCATGGCATCTCCCCTCAAACCACGGCTCCTCAGGCTCTCTTGGCGCGGGAGGGTAGGGGTTGAATTAGCAAGTACAACTAAGGTTGGACGTTGCTCGTTCTCTGTATGCGTTTCACAGATCTATCTTGGATCGTCTGAGTAAGTAGCTCATCACACGCCTGCATTGCTTAGCTGACGATCGATGTGCATTCATAGCTTGCGCTAATAGCGCTATAAATAGCAGAATCGCGCTCATACGTCGAGGAAATTCGCGATCGGGCTCTGCTCGTAACTATCACTGTCATTCAACACCAGGAACACCGCGCTTAATCATAACGCAGTTGGATAGTGCTCCACGACCAACACAAAATTGGCGACAACGCGGGTATCCTGCAGAGAATGTCCCCATCAACTGGACAACACCAACGGTCCGACCCCAAGCGTCAACTGAGAGCTCTTTTCATCACAGCTTCGCGACATGATACAAGGCTACCAACATACACCGCACGTTGATTTCCCTGCCGTGACCGTCAGCTGAGAACCCGTCGAGCGGCAGTCACCGTTATGGCGTTGGCCGTGACGAATCGTCACGCGACGTGCTTTACGCATATCATGTGGACGCGCTGATCGCCTGCATGATGGGTCAGCGGGAATAAGTACGGCTCATGGTCGCCTTCACGCTCAGCGCTGGTTTTCTGTTCCGGTAAAATGGGAGCCGCAGTGCTTCTGTTATTTGCATTATGCAACATCCACAGGATCTCGGGAGCCTTAACGAAATACGAGTCTGCTTCTGTGAGAGTGGCGCCGTGATTTGACCACCTCGGTGCGAGCCACCCGACCGTGGAAGTGCTAGTTTAGAGGATGCGAACGCTTCCCGTAAACAGCTTACGACTTTTTTTCCAGGAGGTAAACCAGACTCACGATTTCCATGCCCTATCGCAGAACTCTTCCTGTTAATTGCTCACTCGCTCGATCATTTCTCGCTTTGCAGATCAAGAGATTCGACACACCTTCTGCTTTATCTGGCAACAGAAGTCTACCGAATGCCATGATTTGAGCGCATCGTCTCTACGTGGTCAGCTCCATGTTTCATGGACAATGCATCGAACTGCTCAGGATGGATGCAGCAAACTGGTGGATTACTACCTCATAAACGTGATTGCATCCTGTACGTTTCTTCTGCTACCCAGCTGACCAAATCCCAAGTCTGAGTATTCTTACGACAGTTCGGGTTGCAGGTGGTGCCACATCTATTCACAACGGTTCATTCCCTCCCGATGGAGATGATCTCTTTTGCATGCTCTCCCTTGATGAGAGCATTATAAACATAAAGAAACAATTGCATTCACAAATACCTATAGACTTTGACTCGAGATTGTTTCCTATGTTTCCAGTAGCTCTGACGCCGCGATAAACATAATTCAGTTTTACTGAAAGTATCGATGTGGACTATTCACACTGATTGTACATTGACATGACCTGTACAAATTCATCCCTTAAAGATGAATGATAATGATACACAGGCAAGTAGTGATAGAGAGAAGAGCCTAGTGTCCCTGTTGTATCTGACAGGATGGATGACAGATTGTAGGTCATCAACGAGTTTTCCATCTGAGCTGCCCTTGAGACCACCTGTTCGGTGGCCATAGGACAGTTGAAAGGCCTTGGAATCAAATCTCTGGAGAACATAACTATGCTTGGTAGGTTCATCAATTATTTGTTCAGGCAGCATGTCCTTTCTTTCAATGAGCCCGTGCAGGTAGGCTCTCTTCTCGTCATTAGTCGATCACAACTAAGTTATATGCACTTTCACGGTGTTCCAATGGCTTCGCCTCCATCATCATCCACACAATCTCGCCATCATAGTCCTCGTGCGGTGTGGCAAGCAGACAAACTTCTCCACAGACACTTCTTTGGATCTGCCAGCAGGGAGCATAGGCTTCATCAGACCAGCTGAGCTGAAGCAAAAAGACATATGAAGCACTCACCAGGCTTCACCGCAAGCAGCACTTCCTCCTCCTCAATCTTGAGGCCTTCCACTTTATCCTTCCATCAAGCTGCTCAATCATGTCACCGTCATCGAGATTGATATCCTTGCCAAAGGCTTTCTCGCTGGTGTACGAGGTATCAAGTGGGAACAAAAGCTCATATGTCACCATTGTCAAGGTTGAGATCGATGTCTGCCAAGGACATTAATCTTGATGACAGTGACATGTGAGCTTTTGTTCCAACTTGATCCTTGTATACCAGTGAGAAAGCCTCAGTCCTTGCATCTCCACCCTGCGAGTTCGCTGGCGCCAATGTTCTTGAGCTCATTCAGTGCCTGCTCCTTGACTTTCTTCTGCAGGTCTACAACATCGAAGCTGGGGGCATCTGCTAAGACCAGGACCTCGATGAACCCGGGGGAGGGCTCCTTTTTGTGATTGATGAGGATACATCAATCGATATTGGGAGGAACCATGATGCTGGAGGAGGTGGTGGTAGTGGATGGCTAGCAGCAGAGCTGGGTGGTGGTCAGCAACAGAGCTGGGGCAGCGAACGTTCTCCCTTACGATCAACTATACTCGTAGTCTCGGCAAACCAAAGTACGACTCGTTGAAGAGAGATACAACACAGCGATGCAATATAGAACCTTGCAAGTTCGCAACCGATGATGCTCTGGATTCATACAATAGACAATCAACCACTGATTTCCATCACACGCCGATTCTTGAAGGGGCGACCGTCCCATTCGTGTCCATCCTCATCCTGAGCATCGGCACTTCTCTTCACCCCCCCGTCATGGGCAATCACGATGGCATCGGATTCGTACCACTCACGAAGAGAGGGCCGAAGCTGTGGGGATGGGTTCATCAGCCGTTTTGTGTACTCTTTGAGACCCGGGACATCCTCAAAGTCGAAAAGAAGGAACGACAGGAAGCTTTGGCCGCACGAGTACCTATCAGCAAGAAAGGGATCATACGGCCTTGCTGGGCGGTTGTCCTCTTCTGCTTCGTCTTCGTCTTCATCTTCACGTTCAATTTCCGGAGCCATCCAAGGAAAGGTTCCGACGTAGTCTGTGCATACGGGAGAGTCGCGCGAGACTTCAACGGCGACATCGAGATCAATGATCTGAAGACAGAACTCGTCGGTGAGGACCATGTTGCCGGGTTTGATGTCGAGATGGGCGATCGAATGATCGTGAAGGAATGTGACGCCCTTCGCGAGACCGACGGTCAGCTTGTGAAGCTGGGTTTTCAGGACGCCGGAGGTAAACGTTTTAGAGTACAGTTCCCTCCAGACGGGCTGTCGCATCGGGAGAACGATGCATTTGCCCACACTGGCGTCTATCGAGTCGATCAACTGGATAATATGCTCAGAGCCAGGGGTGAAGGAGTTGAGCTTCTCGAGGAGGCGGAGCTCCTCCTTGCAGCGAAGCTTCTTCGCAACATATAGCGTACCGCTGGGATCCGAAGTCTTCCGAACCGGAAAGATGGATTTTGGTCTCTGTTGAGTGGGACTCCATTATTAGATGCAAAACGAAGATGATATGTCGGACAGCTCATACCCTGTGTAAGCCGAAATGGAAAGACGGCACCAAAACATACTGCTCGGCCGTAAACTCCTGGTCCTGGTTACCTCGCGAGCCGTCACCTGCCTTCTTCTGCTTTGGGGGACGTTGCGCATGATCTTGGTCCTCATTAGAACGCTTCATGGTCGCTAACGGGACACCACGAAAAAACTTCGAAAGCATCTTGCCCGAAGGCTTGTTCTCGTCGATCAAGAGGTCGATGTAGTTGTACAGCACTCGCATGAAAGCCTGGCAACTGGCTAGATGATACAGGTCGAAGCCATTCTCCACGTATTTGACATCCGAATCGACCTGTGCGATCATTAGACTCAACCGTACCATAAGCACTGCAAGTTGCCTTACCTTCGCAGGGTCTTCTTGGAAGAGATAGTAGAGTTTCGCTACGCAGGTTTCTGACACATGGAAGGCAACAACGACAGCGCTCTCATCAAGATCTTGATTCTTCAGCTTAGCGTTTGCATTTGCGTTTGCAAGGCGCACGTGATACGCTCCCTCGCAAAGCGCGCCGATATAATCGTAATAACCGTTGTAATCGTTGTCGCCGTTTCCAGACTGAATTTCCCCCAAAAGCAGAACGTGCTCGTCCCTCCACCACGAGACGTTGCTCTTGGGTTCGTACTTGCAAAAATGTTTGTCTCCCTTGGCACCGACTTGCACAGGCACTTCCGATGAAAGCGGCCATGCTTTCGAGCCGCTAGAGGATGATAGATCGGAGTACACCATGTGAGAATGTGTTTAGATCACACTTACAACTTCATATCCACATCAATGCTATTTGTTCTTGCCTCCACCCTCAAGGACAGATACTGCAATAGAGGAACGAACAGCCTCGCAACAACGATGTGCTCCCTGCCACTCGCAAGAACAGTTGAGTTCCATGTGCAAAGAGCAAGTCGCCCAACATCTAACATCTCCATCAGCTTCGACTTCGGAACGTCGGCAGCCTTGGGAGCCTTGGAAATGTTGAAGTAGTTTGTCAACTGGAACTTCTCAAAGAGAGCTTGTAGATTGTCCGAGTTCACGGAGGACGCGTCGTCGTTGTCGTTTTGGGCGCCGGAGCTCGGACTCTGCGAGTGTCTCAGTTTTGCTCCAACCAGTCAGGCACGGGTGGACACGCACATCGTCTTTCCAATGCCGACGCTCGTTCAGCTTGTTGAGCAGATGCTTCACGTTATTTGGTTGCTTTTGCTCTCGCTCTTCTCGAAACACGCCGTTTAGCTCCAAGTCTTCCTGTCCATACGCATTGCTCTTCCTCCTCCGAATGAAGACGCCCCCATACGATTCCTTGAGCGTTTTATCTGGACAGCGTGAGCGGGGAAGGTAAAAACGAGCGATACCACGGAACGCACCCATGCCGGAACTACCGAGTGACGATGGAGTGATTGACGGTTCTATCTGCAAGTTAGATCTCCATCTTTCGGTTTGAACGACGACTTACTGGGTTCTGTTGCAGCGTGTTCCAACGGTTAAAATGTCTGCTTTGTCGGAGAAGGCGGAAACGCACCAGGCTTCTGCACGAGCAGCATCTCCTCCACCAACAGGTCGAGGTTCTTCAGATCCATTGCGCTGGCGAGTTTGGCCACCTTACTCTTGTCGGATAAGGTGACGGTCTTGAGAAGCTCCTCTAGTCTATCCTCGTCTGTGGCGAACAGTTTCGGGTCCATGCATCTCCACACTGCGAGCTCATTAACATCGATGCTGTCGAGGGCAGGTGACACTTTTTCCTTGACCTTCTTCCTCAAGTGGCCAACTGTGTCCCTGGAAGATACAGTGACTTTGAAGGGCGTTCCGATGGGTTTCTTCTCGTGATCAATGAGGAGGCACCAGATATTTGTTATTGTCGTGGCCATGGTGGGAGTGTAGCGCGAAGGCACGAAGCGAACACTCGACCACCCTATGTGTCACCGTCGCTGTCACGCCTCAGAGTCACACGGCGACGCCCAAGAGGCTGGCTGGAATGGGTCGACCTCCGCCTTCGCTAACTCAGACACCGCGCTTGAACAGCAGTCGGGACGCAAGGTACAAATTTCCAACATCACCGCTGCTAATGTACGCGGTCTCCGTCACTGCGCTGTTTGCCACCCTTACAACTGTTCGGACGATCGCAGTCGACGGACGGTGTTCTCTTGTACGCTCGATAGGATCCTGTCGCTCAACCTAGTGCGTGCTCGGTTTACGAATGGCGGCTACACAATTCTTCGGGGGATCGAGGTAGCGCATCTGGCGACGAAGAACACGATAGAGCTCAGTCCAAAGTCAGCCGACCACTGTCCCTCTCAGATCTCTCAACGCGTTCCGTGATTGGGAAGCAGTCGTTCGTGCGGCTCAGCTCTTGCTCTAAAACCATCCGCAGGCATTCTACCACCGCCGTGGTCTGCACACCCCATGAACCACCTTTACGCTTAACGACAGCAATCTTGTCAACTCCTACAACGTTACGCTTGGCCCACCAGTTCTTGTATTCGTCACAGTCCATACGCAAAGTCAGTGAGGTCCGGTCTGTTATTTTGTTGCCTGAAGATTGTGAGTCGTTCTCTTTCAGCTTTGTCTCAATCGTTGGTAGTCTATGTCGCCTATCAGAAAGCATATGTCTCGCCGAGGTCGAGCATCCGGCGGTCATTGATGAAGCTACGCACAAGCTGAACGTCGGCGGCCTGAGTGATCCGCGGATGGGGACCACATATCGGAGAGAGGATTCAAGTGCCAGGCCTGTGCGGAATGCATGCCGGAGTGTCTTGAACGCGGTGCGTCATACCTATCTTCCATGAAGTGCATGCACTGATCGCTGATTCAAAGTAAAGGGAGAGCCCTCTGCAAGAACTGCAGGAAGTTGAAATCTGGGTCCGTGAGCGACCGTCATTCGCTGATTCTCCGTTTCGTAGCCCACCAGCCAAAAATGTTTTGAGGCTCTCTGCATGAGCATGGAGAAACTCAAACCCATACTCATGCGTAGTTCTCGAAATTTGAGACACTCTTCAACCCGCAACGAAGGTCGACCTGTCTGTCTGTCACCCTGACTCAGCTTGTCGACCACTGCATGTGCGGCTGAACTGGTCGGGCCGTAGGGTATGGGTGAAATGGGGGCAGAACGAGAGCACGAAACATCCAAAAGAAGTGAACAGGCATAGTCATTAAACGCTGTCCTCGTCAAAGATGAATATGTCGGGCTACCCTTGGCTGCGACGCAGCAGAAAGGATGTATCTCAGACACGCGCCGGTCGATTCTATCTTTACTTCCCATCTCCCGCCCATGTGAAGCAAGCCACCGAGGATGAGTACCAATCATTCCATGTCTTGATGGACTACCTTTTGTGCTGCAACCGTTTGCCTTCAGACGGAAAGCGACTTTGCCGCAAGAGTTCGTTACGCCAGGGACCCTTAGCACCGAATGGCCGCCGTCTGGAGCTAAGACCGTTTATGAGTCAGACCAGGATGAGGGCGAGAACGGCGAAGCTCTGAAGCAGATGCATGGCAGTTGCGGCTACGTTAAACAGCAGATCAGGAAGGAGCGTCTGACATTGTATGAGTGGTCGAAGAACGATGATGACGAAGAATTAAAAGTCACACAACCATACAAACGCCTATTTACGCGTCGGACGTCTCTGACATCCTTAACAATTCTGGAGATCGTTCGGCGATGAGGAGGAAGTACCTGTCCACATCGTCACTGAGCTCGAGCAGTTCGAGCAGAAATAAAAGCATGAGACACAAAAAAAGGATGTGGGTACTGAGTTACTTTTTGTAATGGGGGAAAAGGCTTTACAAGATCTTGAGGTTTTAGTAACAGTTTTACGGGATAAATATGGCTTAAAATGCTCGAGTGAGTCCCTTGCACTTTGAAGGAGTGGTCATTTGGAGAAATCTGAGTTGCGGTCGCTGGATTCTGCAGCTTATTGAGACGCAAGTGAGTGTTATTATGAATGAAGTGCCGACGTTGCTCTTCCTTTCTGCCTAGTATAATGACTAGGGGCACAATTTGTCTCATTGCAACATGTGCATTGCACAATCTGCAGAATCTCTATAAATATGACGAGTTTGGGCTCTGAGATCTGATCGTTGACGGTGTACCTCGCAATGCATGGAACGCGAATTCTGTGCCACGGGAGGCTCAACTCATCATTTTACAGAAAAACAGTACTAGCAGACAGATGTCACAATTACACAGGTCTCAATCGCAAGCACTCGATATAGATCTACTAGCAGACCTCAGAACAGCTCCTCCTCCTCGGGCTTCCAATTCTTCGCCTGGTCCCAATAGCCAGCCAACTTCTGGCCCAGCACCTCCTTCGCAGCCGCATCCGTTGGGCAGCTCTTCGGCTTAAAATTACTGAACGCCCGATCCCTCAGCTGGCCCTCCCAGATCAGCCAGCACTGGTTGTGCTCAAGCGACACCGCTCCCTCCTCGCCATCCACCTGCCTGCCTTTGCCCTTGTCTGCGGGCCCGGCCTCCTCGTCGCCCCCCTCGATCTCAACTTCCTCGCCGCCACGCTCGCGTGCGGCTTCCGTCCACGCGATGCGGCGTAGCATCAGTTTCTTGTATTGCCGGATGAACTTGGATGCTCCCTCTATGTAGACCATGCTGAATGCAGGGTTGAAGATGCACACGCCCGTAAGGCTCATCTGCTCGGCGTTTTTGCGCACTTTGAACCTGTGAGCAGGATCGGAAAGTGTCTTGACCCTAAAGAAGGTAACGTTGTTCAGTGAAGATTATCCACCGCAAAAGATTGCAGACGTACTTGAACACGGCACCGTATATACCCTTCTTCTCCTCTTCGGCCTTCTTATTCTCGATCTTCTCCTTCCGTTGCTCGTCTGTCAACTTCCGCTCGGCATTCATCTTCTCGTGTGCATGCTTTCGCATGGCCACCTCTCTTCTAATCCTCGCTTCCACGCGAGTGGGGTCTTGGACGGCATCCGACGTCAAGACCTTCATGAGGTTGGCAAGACGAACTACAAAATGGAACTGCGTGAACACAAAATATCGCACTGGACTATCGCGGACACATACCCTTCGGCGCATCTGGAGGGATCAGACCCATACGAATACGGTCTCTTTTATCCTGAAGCTCTGCCTGGCGGCGCTGCTTCCTCATCTTCTTTTGCTCCTGCATCATAAAGTCGCGTCAATGCTAGTCTAAATGCTAAGGGAATCCCTAAGCGAACCTTCTTAATGAGCTTCAAGGGCTTCATAGCCAGCTTGTTCTTGTCTCCAGGAGCAGGAATAGGTATCGGGTGCTGAACATACATGGTGATCGGCGAATTGTTGGTGCGGATGTTCATTTGCGCCACTCCGAGCACGAGGTCATCGTAAGTCTTGTTCGGCAGCAGTGCAGCATCCCACCACTCTGCTGCAGGAGGAGGCTCTCGCTGTATGCAGCCGCACGTCAGCACAGGTTATATTCGAATTGTACATTAGTGGGACGAACCCTGATGTTCTTCTCGAGTGTCTCGAACTCCGCGTCCAACCCCGCTTTCTTTGCGCTCTCGGCAATCCTCTGCTTGAGTTGCTCCAGCTGAGCTTCCTGCCGCACCTGGTTCGCGATCTGGACGTATTTTCCTTTCGGGTTGAATCTCAAGCTCCTGCCGACACGCTCTTTTGGAGCTCCTTCGAATCCGCTATCAGGAACGGCGGCAGCTCCTGACGCGTATGGGTTAGCCTTCGACTCGATCGGGACAGCTGGAACAGGTGGCGGTGGCGGTGTCGGAGCATTGCGGACGTTCGCCTGGTGACCGCAGAGTTCAGTAAAGGAGGATATTAGATTTTTGGCAAATGACGATACCTTGATAGACGCAAATTTGGGCTGCATCGGCTTGTACCTATCCTTCTTGGATTGGGGGGCCGTAGGGGTGTTGTCGAGCAACAAAGGGTGAGCGGCCATCTTGAGACCCGCTCCTTGTTGAGCAGGCTCAGGGGGTCGATTCCTCTTTCCTGTCTGCGAAAGCGACTATCACTCTATGTCAATAACAGCGAGTGTGTTCATGGCGTGGCAGCGCACCATGTACGGGTTGTCCTTGACCGCCAGCTTACTCTGCGCCTCCGCCACACGCCTCTTTGCCTCAGCGACCCGACGAGCAAGATCGCTCGGCACCGACGGAGCAGGTGATCCCGCTGTTGGCGATGCCATCACAGGGCTTGCAACCGCAGCCGGCGGCGCGGTCATCGCTGCTGGGGCATTCTTCTTCATTGCAGCAATCTTCGCGGCAATTTCTGCCTTCTTCTGCGTAATGAGCGCCTCGGCGGAGATCTGCCGTGTCGTGTCGTATGAGCATGAATACTGTCCGAAGGATGAATGACGATTGACTTACCGCTGGAGAGGAACCAGGTCCATTGGAGGGCGTCTGAGCGGGCAAAGGCGGTTATAGACACGGATGAAAAACATTGTAAAGGGTCAATTCACCTTCAGCTAAGAAAAAGAGAGCGACTCACGGCATCACTACAGGAAAGCAGTCATCAGCCCCGATACCGTTCCTAAAGACCAAACGACGCACCTTTTGAACTTTTTTGACGAACTAATATCCCCAGAGCCGTCGAAGGGGCGTTTCGAGCTCATCATGCGTGAATAACAGCGTAGCCGACAAGTGAGCTATTAGAAGTGATGGTGGCAGTTCAGAATCAGGACCGCGAACATGCGCTGAGAGGGCGCTTATTATTTCGCTTAATATGGTTCATTTTCCCACGTTACTACAGCTTCGCAGAAAGTGATCAATAGAACGAGAGATATATATTCCTTCGTATTCGTTGCACTCCTCTGTCATAAATCTGTGTTTCTCAATCAAAATCCAAAGAATACGGACATGTGGGTGAATGGTAGGGTCAACTCGGCATTTGGGAAGACGCCATAATGACTTTCAGCCACAACGTGCTGACTAAGCATCCCTGGAGCTGCCTAACGTGAATTGCGCTGAGTTACGTAATCGCGGTCTACTATGCTCGCTCTTTCATCCGCCCGCTCGCTGCTGGCTGCGTGCCGGCCGTCGACGTCGATCTTCTCGTATGTCTCGAGATCGTTAGCACCCGCACTTCCGCTGGGCTTTGCGCGCTTCCGCTCCCAGTTCGCGCCGCGACGCGTCAAATTCTTGAAGCGGCATAAGGGCGTTGTACCCATTCCTATTGGAGGCTCGATCAAGGGCACGACGCTCGCATTTGGAGACTTTGGGATACGGATTAAGGAGAATGGGAAGAGGCTGACTGCGAAGCAGCTCTCGTCCGCAGAGGAGGCGATCAAGAGGAAGATCAAGCTGGTAAAGGGCGCAAAGGTGTTCATGAGAGTGTTCCCGGACATTCCGGTTTGCATCAAGGCAAGTTTGAGCATCGACTAAATTGGAGCATGTGTTAGATGATGTTTTGCAGGGGAATGAAACGCGTATGGGTAAAGGAAAGGGGACTTTCGAATTCTGGGCTACTCGGTTAGTGTCTGAATTCATAACTGTTCGCAGCCAAATGCTCACTCGTTGCATGAAGTGTTGCACCAGGTCGCGTCATCTTTGAGGTTGGTGGTGTTCCAATCCGGGAGGAGGTTGCGCGTGAAGGTACAGGTTCTTGTCCATGCTTTGTGGTGGCGGCTCGACTGAAACTCCCCCAACCGCAGCCCTTCGTCTCGGAGCAGACAAGCTACCGACCGTTATGGAGTTCATCACCCATGATACACCACCACGCCTTGGAAGTCTGGTGGTACCAGCAGAAGAGCTTGCAGCGATGCCGATTGTCCCTGTGCGTGCACCATAGCGGCGACATTGTGGCCTCTGTCTTTTTCATTACCCAATTTTTTCCGCTATCCTGAGTTGTACTCAGATGTATCGATAATCATCACGGCCATGCATCGGGCAAATGTCAAACGTTAGTGATGAACGATTGACCAGTACGATCTCCAGCTTTGCCTGCGCCTACACCATGGACACTTCATTCAGGCACTCCGCATACAACTGCGAACCATGTTTCGCTCACTTTCTCATAGTGACATGAAACACCGTGTCTCCGAGCACCGCAAGTTCTTGCAGTGTATCCACGAGCCGTTTCCATCTTGACACTGGACAGAACGTAGGAACCATGACCCCACAACTAGTCTATCACGGTGTAGCAGTAGGTGTAGCAGTAGCGGTAGCGTCAACAGTAGCATTAGCATCAACATTAACTGCTTTTTTGCTCTGAGTCTTCGCGTTCTCCAGCTCCCACAACCACCGCACATCCCGTCTCACGCTGCCTATCCGTGATCTTTGCCGCCGCTTGTTCAGATGCGACCAATCCTGCCCAACGCCCACCTCCTTCCCGAAAACGGGCTTCTCTTTGGGCTTCGGCGGTACAGGCTTGTTCGTGAGGATCTGCCACCGCCATATACTCACCGGGGCGAGGGTGTGGTCAGCATGTTTCTTTCCTGAACGCGAGAGGCTGTGCAGACGCTTCGCGCGTTCCTCTTTTGGTAGTGCCTCGATCTTGTGCACCTGCTGGATGTCGTTCGAGTTAACCAGCGAGCGGAGCACGACGCGCTTCAGGTGCCTATATATGCAGCAGTAGTCCATCTGAAACGCGTATGAGCAATAGGTCATGCGTCTACTCACTGCATTGACCTGATTATATGCGTCGGATATGGCGGCTCCGTGGAGTGTTGTTTCGCAGCAGCAGCATTCTTCGCAGGAGATTGCAGAATCTCGCCTTTTGCGGCGAACTCCTGCTGCACCGCAAGTTTGTATATTTCGTGCGCGGTGGGCGGTGTCTGCTGCGAGGATATGATGGAGAGAACGAGCTGCCGAGCCTCCTCCGTCGCTGTACGCCGCCCGGATAACGCGCGTAGAATTGAGGCAACTCCGGACATGACCACAAGTCAAGTGGGCGAGAGTCTCAGACGAAAGAAAGAAGGATATATCCTGCTTAACTTATCCCAGTCTTATCTTAAGTGAATGTAAGCTCCAAATCAGGCAAGTATTGATTATCATGCCAGATACTTCGTGGGCGCCTGGCGTTCGCCTTCGACTTGTGCCTCCTCCACGCTGCCTTCATCCCTTTTTGCATAACACCATGCCTCCTCGCCGACATCCACCACAATCCAACGGTAATACAGCTGCGGGGAGCGTAACTAATGCTCGTCCACAACAGACGCCGTCGCCGCTCATACCGATGCAACAGCAGCCTAAGCGGCAGATCGGTATGACGCCCGCCATTTATGAGAACAATATGCGTGTCCTTTTGCGCCGGGAACCGACAATCACGTCCATCTTTGACCAATTTAGCCATGTCTGTGTCTACCATCACAATGGCAGCAAGTGGGAAAAGCAGGGATACGAGGGGAGCATGTTTCTCTTCGAGAAGTGCGTATGGTCTCGTGTAACGCTCGTGTCCGCCATCGTTCATCCCATACAGGCAGACATATCCGCCATACGGCTTCTTTATACTTAATCGAATGGGCACTGAAGATTACATTCGCCCGATCTACCCCGAGGACGACATGGACGTCCTCGGTGACTATGTGATGTATCGATACTACCCCAAGTTTACTCAGGTCCGCGTCGCGATGGATATACCCTATCCTATTCCTCCAGAGCGTCGTGCCGCACTTGAAGCGGAAGTTATGCGTCATATGACCCCGGAGGAGATTGAGGCTTCACGAGATACCAAAGGAAAGGAGTGGAGAGGATCGTCGGTGACTATTGGTCTGTGGATGTTCGCAACGGATGCTCGAGAGCCGTTAAAGGATGTCATGATGCGGTGAGCAACTAGCCACAATTTTCGTTTCCTATGCTAAACAAACACAGGCTGCACTTTTATATCAAGCAGAACAAGCCATACCCGGAAGAATTCCGTTACGGACCAGGCCGTCCACCCCCTCCAAATCCACATCTTCGTACTGCCAGCCGCTCCTCTATCTCATCGGCGTCGCAAGGTACTTGCTCTGACATTTTGATTCAGACCGATGCTTATAAAGCTCTGCTTCAGACGAGGACGACCATCACCATCCGCGAATGATTGCACAGCCTACCAATATGACGCAGGCGGCTGCTTCTGCATATTCTACCGGGGTTGCGCCCACTACAACCAACGCCGAGCTTGATAAGCTTTTCGCGAAGTTGCTCCCGTCGGCTCCGAGCACGCCTGCTCCTGCAGTCCAAGCACCTGCGGCGCAGCCCACGACATCGACATTGTCGATCGACGATCTCTTTGCGTCGATCACAGGGGCAAAACCCGTACAAGCAAGCAAGCCTCCCATACCTGTCTCTGCCTCCCCTGCGCAGGCGACATCCACTCGTGGGCTCGCGCTACTTGACTCAATATTCGCGTCCGCGTCGCATCAGCCTCTCCCCCAACCAGAGCCTCAGCCCACCGCAGACGTCCGTCGTGCTACACCCGTGTACGCTCCACCGCTCCCACACAGCTCGTTGCCCTCTCAGCCGGAAGAGATCCAGATCACCTCCCCTAAGCCACAGTCGAGCACACTGCCGCAGATCTTGAACCAAAACGTCATTGCATCTCTGCTCGGGCTGAGCGCGGGCTCTGGCTCACGCTCATCTTCTGCGGCACCAAGCTCGGCGGGCTCGCGTCGCTCGGGTCTGAACCGCTATGAAGGCGACAACGAGTTCAGCGAAGGTGAGGCAGTGTCCGAATCGGGCTATTCGGCATCGAGCACCGTGTTGGACGCCGACGCAAGCCCGGCCGTTCTTGCAGCCGGTTCGTCATCTGGGCTGCCGTTACTGGCAGCGCTGTCTTTGGGAAGGGCAGCGGCGCCGAATGGACGCGGTACATCAGGCATCGAGGGAGATGTGACTCCTCGTGCCGCTGTCCGTGGGATGGAGCCGTTCTCTCCATCTCTACAGGCGCAGGAAAACTCGCACCTGGCATCCGTGCCGTCCGTTTCCGCTGCCTCGTTAACCACAAGTGATGCCAGCTCCACTTCCTCCTCCACGCCAGCCGAGAATGCCTCGCGGCAGCGGCCGCTCGTGCCTTTCGAGGCCGATTCCGAGCTGTGGCCATACCCACGCGCACCGCTGGAGGAGACTGTTGCGGAAGACGACGCGGACGTGGTGGAGCTCGACTTTACGGACACGCGCGCCCTAAGCGATCCTATACTTTTCTCGAGCCGGTTGAAGGAGAAGCAGAGTAAGCCGGACGGCGCCGAGAAGAAGAAAAAGAAGAACAAGAAAGAGCGTTTGGCACAGCGCGAAAAGCAAAAGGAGGAGATTGAGCAGAGTTGGGATGACCCGATGAAGGGGCAGGTGCGTACTCGGGAGCAGGCGGCGGCGGATGTGGCCGCTACTTCGGCTTCTGCTCCTGTTGTGAACGGTGCCGTGAATGGTGCTGTGAATGGCAAGAAAGCGACAAATGGCGCTCCGGTAGCGTCGAAGACGAATGGTAATATTGCGTGTTCGTCCGGCCGCATGCAAGCTGAGGCTGCGGCGGAAGCTATCATCTCAACTGTGGCGTCGCAGCCTGGAGGAATTGGCAAGGATGTCTCTCGCAATGATTTTGTGCAGGAGCTGCTCACCCTGATTCATGTGAGTTGTTCACCTACGTGCATTGCGCTTAGTGCTAACGGTCCTTCTCAAGACGGACAGGAATTTCGTCGATAGGTTGTGGCATGGCTACTTGGAGCGAGCCGCTTGAGTTTTCTTGTGTTATCAATCATAATGACACTGGCCGTTGCTTTCGTTGCCATACGCTATTGCTTTCACGATATTCATCGTATTTTTGGTACCTCCACGACTTCCTTATAGACGCGATTTACGACGCACATTATCGCTCCGCTCATTTCTATCTAGCAACCTAGTAGTCCTATGTATCATTGTGCAGAGTTTTTGCTGTTTCCGCGATCTATATCGTTGTCGCTTTGTATTGTAGCATCGGTGTCATCTCATCTTGAGTTCTTGGACTGATACCACACGAGTTCATGGATTGCGGATATGTATCACTGATGCCAGATCTCATAAATTGAGAGAATATCCTGCGCGAGGTTATATGTCACCTCAGTTGTCCGGCTGTTTATCCTTGAACACATTGTGCGCAAGGCGGCCAAGACCGTGGCTACTCAGTTTGCACGCACCCCGAAGGCGATAAAGGCTCCGCGTGGTAACAGGTAAATGTCCCTTCCACGAGGTGGCGCCGCGCGTTCGTCCTTCTGCCGTGTAGAATCATCATATACCATATCACAATGGGTACATAAAACATACAGGTTGTGTCGAGATGATTGGTATGCGTAAAACGGAAAGAGACGACACCATGCACAACGTTAGAACTGTAGATTCAATCGCGACAGCGAATGCGACCGATTCTACCCGCTGTCGGGCAACGCTGGCCAGCATTGCGCCGTTTCTTTTCATTCTCCTCCTGAGTGTAGATGACATTGAGGGCGTGCGCGAAGATAGCGGCCAGTTTCACGGCCGTCTCGCGGTGCTCCATCACAAGCTTCGGCACGACATATGGGATGAAGAATTCCGCGCTGTAGCGCGTCTTCTCGGTTTGAATAAGGTTGCCACAGGACCGACCCAGCACCTGAATGCGAAGAGGATGGAGAACAAACGCGCGCACGTTGTCTGCGGTGATGTCGTTCTCGGATTTGAATGCCCAGGGAAATGCAGACCACGATAACTGCTCCAGTTGGGCTCCACGGATTGTTGTGTCCTTCTGCAGGCGTGTCCAGTTCTCTTCATGGACCCTGAAAAGATCTCGTAGAGTCTTCTCCTCGGCTTCCTCGCGAGCTTTCTCCCTCTGCTCCTCCAAAGCCCTTTGCTCTGCCTCACGAGCAGCAGCCTCTCGTTCTTTCAGAAGCAGCTCTTCCTCGCGTCTCTGCTCGATGGCGTCCAGCTCTTCCTCCAGGCTACGCAGACGTTTACGCGCGCGTCTTATACGCAGCAGAAGCTTTCCATACGTAATACGGGCCTCTTTGAGCTGTTGCTGCTCGAACGCACACGCGTCTCTGGCAGCTTGCGCCTCTGCCTCCAATTTTCCAAGCTCCGCCTTCAAGCGCTTCTTCTCCTTGGCATAATGAGCATCAAGCTCTTCAGTAGCTTGCTTACTACTCTTCTTCGTCGTCGAAGAGGCAGCACCAACGGCCTCGGAATCCTCGGCGAGATTGACAACGACGACCTTGGCGGCTGACGTCCCAGACCGGACTCCTTTCACTGGCTTAGGCTCCTCAGGTTCCTCGCTAAGGCGGGAGCCAAATGGAATCCTGGAAAATGAGCTACTCCGTTGTCTAGCAGTCTTTGTCACGTTACGCGTGCGGATAGGACCACCATGAGATGGAAAGATTGCCTGAGCGAGATCGTCGAGAGCGGGAGGCCGCTGGTATGGGTAGGCGAGGAGATCAGGCAATAGCTGACTACGAAGGGCACGAGGCTGAGAGCTGGACTCCTTCGAAGCAATCCGCCTAGAGGAAGATGGAGTCGCCAGACATCTTATTGGAGGTGTCGCGCTGCGTCTTGAAATCGAGCGGGAGGGCCGTCTGGTGATAGTGCGCGAGAAGTACGGGAACTGACGGTGGTCTTGGCACGTCCGCGTGTGGGTGGCATACATTTTCATCCCCGTGGCTGCGGAACATATAACATCAACTTAGCATGAGAGACGCGACGGAAAAGCTGATGTGGCCCACCGCCCAAACACAACGTGCTGTCGAGAGAAACCCAAAAAGATCGTGAATGGGTGGCGCCTTCGAGGTATCCTTGAATGAATAAGCCTGGGGAGGGAAGGGGAAGGCAATAGTCAATGCCAATGTGGCCGTGATCCCTAAATACTGACAACTAGGGTGGATTCCTCCCATGATCCGGCCTATGGCCAGTGCCACACAGGCGGCCATATTCTGGAACATACCGAGAAGAACACGTTGCAACAGAAAATAGACAAGTTCAATTCGTTGCGCCTTGGCATTGTATTTCAGACGGTCCAGCCAATAAGTTCCCGGGTTTCCGGGGAGGGGTGGGGATTGACCGTACATTCGTGCTATCTAGATTTCCAATGTACTTCTCCCAGACGCGAACATCTTCCATTGCTGCGCAAATGCAAAATCAAGTCACCAAAGAGTAGCATTGAAATTATAGAAAGCGATGTCGGATATGCCGCAAGTTGTAAATTACACCGAGAGGAAATGCCCAAGGAAAGCCGTTCACAGTGCAGAACGCTCGTCGCAGTAATTGGCACCTTATGGTGCCCCTTGACTGACAGTGTTGGAATCTGGGCACAGAGCGCAGATGCGAGAGGCCCCGGTGCGACCTGTGCCACCGGCGTGGGAGAGTAGTAGCGCGCGTGTATATAATAGGGCGCGGCTACAATGGGACGGGCCATCGGTTTGGCCCCGTGGAGCCATCTTCTAGAGAGCGGGCGACTCCCGAACTCCTGGCCGCGCAGCGGGCTGGCCGGGAAACTCAACAGACAGGTCACAAAGGACGGTTATGTATTGTATGTTTCGAAGCCCTAGCACATAAAACAAGTTTCAGCCAGCCGAGAGTTGCTGAACGCGAGAGTATAGACCGTGTTGCAGCTAGCACTGGAAGCCACATCACGGTTCGCCCAATGCTTAAGTGACAATCAGCGCGACCACGTGACTTTCGCGTAGAGCGCGTCAAGTGACAGTCCGTCACAAACAAATCACCGCCGCGACCGTGGCTCGGGTCTCGGCGGTTATGAGTATGGCACGTTGTCAGAGAGAATTGAGCCGACCGACACGAATCGCGCAATATGTTATCGCCCGGAGCAAGCTATTGGTATCGTCACGCGAGTAGCGCGGAAGCGGACAGCTTGATCAATACAGGTTAGTAACATCTGTCCATCTCTGAGCGGCTGCGGAAAGAATGTAAGCTGCCTTTGACTCGGCGGTCGGTGTTTTGCATCCTAGTACTAGCGCATTATATCGAGCAGGACGATACCGTTGACAACGATCTGGCTATTCTCCATGGGACCACGCGCCGGCCAGCGCACCTCAACAACGAATCACACGTCGACTTAACTACTATCCCGGCGCAGTGCGGGCAGTAGGGACACTCCATGCCCACTTAGCACCGCAGCATCTAATGTATCATGCGAGCGCGTCCGTAGCTGAAGTTAGCCTACAGTTCGCTTTCAACGCAGATGCGTTTTCGACAAATCAACTGACTCGACGTGCCTTGGCAAAATGCAGTTCCTAACGCCTTCGTCCTCTGCGGCGTAGCTGGAACATGCATCGAGTCAATACGGTGCTCTGCCTCCAGCTATCTGTGAGCGTCTCGTTGTCGCCACCAAACAGCCAGCGCTTTGATCAGAACGTGAAACGGTACACAACTTGCATGGTGCCGGCTCACCAGGTATTGTAGAGTACCTAGTCTTGCTTGTATAAGAGGCCACCGGGTGCGGCTGAGGGGCACAGCTTCCAGCTTCATCTGTCGAAACCCCTCTAGCGGCATGCGCTTCACCATCATAAGCCTCGCTCTCTCGGCCACTATCCTGGCAGGACATGCCGTATCACTACCTACGTCAGATATCATCACCCCATGCCCCGATGTCGTTGTTTGCGCAATTGGACCGAACGGAGAGACATGTACGTGGCCTAGCTGCAATAATTCATGTCCGAGGGTCAGTCATTTGCCACACTACACGAACTGAGACTGCAGGCGCTCAAGCTTATCTTTAGTTGGCCAATAAGCACCCGCCTTAGGCGAGAGATGATAGATGATCGATTGGGTTAGATGGAATGGAAATGGAGAGAGAGAGTGAAGGACTAATGTATACGTGCCCATGATTCACACGATGCCTGTTCATCACCATATCCATGTTCTTCTGTACACTACCGTGGACCCCGATTTTTCTGAAGCAACTCAGGTTAGTAAGTCAACGAAGTTCACTACGACCGACATGGTGTCAAGAGTACTGTAGTACATCACCATCGGCGAGCTGCTTCTGGTCAACCGCGTGACTTGGTGGCATACACGTCTGCGTGCCTTCGTAGACTTTACGGCAAACTGCCGTCGTAAACTCACGCAAGCGTCGGGGATGCTTCGAAACAAGCAGAAACTACTCACGATAAATATCAATCCCCCCGCTAACATCTGGCTCGAAACATGCTGCTCCCTTCTCGCGCTTGCAGACTACAAATAACACACGTGAATATGACGGGTTATCAAAGAGTCGGATTGACGACATGTAACCTCGGACTTGTCGTCAACGAAATCATGTGCCGGATGTCTGTCGTCTTTGAGCTTCTGGACTATCGTATTTGAGGAAACATCCTGATAATGAGGTGAAAGACAGTAGTCATGATGAGGAAGAGCGATATTATGTATGCAACAAGATGTCAGCGAGGACGGATTAAATATCAAATTAAACCCACCGACGGCATCACAGACGGGCTGAGAATTATATTTGAGAAGATGGTGTGGACATCATCTTGTGTCACTCTTCGTGAACGCCATGGAGCGCTTGCAGAGCGATGAAACGTTAGTATGTTTGCGATACTGAAGTCCTATACGACCCAAGCATCTACTCCTACTTGCCCTGAGTATCCACCTACGAGACGACCGTTTTGCATGCCACTTTGCACTTGGAAGCCGGGGGCCACCTGGCATTCCAGTATAGCCGGTATTTAAAGAGCGAGATCTAAACTCGCCACGACGATGCAAGCGTACCGCCCGATTTCTGTATTTCACCGTGCTGGGCAGCCTTCCCATTGATAGATCAAAGCAACGGAATAAACTGACCGGGATATTTGTATTCATAGCGTATTGCCCATCGAGACAGGGCCTTGTAAGAAGCGAGTTGTGCTTCGCCTTAATCTTCCATCGAGCAGTGAAGACCTCAAGTCTAGTTGATGAGCCGACTGTGGCTCGCTGGGCCATAAGCAGAGGAACGAATATGTAGGATAGCGACGGTGTTCATCATATGTGCGCGGGTCATGGTGGGGCCACCTCTCAATACGAACGTTTGAGTAGCATTCTCAAGAACAGAATTGAAGTATTAGCTCTGGATAAACAAGAACAGTGAGATCACGAGGATAAAGATGAAACGACTCGACATGCCTAGTCTATGACGACGCTTCGAGTGGCACAAGTCGTTGTGGCTTCTCCAGTGGCCGCAATTCGCCAATCGCATGAGTACATATTTAATGTCCGCCCGAACACGTTTTCGCCCGACAAAGGAGGAGATTGGCCAGCGATATCTCGCTCTGGGAGAATCGACATCGATGATCTACACAGTGGCCACAGCGATGCCACAAACTTACCATCAGTGGCTGAAATACCGCCGAAAGAAGCAGTCTGGCTTGTGGTCAGCATGTGGGCCCGCGAGTTCTTTCATGGCCACAGAAACCGGCAATGAGTCGTGGCGAGGGACTTGGGCTGCATCACGGTATATAAGTAGCTGGAATCGCAGCGAGGGTCATCATACCACTTCAACTCCTTCGTTCTCTTGCATCGCTAGCAACGGAGGCCTTCGCCGTCCGTTCACATTCTTAAGTATCTTTCGCATAAGCTTGCTTGTACGTCCCCACTTCCAAACCACTCTTGTACATCGTATTGAAGCCCACATCGAACAGATTGTAGTCACATTAGAAAACGCACCGCCACTCCATGCTTGACGATCATCATTCCCGTAGCCCTTCCGTGCAAGGCGCCGACGAAGAATCGTTTGGAGCAATTCAGTCGAGCAATACGAACAAATCGACTCCAAACGACACAGGCGTCGGTGGCGCTATGCACGATACCATCGGCGAGGGCACCTCTGGCCATCAGTCTGGCTTGGCAGCGAATACTTCACCTGGAGGTCTTGGCCGGCACCATCACGAGTCGGCACCTGGCGCTCTGCTTGCTTCTGAGCGCGATTCGTCGCATCACTCGGTTCAAGGCTCCGTGAATGGTGGCAACGGCAATGAAAACAGCGAGCACTGGTTCCAGAGGACTCCGAGGAGCGAACCACTTGAACGCCATGTCGATCTCACACTCGCAGACTTCCGTCTTCTGGACTGGCTCGTCGAACAGGACACTTCTTTCAATGCAGGCCTTGCATTGGAGTTCCTGAAGTCCACAGAAGAACAACAGCAGGGAGCAAGATCCGACGTTGGCAGCGTACGAGCCAAGACGCCAAGCCGCAGTGAAATATCGGCACTTGATGCAGCGGAAAGACAACGACAAGCCGAGATCGAACCGCTCGACTTCACACCGGCGCCGACGATGAGCCGTCGAGAGTTCTTTGAAAGGGTCGCGCGGGCCAGGACACCTGGATGGCTGAGTGATGGGGTGAGCTACCGGGCTACCACCGAAGAGCGCGAATTGGAGGCAAACATGATATTCTATGGTGCCTTAACCCCGACCCCTTCAGATGTGGGCGGAAACGGCATTGGCGTCGAGTACTCGGACCACAACCAGGAACCTGTCTTGCAGAACGTAGACGATGCTGTGGATGGGAATGCAAGTGAGGTAGAGACAGACGAAGAAACCACGCCTACCAAGCCCTCAGCACGGCATGGATATACGAATCATGCCCTCGACGCAACGCCAACTCGGAGATCCGTTCGTCTTGCTGCCGCTAATAGCCGCGAAGACTCCCTTCTGACTGTGCGAGAGCCCACGCGCACCACTCAGCGCGCTAGCAGCCCCTCTTCCGCTGCCGGCGCCAGGTACGCGGCTCGAGTGATGAGACGAAGAGGCATATCGAGCGAGGAGAAGGAGCAAGGCCTTGTCGCAAGCTCGTCGAAGCCGAGGCCGACTCCACACAGATCGCGCAAGCTCTGATTGATGATCCTGAGAGACGACTTCATTAGGGAACATCCGTGATATAGAAGGAAAGCCACTCGGTATGTTACCTATGTGACTTTTCAATGTGGCCCAGGCCCGTTATTTCCTAGCATCTTTATGTCTTCTTGTGTATGCGATCCCACTTCCACTTGAATGTGCATGAACCTCCACGAACCCTATGACAATATTAATTCTGTATTGGTGAGTCAACTTTGAGCTACAGGACCTGAGCCGCCATCATCGCCCACATGCGCACCAGGCATATCATGGGTGGAGAATGAAGTTGGACATATTGCGGACAAGGATGAAAGCGCCAAAGAGGCCTCCGGCTTCAGTTTCAGCAAAAGCTCACAGTACTCGGCTCGCATCGCATACCGCCTCGTCTGCAGATCTCTGGGGTGTCCTCACACGTAACGGACTTCACACTCACCAGTACTGTCCTCTTCTCCACTGGCCTGCTGACGAGCCACATCCGTCGTCGCTCCCACACCGTATCCCACCACGATGTTCAATTTGTTATTACATTGTGATGTGGCAATGATCCATGGACCACGACGGCCACTGCGACTTCATGATCTATAGATTCTAAGGAACGAGAATGAGCTGCGAAGATAGCTTCCAGAACGATGATTGGAACATGCCGCTTGTTTCCTCCGAGAGACGCAAGACAGACATCATCAGTTAGCTGGAGAACAGGGCGAACAAAGGAGGCGCTCGGACAGCTTGCTCTCGTATGACTGGTCCAGGACGAGAGCTTGACATCATTTGAACAGGTCGTATCGACGCCGATGAAGCGGATGTTGCCACCGATGCGTATATATGCGATGTTCGCCAAAACGCGATTTCGTTCCGACAAAGAAGGAGATTGGCCAATGATATCTCGTCCTGAGAAAACCAATATCAATTATCGATACAGTGGCCACACGCGGTGCCACAAATTCACCATCAGTGGCTGAAATGCCGCCGAAAGAAGCGCCGTGGCCGTGCAGGCCATGCAAGTCCTTTCATGGCCACAAAAGACGTAAATGCGCCGTGGCGAGGGCTTTGGCTGCGTCGCAATATATAAGCAGCTGAGATCGCAGCGAGGGTTGTCATACCACTTTAGCTCCTTTGTTCTCTGCTTGCGTCGCTAGCAAGTGGAGGTCTTTCTCGTCTCTTCATATCCGTGATTGTCTTTCGCATAAGGTGGCTTGTATGTCCCCAGCTCCATTCTACTCTTGTATATCGTATTGAAGCCCACATCGAACAGATTGTAATCACGTTGGTACGCGCACCGCCACACGATGTTTGCTGAACATCATCCCCAAAGCCCTTCCGTACACAGCGCCGACGAAGAATCGTTTGGAGCAATCCAATCGAGCAACACGAGGAGAGTAGTCCCAAACGACACCAGCGTCGACGGCGCTATGCACGGTGCCACCGGCGAAGGCTCCTCTGGCCATCAGTCTGGCTTGGCAGCAAATACTTCACCTGGAGGTCTTGATGGGTCCTACCACTACTCGGCATCGGGGTCCTGCTCGCTTCTGAAGGCGATTCATCGCACCACTCGGTTCGCGGCTCGGTGAATGGCGACAACGGCAATGAAAACAGCGAGCGCTGGTTCCAGAAGACTCCGAGGAGCGAACCGTCCGAGCGCCATGTCGACCTCACATTCGCAGACTTCCGTCTTCTGAACTGGCTAGTAGAGCAGGACACTTCATTCAACGCAGGATTCGCCCTGGAATTCCTTAAGTCTACGGAGGAATCACAGCGGGAGGTAAGATCCGACGTTGGCAGCATACGAGCCAAGACGCCGAGCCGCAGCGAAATATCGGCATTTGACGCGGCGGAAAGACAACGACAAGCCGAGATCGAACCGCTCGACTTCACACCGGCGCCAACCGTGAGTCGTCGTGAATTCTTCGACAGAGTCGCGCGGGCCAGGACACCTGGATAGATGAGCGATGGGGTGAGCTACCGAGCTACCACGGAAGAGCGCGAGTTGGAGGCAAACATGCTATTCTACGGTGCCATGACCCCGACCTTCTCAGACGCGGGCGAAGCGGCGCTAGGATCGAATACGGGGACCTTGATGAGGAAGCTGTCTTGCACAACTCGGACGACGCCGCGGATGGGAATGTACACGTGCAAGAGATAGACGAAGAAACCACGCCTACCAAGGCATCGGCACGGCGTGGATATACAGACCAAGCGCTCGACGCCATCCCAACTCGTAGGTCCGCACATGGCGCCGCTGTTTATAGGAGCAAAGTTTCCCGTCCAACTGTGCAAGAGTCCACGCACGCTGGCAGCCCTTCGTCCGCTGCTGGTGCCAGGTATTCAACTCGAGCAATCCAGCGCAGTGGCACATCAAACAGGAGGAACGAGCAAGGTCCTGTGGCCAGCTTCTCGAAGCAGAAGTCGACTTCGCGCAAATCGCGCAAACTCTGATTGATGATTCTAAAAGGCGACTTCATTCCGCATTTCCTGCGGTCAATGAAGGACACTCACTGTGCTTCTCATGTAATTCTCCTGCTTGAATCAAATATGCCGTGAAATCTACTGTGCGTGAGAGTATGTATCTCGACGAAAAAATGATGAATTTCTTCTGGTCAGCCAGTTCTGAGCTCGTAGGATCTAAGTTGTCGATCACCGGTGTAATCTGTGGAAGGTACTCGGAAGATCAAACACATCGCTGAATAGGAAACGAAGTGGACGTATCGCGAACAGCGATGAAAGCGCCAAAGAGGCCTCCGTCAATTGGCTTCAGTATGTCAGCAAAATCTCACAGCATTCTGTTCACGTACCGCCTCCTCTGCAAATCTCTGAGCGTCCTCACAAACAACGAACTTCGCACTGACTAGTGTTGTCCTCTTCCCCACCGGCTTGCTGAGTGACCGTGCTTGTCGTCGCTCCCTCACCGTATGCTGTTGCAGTGTTCAAGTTGATATTGCCTTGTGATGTCTGTAATGATCCATGGACCGTGACGGCCACTGCGCCTTCATGTCCTATAGGATTCTGGTGAACGAAGATGGGTTCATAAGATGATTTCCAGAGCAATGGTCGTAACGCATAGATTTTGCGTCTGAGAGAGGCAGAACAGAAATCAGTTAGGCGGAGAACTAGCGAGCTCCAAATGAGCTCCAAATGTTTTGGCCTTGTACGACCGGTTGCAGACGAGTAGACAATGATATTAATTGCATTTAAGCAGTCTGTACCAGCACCGATAAAGCGGATCTCGCTCACCACGGTACGATACACTTTGCTTTGCTGTAAAATATGCATTAGAGCCTTGATGGAGAGGCAGATCCCGCTGATATAGAACGAAGAGATCCGAATGTCGGGATCGCATGGGTCGGAATATCGTGAGAGTGGAGGCTCCGAAGGACTTTATCCCGTCCGACTCCATTCTCGTTGAAAAGGTCCTATAAAGAAGCCATTCGCGCAGAAAGCCGATCCAGTCTCTTATTCGTTCGCAAGCAAGAGGGATCAATGAGAGTGGTGCGCACTGCGATGGGCCGAAGTCACATCGCATCACAATGTCACGCGGATCACACCACGTCATAGCTGCGACGACCACTTCCAGCGTGCTCTGGTCGACATACCGCCATCTTGAATCCTTTTGAAATGGCTGAAAACCCCTTGGCAGACCTCAGAGATCGATTGGCGTTTCCTCCCTTCGCCGATTGTCCATCCGAGGATGATTTGGACGAGCGGTACATAAGCGTCGATGGAGAAATAGCCACCCACCAGCGTCACTGGTGCTTCCTTGGAGAGATTATCGACTACATAGCCATCGGGAGGTTGACTCTGGATGTCCGCGACGTGTCTGGCAAGCTCGTACGCGCTTCGTTCTACGACGAGGATAAAGGAATGCGCTATGTCCGCGGCGGTGGGCTCAAAAAGGGTTATACTCTCGCACTTCTGTATCCTTGGCAGCATTACTTCCTGGACCAAAGTTGTGGCTTTCGTATGGAGACGTCTGAGGACGTAAAGGTACGTTCTTGAAAGAATCCCAAATTGACGATGAAATGATAGCCTGTATTAGATCATTCCTTGCTCGCTGAAGGAACTTATGAGCGCAAATGACAAGCTGCAACGTGGTCTTCCCGTGGCACCTTGTTGGACTCCGGGCTGCGAAAAGACGGAGGATCTCAGGACGTGCAGCAAATGTCACAAGGCCAAGTATTGCGGAAAGGTATGCAACGGCCGGTGCTCTGCCTCGCGATGTCCCTCTCATCTCGAACAGGAGCACCAGACTCAAGAGTGGAAAGCGGGACATCGACAAGAATGCAAGGCCTTTGTTGAGCTTGAGTGGTTCTTGACTCGCGATTGGTCAACGTTCGACGGCGGCAGCGAGTGGTCGTTTCCTGCATAGGGCCGACATTGCAAGATAACTCTCGGCAGGGCCAGAACTTCCAAGGATGAAATTATGCGTGCACTTCGCAACAATTTCTGTCACTGCTCCCCAGTGTATCTATTAATCGCTCATGTCAAGCTTCTTTCAGAGTTTCAGAGCCATTTATTCTACAATTTTTCGTAGTGTCGATAACGATGAGAATGTCGAATAGGTCCACTGGCGAATCAGGGTAGTCCGTGTGGAACTGATTGGCTCCATGATTGATACTTGGTTCGCCTGTGTTTATTTCCTCTCGGGAACGCCTGCACGTTTGATGCCTATAGTCTTTGACGCTCACTTTGCATTTCGATCATTGTGAGCAGCAGCGTTGGTTGCACCGCTGGACCTCAGGGAGGATCGGCCGAGACGCTTCCCAACACTATAATCCATAACAGAGTTATCTGCTGAAGCTACATTACGGCCTGCATCGCGAACCATGGTTGCCCTTTTGAATCAGCCGATCCCGAGTTCATCCCCTGTGCGATTCCGAGCTCAACGTTGACAATGTAGATCGAAACGACGGCAGCATCTCGGATATGCACTCTCTCTACGGAATGACCATATCCGTCGATGGTGATGGTGGCCACCATAAGTCGGACTACCAGGACGCGTCTCGACGCGTTGCGTCACAGTATGTCACATGTCACCTGGCACTGCGACAGCATCACCGACTCCAGGGTGTTCATGGTGGCACTTTCAAAAAGTACTCACAATTTTGAGAGTAGGGTTTGCTCATTCTTGCTTGCGGTTTTGAACGCAAGCATCGATGATGAGGTTGCGCGAAATTCTTCGCAGCTCAGCACGATGAAATCACCATTTGTGATCATCAAGTGCCCTCAGTCCGGGCCATAACTTATATGTTTCCGCTCGTCGTCACTGAGCCGCACTTTTTGGTGATGCGTCGGTGAAGAAAACAATTGGTTATCAGCCGGAGGCATCACTGAGCGATGCAGTGGACTCCGAAGCAAGCGCCAGGACGTGTCGCGTTGGCACTAGATATTATATTTGCCTCTTCATACACTCTGGATTGCCCGCCAGTTTGTCTAAATTAATGATTGTAATGCGGCGATATAGTTACATAGACGGATAGCAGCTAGCGATTGCAACAAAGGACAAGAAGGAGCGATAGTCTAACGGCATATATGCGAACACAGAACACGAGGAGCGATGCGGATGGATAGCGAATGGAACAAATGATCAAGTGTGAAACATTACAAGCGATAACGTGTTGCGGATACTTCATGTCTTCTTTGAATAACATGATAAGTCCATCTTCAAAGTTTTCTTGACAAGCCTTTGCTCATCATCCTCCTTCTTCTCCCACCTTTCCCATAGTCGCTCTCTCTCGGCACCATCATCGTCCGCCGTGGTACTCGAGCGCCGTGTTCTCTTGTCGAACCAATCGAGCCTCTCTTCGCCGCGGCCAAAGTCGATGATGCGGAAGCGGGGATATGAGAGCGAACGATATCGCGGCGGTAACGCGAGAGGACCTGGCTGTACGAGGATATTTCGGGCAGCGACTGAGTTCTGGAGGAATCCTGCCCAATGGAGACGGAGGAATTGTGAGTTGCACTGGATTCTGGAGATGCACTATTAATGTAAGCGAGCAACACACATACGGCTGAAATCGGTACGCACCTTTCGGGTATATACATCTCTTCAGGCTCAATCGGTACGCCGCATTCCTCGAGCAACAAGATGGCACTCCTCTGCGGATATAACTTTTCGTCCTCCGGGACGTAGTACGCGTAGAACTTCGGTACGACTGCGTCAACAGGAGTAGGACACCTAAAACCGGGGAGATAGTTATAGCCGCTCCAGTCTTCCATGAGATGCCTCGGGAATTGGTCGTAGATCCATGCTTCTCTCTCGAGCATGCGGCGACAGTCTCTGTCACAAGATTTCATCAGCTTCGCGGCGACGGTCACTTGTCCGGTGGGCCCGCGGGCCCTCAGCGGCGGGGGGAGACTGAGTGCAGTGCGATAGACAAGCGAGTGGTTCCCCTGGCCTATGTTGCTTTGAGCAGATAGGTGCAAGTGCGCTGTGCGCGTCGCGTTCTCTTTAAGACTGTCAATGTCTCCTATTTCTTCGGGAGGCTTCTCGTCTTTGTTTTCAAAGATGAGAGAGCCTTCAGTGGGATATATGCATTTGTATCTGACCGGAATCGTGTCGTCGGACCGTGCAGATTTCGGGAATGATCCCTCAGAATACAGTGTCAGGTCGTCTGGATCATGCACGAATAAGATTTCGGGAAAATACTCCTGTGGGATGAACTCTTCCAACTTCGGCAAGTCATTGACAGGTCCTTTTGAAGCGACAGTTTCCTGCGTCTTGTCTTCATCGCATTGGCTTTCTTTTCCGTCTAATATGCGGTCGTCGTTACCAGCTTCAGAGTTCCCATCGTGTTTGTCTAGGAAGATCAGAACCGAATAAGGAGGGATCACATGAGGATCCTTTTCCTCCTTCTCCAAAACGTCGGCCGGCTGTACGTCATAGTTCTCTTGGAATTCCGGCATCATGGACCGACTCCAGAATTTACGGCCCATCCCAGGCATCAATTCAAGGATCATAATATCACGAGGATCTTCCGTCCATGGGCTGATGCCATCGGCAGCGGTTTTGCCTTTCGGTAGCCTTTCCGGGAACGCGAGACCGTCAGGATTTTTGGGTTGCCAGCTAAATATGATACGCCTCCAGTCTGGGATTTCCATCTCCATTGTGCTGCGGTGTCGGGGTCTACTCGTAGAGCAATGAAAGCTGCGAAAAAAAGATGTACGTTGCGAGTTGCTGAGGAAAAGAAGGAAAGAACTGCAACTCGAAGCCTTCCGCCGCAGACGCGAATCCTGTCACACAGCTCGCGTCGACGCGACCGGTCACGCGTAACGTCACCCGACACCACCGTTGCCTTGGGTTTTTGTCTGCAGTCTGAGTCACAGGTAACTTCAGGCAAAGCGAGAGTGGGTAACGTTGTCGAGAACGTTTGAAGGTCTTTGCCGCATTGAGGTGGCTTTTGGAGTAGGATTGGACAGCCGACACGATGTCGAGTGATCTTTCTCTACTATATGACTGGCTGTAGTGACCTTGAACGTTCTCGAGCGGATGCACCTCTTCGCCATATCGTAGTCTCATCACATATTTTGATTCGATCCCTGTCCCAGCACTTTGCAGGAAACGCTTTCGACTGGTCCCACGTGAATTATCCGATTATTTTATTAGATATTTCGTTTGATGACTCGAAGACGCAACTACAATGCATTCATCGTATGAGACTTTTGAGGGATGTCAACTGAATGCGAACGACATCATACCGCGAACCTCGCGACCCGGGAGAGATCGGCGCTCTCTAGCTTTTCGCACGAGTCAACATCCATCCATGCACCGTTGAACGGACTTCCTCATCTCCAGGGTCATCTGGGAACATCGGCTACGGCACCACGTAAATAACGATCGTAAGGCAGCGCAGACTTGGATGGTATGAAAAATCAGGACGTACCGGGAATTTCTGCGTTAAAATCTCCTCGCATAACCATCCGCGTTGGCGGGCCTTGCTGAAGAAATCCATATCACGGTGAGCTAGGTGTGGACGGTGGTGCGTGTAAAATACGAGGAGGCAAGGCGAAGGGAGACCTGATCTGAACGTAGCATTCTTCTCTGGTGTTGTCGTCAACGAATCTCTGGATGAGCTCGACAGAGCCTGCTCGCAGGTCTGCAGCAGCGCGTCATGCTATAGTACGTTTCAATACTAGGGTTCCAAGAAACTGGGATGCCATACTTGGGAGTGGTTGAAGATTAGGTCGGACATCATGATTAGATCGTAGCCAGAGCGGCCCGTCGACCCGTCCAATGGCTTAAGAAGCGGACCGATTGGTCGTCCCCAGATGTATCCCTGGCATCAAGAAACGAGTCAGATAGACGTCGCTAGAGAAGATTCGCAGCAGCGTACCTGGACATGCACGCGTTGTCGTGATGTTGAAGGGATGTTTGTTTCGACATTGTGCTTGAGGTTGTCTAGCAAGGAGGCATCGGGGTAGTCCGTCAAGACGACCTACGATGCGTACTTGAGCTATATTCCATAAGTTGGGTTCTAGCAGCAGACCGTATGAGCGCCGTTCAGGGCTGTGACGAGGCCGGGCAATCCGCCTCCCGCACCAAGTTCCAAGACCGCGCGATCACGATAGAGTTCCGGGTTCACATCTAGATAAGATGCGAATGCACGCGAAGCATTCCAGCTGAGACTAAGATTCAAATACCGAGAGGCAGGTGAGTGCAAGAAGGAGACTTACAGATGATGTCCCCAAAGCGGATGGGACCCAACGAGGCGGATTTCGATCTTCGACCAATATGTGTCTTGCGAGGTATTGGAGTTCGCGGCTTCGCGCTGGTAGATAGATATAGTGGGTTCTGGAGATGGAGCTCTCAAAGGCTCCTACGAAAAGAGTACGCTTAGATGACATAATGAGATTTGAAGAGCAGGGAACTCACAGTGAATATAGAATTCAACGCCAGTGACGGCTCCCCTTCTGAGTCTGACATGTCGAGTTTAAACTCGCGTTCACTTATAAAATGCGATTAGCTCTTTATGCAACTCAACCGATATTCGAGCCTGCAGTGATATTTCGATGATGTGAAGCGAAACGGAAAATTAGCACGATTTCTCCAGACAACCGAGGGCTGTGCATACCCACCGATATCAAATAGTGGCACTTTGATACAAAAAATTGAACTTGCCCTAACAAGCAGAGATGTCTCGTTAAAATGGAGTGTTGCCCGACCTAGACACGAGTATCAGCGCAAGCATGAGGAGGCGCCATTATGAATGCCACAGGTGACGCGTCGACTTTCCGTGACCTAATGTGACGCCACGCGTATGACCCCGAGCGCTTTATGCTCCCATGCTTTATGCCTCTCCTCACCGCTCGTAGCGATGCTTGGCCTGACGTCGGAATGGTCACGATGCTCCGGTATGTCCAAGCGAGACTATACTGGCTCTGAATTGCTGGCTCTATATCTATCCGCGGCTCCCGGGTGTGCTGTGCAAAACAGGATCAAACGGCAAGCATTAATGGGCAATCCGTTTCTCGATCTGCTTTGAGCCGCATGATATGGTCTACGGTCGACAAGCTCTCGTGCAATCCATGACAGCATTGGGTATGGATAATGGCGTCTGCGCTACTGTGTACCATCCTGTTCCCAATCAACGAGCAATCTGCTGATGCAGGGGAACAGCCTCCGCAGAGCATACATGCATTCACATCACTCGGTTGAGATGATATCACAGGCAAGTATGCTACATACTAAACATCAATACAGGCCGCGACTCATGACAAGTGCTCGCACCACACAAAACATCAGCACGTCGAATAAGACTTACGTTTGGCGCACGTTAGTTTCCCTGCCGCTGCCTACATGCACGCGGCAGGTACTTATCCCGAGGGCCACGTAAAGGCCTGCGCCAGGACCGACCACAAGGGATCGACCCCTACCTCGGGCCCCGTTACCCCCGCACCTGCCCACCGCTCCCCGCTCTTCCGAGAAATAGAAGCATACCTATCGCGAAGCATTTGGTATCCGCGATGTCTTTCGTGAGCTTACTTTCTTGCCGTCATATCTTCACCTCTCTTGCGAGAGGCATCCCGCTGGGGGCGGCGCCCCCACCCAACCTCCGCCCACGCGTTGGGACCTCAGGCCTATGGCCGACTAGGAGGAAGGCGTCGGGACGCACCCATGCGGCTCGGGGTCTCGTCGGCCAGACAGTGTACCGTATACGATACCTGTGACTGGAACGCAAGTTAGAAATGGTGTCGACACCGAACGCCTCGATGGGCTCACCTAGAGAACGGGATATGGGACCGGTGGCTGATCAGTCGCGTTTTGCTAGAAAGCGTAACAACATCAGCGATCCGCGGTATCCAAGAGACGACAACGCACCTCTCTTGATACCGGTGGTGACATTGCAGTCCCACTGTCTTGCCGCCACACTGGCCGACGGCGCGCTCCCTCTGTTCGAGAACATGAAACATACCCGTCGCGAACCACTCGAGGCCCGTAGTATCTTCAGTGAGCTCCCTCTTTTGCGGTCATATCTTCACCTCTCTTGCGAGAGGCATCCCGCTGGGGGTCGGCATGCCACCCCCACCCAACCTCCGCCCACGCATTGGGACCTCAGGCCATATGGCCGACTTGGAGGAAGGCGTCGGGACGCACCCATGCGGCTCGGGGTCTCGTCGGCCAGACAGCGTACCGTGTACGATACCTGTGACTGGAACGCAAGTCAGAAATGGTGTCGACACCGAACGTCACAATGAACCCACCTAGAGAACGGGATTATGGACCAGGGCTGACGAATCGCGTACTGCTAGAAAGCGCGTCGACGTCAGCGATCTGCGAGGTTCAAGAGACGATAATATACCTTTCTTAATCCCGTGATCGTCGCCGTTCGGTTGTCTTGACGCCACAGTGGCTAATGCCGCTTGCCGCTCCTCGAGAACATGAAACATACCTAGCGCAAGACTCTTTGGTGAGCTTGCTAACTTGCCGTCACCTTCACCTCTCTTGCGCAAGGCATCCCGCTGGGGGGTCGGCATGCCACCCCCACCCAACCTCCGCCCACGCGTTGGGACCTCAGGCCGTATGGCCGACTAGGAGGAAGGCGTCGGGACGCACCCATGCGGCTCGGGGTCTCGTCGGCCAGACAGCGTATCGTATACGATACCTGCGACTGGTGTGCAAGTCAGAAACGTTGTCGACACCGAACGCCACAATGGGCCTACCTAGAGAACGGGATCAAGGACTGTGGCTGACGAGTCGGTTATTGCTATAAAATGCGGCGAGATCAACAACCTGCGGCACTCAAGAGACGATAACGTACCTTTCTTGATACCGGTGATGGCCTCGCCCTTCGGTTGTCTTGACGCCACACTGGCTGACGTCGCCTCCCTCACTTCCGAGAACATGAAACATACCTGGCGCGAGACACTTGAGACTCGTGCTATCTTCGGTGAGCCTTGCTAACTTGCGGTCATTTTCGCCTCTCTTGCGCGTAATATCCCGCTGGGGGCGATGCCCCCACCCAACCTCCGCCCACGCGTTGGGACCTCAGGCCATACGGCCGACTAGGAGGAAGGCGTCGGGACGCACCCATGCGGCTCGGGGTCTCGTCGGCCAGACAGCGTATCGTATACGATACCTGCGACTGGAGTGCAAGTTAGAAATGGCGTCGACAGTGAACGCCACAATGGGCCCACCTAGAGAACGGGATATGGGTCCGGTGGCTGTACTGTGGCGCGCATCTAGGTAGGAGATTGAGGCGGGGATGGAAGCCTGAGTATGTGCATGGTGGATGAGAAGAGGCAGGCGTACCTCTTGAGCTGGTGGTGAGGCAAGCAGGAAGGCGAGGGACGCGGCATTTTATAGCGAACCACCCATTGTCCTGCGCCTCGTGGCTGACCGTGACCGATGTCACAACGCCACTCGCGCGACGCGTCTGAACTTTATTTCCGTCAGCGCGTTCATCACGTGTTCTTGTTTCATCACCCACCAGACCGTTGGTCGCTGACCAAAAGAAATTCCCATACTCAAGAGCAGTACTAACGCTCCGCGTAGACAGGCTGAAAAGCGCGACGGCCAGATATAATGCCCGTCGGTGGGGATAATATTGGTGTTGAGGCAGTTGTCCAGCGTCGGCAGCTGCAGCGTTACTGTCAGCCACATATCTTCACACAACGTGTTTTTTGTTTCATCATTTTCACACAACGTGTTCTTGTTTCACCATTTATCACGATCAAGATCGGATATCCGGATCTCCATGATTTCGGACCGCAGGCAAAACGGGAGGTTTGATCTCCCTTCAGCCCGAGCGAAAGGAGGCACGTGGATCATCCCCCTTCATATCGGGTCGCCATGGCTGTTAATAACTGCTTTTTCTCAGTGCTTATCATATTTGGAGACAGCCAATTGACGCATTTGATAGAAACAATGCATAGAAATTAAGCTTGTACACGGAATTCAGACACTCGCGATCGCTTTGTGCGCGTTGGCCAGCTTCGCGCCTCTCAGAGCCACCAAGAAGCTGATGGCATTTTGATGCTGTGTGTCCACCTGGAAAGTTTACCTGTCGTGTCTTGGAAAGAAAGGTAAAAGAAATGCGCACGCCAGCTGCGGCAGGCGTCGGGATTGTGGGCCACTTAACTGCTGCCGTGAGCGCGGATAGCAACGTAATGTGGCTGAATGGCCACTTGACTATCGCATCCGCCGCGGAGTTTCCGCCTACCGGAAGGAAGATACAAAAGCCACCTACCTTGGCGGCCAACTTGAACATAACGGCCACACTCCCTTCACTTTGGCTTAGTATCTGGCCACCGCCTCGCCCGTGGTTGCTAGCGCTTCTCGATCCAACGTTCTGCACCAGCATCGCAGATTACAAGCACTGCGACTTCTCCAGACTTCAGGTGATTCCTTTCGAACAGGTCGGTATAATTCGCTGTTTTGTTTCTGCTGCCATGTGGGATTAAGTGCTCTGCCCATCCAGACAGTATCTTTCAGCCATGGCTCACGCACGCGCATTTGGATACCGCGACGACGACTTCCGCCCCAGGCCCTACTCCGCACGGCCTGTAGCCAGACAGCGCTCTCCCTTCACAGGTAGACACAGCGCGACATATGCCGGTTTGCCTCAGTCACGCGCTGCCTCCCCTGTCATCAATGCGACCGACATCGCAACGCACAGCGCCACGGACATCAATGTTTCTCCTCGTCGAAAGGGGACCTCTGGGTTGTCACAGTGGATTGAACCGGCCGCTGAGACCTTGGTGTTGGGTCTTGTAGATTACGTACTGCCTGCGGTTAGCTTCGTTTTCAATGCCCTCGCTCCTCCCGAGATTCCCGTCGCCTCTAGTGAAGGCCATGCGCCCTCAGACTTCTCGTCCAATGGTGGGCCTGTGCGCACTGGTGATATCTCGAAGGCCGCGAGAAGGCGCGCTCAGTCTCCCTCGATGATGCCGGGAGAAGGTGTGCCCATAGTCACGGAACTTTCTGCTTCTTATGCAGCTCAGAAAGCCGTAGACCATTCTCTCGGGGACACTCGAACCAAAGTCAAGGCTATAGAAACCAGTAACAAGGGTCCGAAGCGCGCGGATACTAAGCGGGCCGCTGTCTCTGGGAAACGTGCAGAACTGGTCAAGACCTCCGCGAAGAAGGCACACCTCAAGGCAGAGATTGAGGACATGAGGAAGCAGGTCAAGGCGGCGAAGGATGCGCGTCTGTTTGAGGAGAAGCAAGCCGAGGATCTCCGTCTTCTGCAGGAGAAAGTGGAGAAAAGGATCTCCTCCGCGCTCCGCCGGCTTGAGGACCTGGAGGATAGGATCGATGACATGTCCGTGAAGCGAGCACAGCAGCGCGCACTGGAAGAAGAAGAGAAGCAGGCGGCGATTGCCCGAGCGGAGGCTCAGAGGCTCGCGCAGGAACAAGAAGCGATCGCACGGGCGGAAGCTCAGAAGCTCGCGGAGGCGCAGGCGGCTTTCGCGCGAGCTGAAGAACAGAGACTCCAAGAGGAACAGCGCCAGCAGGCTCTTCGTCAAGTCGAGGCAGAGATCAGCAAGCTGCGCATTATCCTCGCCGCTCACGAAGCCAAATGGTCTCGGCTGCAGGAAGACATGACGCTGCTTCGCGTAGATCCTGATCTCCTTCCGTGGTCGATCCTTCCGGGGTCTCTCAGGGGTGACGATGATATCACCATGCAGAACGTACGGCCGTTCGTGCTGCACCCGCTGCGCGAGAGAGACCTGAAAATGTCTCGGCTCGAGCTGCTCGTGCTCGAGAAGAACCGTTACGAGGCGCAATTCTTCTTTTCTTACATCGTACCGAGAGTGGCGGTCCATCATCGCGAGAGAGTGGTGAGGATGGCTGGCAGGTTTGCACGCATCCTCGAAGTACTTGAGGCGGAGGAGGTAATGGCAATACAGGAAGAGGAGGAAGCTGAACTGGAAGATGAGGATGCTACTGAGTGAGCTACGAACAAAACCCACCTTATGTCTCCTCTCTACGACACAAAACTACTATGTTGCTTCAATGTTTCCTGGGGAAGTTGAACATGTCATTTGTATGAACATGCGAATATATGTCATTCAAGTCATACATAGGGTCGATATTATTGCACAAATGCTTCAACCATCTGATTTTCCATCATCAACATAACGAGCTTCGTTATTGCTCTAGCTAGGAGGGAGTAGCTTGGCAGCTCGTTCCTTTGCTGAAAACGACAGTCCCTGCCTTGTACCGAGATCAGAAAGCGCGAAGCAATAAACGACCGCGAAGACTCCCACTAGATTTTGGAAACGAAGGGCTAGACGGGAAAACCGTATCAGACAAATATAGTATTACATATAGTACAGACGTTTTTAATGGGATTAGCGAAAATCGAAGCAATTGTCGAGGCCATCGTACAAGAAAGCATAACATGAGGAATGTCTGTGATGACTGTCAAGCACAATCATGTCAAGAATAAGCAATGGCAAGGCTTAAAATACGGCTGAGATGACACATCGATATTGCCGATACGCTATCCGAGCCAAGGCGCTGAGAATATGGAAGTCGTCAAAACGTACTCATGACTCAATGTTGGAATCTGCAAACATACCGACAGTTTCTGGAAAGGAGGGTGCTATCTCGGAAATGACCATGCTGCATCACCACGGAATGTCATCCAGTCCCGATTTAAGAACCACTCGAGCTCCCTGAAGGCCTTGCAATCCTGTCGATGACCCGTCTTCCATGCCTCAACTTGGTGTTCCTGTATTGTGAGAGTAAGACGAAGTGAAAGACGTCAAAGGATATTGGCATCTGCAGACCTGTCCGCAATACTTGGCTTTGTGGCATTTGCTGCATGTCTTGAGATTCTCAGTTTTGCCGCAGCCTGAAGCCCAGCAAACTGCGGTCGGAAGACCCCCCTGCAGTCTGTCATTTGCGGACATCAGATCGTTAAGAGAACAAGGGATGATCTGATGCATGTTACGAACAGGTCAACGCCTCGAAGACCATAAACACCTGCGAGAAACCCACTGTAACATGTTGGGGATTCTCCATGCGGAACCCGTATCTACCGTCCACGAATTCATGCTGGAAAGGGTATAAAACAACTAGCGTATGGCCTTTTTTAAGTCTTTCTTGCTGTACGAAGCGCATGCCACGATCTTCATCGTCATGGAATGCTGCAAATATGAGCTCTCCTGACGTGTCCCGGACGTCTAGGTAGACGCGGAGGAAAACTGTGAAATCAACAATCTCTCCCAGGTAGCACCAGTGTAATTTATTTCTGGCTATGTCCCCGTCGATGCGTAAATATTGTTCGTCCAGGTAATACTCGTTGGGGCAGTTGGCGAAAGAAGGAAAGACCAATGAATCCCTAAGGTTGACAGAGGGTCTACTGGTCATCTCAGAGGAGGAGCTTGGGACTCTCGCAGCCATCGTCTCGGAATGAGGGGTAAGTGCGTGTTGTTGGAGGTGGTTGTAGGAGGACGAAGATGATCCGCATTTTGAACACGTACATTTACATAAAGTTGGAAATTTCAGCCACAAACGTGATGAGAAGCACCGTTACTTTATGACTATGTGACGAGAGTCTGTGACGTGACGCGTCCCGGGCCACCGGGATGTGACGATAGACGAGCGGCACCCTAGGAGACATGTGCGCCATGGACGCTACTACCGACTGCTAGCCCATAGCATACAACGCCAGCGGTTTGAGTCCATGCACTGTCGAGGGCTATCCTGCTCACCTTAGATACTACCCCGGATGTTGCATATCATATGTTGTCCGGGAACGGATGAGCCCACGAAACCTTCTTCGACTCTTGCGGCGTGCGGTAAAGTGAAGGAGAACAGGGACATCTCACGCCCACCATAGGCGCGGCAGCTTGGAACTCACGCTCGTGTTAAGCGAAAAAGCCCGAAGTCGTCCACTCACCCTTGTCCTTTCTTCATTCTGCGCAAGACATGACCGTAGCATATGACCGTTCCAGGCTTTCTGTTCGCGCCTCTATGTCAAAGTCGATTACGATGCCACGCATACGGCTGTGGCTTGCCAATAAGTTACATGATCAACAAGTCCGTTGCGCCCCTCGACGGAGACGCACGCAAAATCTCTAGTCATCAGCTTCTTCCGATAGGGTTAAACGTTCGCGGCACAGCCGCGCCACCATGGCGCCATCGATGGGGATCTCGTTGCCCTGGAAGCCCTCGGGATAATTGACAGGTGGCACGTCTGGACGCGTAAAGTATCTGTGTATGTGGATTGAGAATACCGTACACCGGGACCAGCAATCGACCTTACTGACTTGTCGTTCCAAAAGCCATAATGAATCATGCCGAGCGCACGAGTGGTATATTCGTAGTCATGTGCGAAGCCTTCGGGATAGAAGAATTCCATAACGGTGGACTTCGGGGTAGGACGCATCCAGAGGAGAGCAGTCAATCCGTTACCATGAACTCCCATCATGATCTGTCACAGCCATCAGTGAACATAACGGCAGGAAAGACACAAGTTTACTTACCGTGGTCCGGCCAGCGAGCTGGAATTGTTCGATCCGAGACAACTGGTCCATGTTGACGATGTTCACCTCGTAGCCATACAAACTGCGCAGATTGTGCAACTCCTCCACGAGGCGCTCATGGTGCTCCTGGATGAGCATTCGACGGCCCCAATCTTGCCGGGAAATGTACGTGATGACGGGCGTGCTCGCTACTCCTTGGACGGACTCGGCACCTCCGCTTTGCGAGAGTCCAGCAAAGCTCACGACATTGTTCCTAATCGTGCTCCACCAGTTCACACTGCCGGGGAGGGCAAACGCATTGGCAGCCGTACGTTGGGTACGCAGGAAGTTGTCGCCGTACATCGCCGCCGCACGGTCTGCGAAGACTACGCGGTCAAATACGAACGGACGTGCCATGTCGACGCGTTCCTTCCAGTCGTTCATAAACTCCATAGAGATGGACGGAAATGAGCTCCGCAGAACCCATTGATTCATCTCGGAATAGTCTCGCCAGTTGTCCGCGTCCAGATGGGAGAACATCATGCGACGAGGTGCTGGCAGCGATGTTTCTCCCGTAGGAGGAATGCGAGGATCAAGGGACGAGTACGTGCGCCAGAATCCAAAGAAGAGTTCAGCAGACCAATGGAAGTAGTGGGTGATGCTAGCAGAACATCAGTTGAGAGCCTATCTTTGGAACAGAAAACACGCACAATTGTTTCGGGTCATTTGCGTACCACTGGGGCGTACAGATCATTGAGTTGTGAATAACACGCAAGGTGATTCAGCCTACCGTCACTCCATCTAGTCGTTCTGCGTCTTCCCCGAAGAGCTCTCTTGCTTCGTTGGTAGATACAATGCGCAGCTCCTTGTCAGTTGGTATGCGCTGCGCCTCCGCAGCTGGACCATTATAAATGAATGAAGCAGTGGAGATTATTCGTCGGCGGTCAGGGATGGTCTCTGGATGGTCAGAGACGACATAGATTGTCCCATTGAGCATGTACAGTCGGTCAAAGATCGTCCATCCTGAGGTGTCCGTCAGTACAATGTAAGAAACTGGCATTTAAGGGTCGTTTGATATATCAACCGAACATTGATTGAGGATTGCGACCATAGAGTGTCGCAACGACGCTGCGCAAGACCCTCTTGTCACGTGACTTTAAATGGCCGAAACAACGCACATCTTCTGTGAGCGGCCATTCTTGCCGCAACAACGGCAGAAATCATGAAAGAGATATAACAACTAACCAGGTACGTGCACAACCACCTTCGTCTCCGGAACCTGACCTAGACCCCAGCGCAGCGGAATATTCAACGATTGCAGCGTATATTGCGATTCCAAGGTCGCCGGTCCGAGCGATGCAGAGGAGTCGTCTTCCTTAGCAGCATATGGTCGAACTAGATCAGTTATCGTTCGCTTATTTTGGGGAAGTGTCGTTGTGAACGTCAAGAGAAGGACGAGAAGCACGGCTAAGAGGACAATCTCCCGGGAGGTGGGCGTGAGAGGCGGCATGGTTTATGCAGATAAGTTCGAGGGTTCAACGTTCAAGAAATGGGTTGAAAGACAGCAGTCTATGTCGTCGAACTAGTTCATCTGCGAGGCAATCTGGGAGTTTGTTCACTTTCAGCGCGCACAGGAGGGACCGCCAACTGACAAGTGGCGGAAAGAGGGAGACTGTGACGCCCGTGACAACGATGGTACGCGACACATCACGTAACGGTGCACCTGCCGCTTTTGGCAGGCGTTGAGGTTCGCGAAGTGTGCCTGCACCCTGAGCGTGTGCTAGCGGACGCTAGATCATTGCTTCGAGCTCATGGCAGCGCAGCGGTATCCGCTTCCTCGCTGCATCCGTCACTGACATCACTATCCATGCCGAAGACACGTTGTCGCCTAAATGGTATGCGAATCGATTCGCCGTCACTGCGAGTCTGCAAATGAATATCACACAACCGACCGTCGGGCTGCAATGCATTACCAGTACCATCCATCCACTATAAATACAAACAAGGGTACCTAATGTTACATCGCGCAAGCAGCAATACTCTCTCTCAGAGTTCGCTGCGACCTTCAATAGGAGTATATATCGGCGGTATAGAACGTTGGGTCACAGGGTATCGCCGGAGAACCGCTTATACACCATTCGGGGCTGGAGACCTCAGGAATCACAAAGGCAGCTGTTGAAGCGGTTCTTCATGAGAAATGTGACGATGATGTTATCGATATACCCTTGAGACACACCTCTGTCCATGATGGAGATAATTTTGGGGTATCAGGTATGGTCTGCAGCAACCAGACGACAGGTATTAGGCTGTTATGTGACCACCGTTAGCTGCATCATGTAGGATTACGCAATTGAGGAGTACTCGCCGTCAAGATGGATCGCTGTACGAGGGGAGGCGCAACTCAGGGGGGTGAGAGTCAGGAATGACGCGATGGAGGCGATAAAAGGGCGGAAAAGGTCGCCTTATATACAACGCACGGCAGAAATATCCATGAGACAAGTTCGGAGCGAGATCGATCAGCCAGGCCCTTGCCCGCCGGATGCAGCATGTCGGATGAAGATCAAAGAAAGATGCACTACACAGCCCGCACAGAGTCAGAAACTGTTCCGTGATCCCCTTGGCTTGAACACCCTGGGCGGCGTTCCGGACTCGGTAAGTTTGACAATAAGTGCTAGCCTATTGGCCGCGATACGGGCTGAGTAGAGATCGGAGGCTCTATTGCGACTAGAGCTCGACGGAGAAGCAGTTCTTCCTAGCCGAATTTGACCGGAAGCAACCCGGACCTGTACTCGTAGGGCGCAGAGTCATCGTGTTTGACCCGAGCCCGCTGCGCTCGACCAACTGCAGCTTGGCCATTTGGCAGGGTCGCTGTGCCGCGGAGTAGAACGCGGTAAACCGCACAGCGTTAACTAGTGCCAGCCTGACTTGGAAGCCGGCGAAGTGGCAGCTAACAAATTATGAAATAACAGTCTGCACAGGTACATTGGAGAAACGGATGTCTCCACGTTACTGCAGATACGTGAGTACGATAGCCCGCGCCAAGCAAAAGCGGCTTATTTAGACGTTATGAGCATGCTTGCGTCTCGTACATTAATGAATAGCATGACGGCAAGAGATGCACCTCGACCTTCGATTCACACCTCCTCCATTGAGACCTCGGGAGTTGCAAGGGCACTGCCTCCGTTCTTCAATACTAGCCTACGCCTCACGAGACTTCCGGTACAGTATCATCATCAGACCTATTACACTATCAGATGATCGATCCAGATGCTTACCGTTCAAAGACGTCTAACGGACTTTCCAATGCAACAGGTAGCGCATTGGCTTCAGATTGTTGTGAATCCGGTGTATAGGCCTTCAGAGGTATCCAACTGCTAAGCGGACTCGTCCCCGGTTCGTATGCCGCTTTGGACACGTATAGTAGCATTCCATCGCTCTTCAACTCTGCAGTAGTAACTTCCAGCTGCACCAGTGGTGAGACAGCTCCGTCAAGGTCCATTGCTGCCGTGCCTTCCGCAGTCTGCACGGGGGTTGAGACCGAAAAAAAGCGGGAGGATCTAGTAAGAGGTACGAGTGCGCCGGCGAGGTTGGCGAGTGATGTATCGGTATAGTATGGCACGGGACAAAATGTCGTTGGGTATGGGAACTTGTACCAGGACGATGGCGCCTCAACGCCTTGCATAACTGTGGGCTCTACGTCTGTGGCACTAGGTGGCGGTGGATGGCTGGAAAGCTCAGAAAGACGCGTATCTCGCCACCAGAACCTGAAAGGGGTCTCGCAGTCGGCAACGTCTTGGCCTTTCCACTTGATTACGTCAAGGACGTGAAGAATTCCATTTTTGTGCCAGTTCTCATCCAGGATGCAATCTAGAATAGTTTGTGGTGGGAGAGGCGAAGGGAAGGCTCCCATGAGCGGCTTGCCGAGCACCCGAGAACGTAGCGTCACATTCGGAACTGTGATTCATTCGGAATCAATCCCAAATCGAAAGAGTGAGCTATGCTTACCAACTCCGGCAATCCCAGATATCTGATGCGTTATAGCGAGACAGCGCTTGCCCACTGGAACAGGTGTCACGACTACCCATCCTGTTTCGATGTTCTCCGGGATGCCATCGCTAAGAGGGTACGCCTCGCTCATCTCTTCACTCATCTCTAGCAACTCCGCGTACATGCACTTGTCCGCCCAATTGCTCGGCTTCCTGCCCTTGGCCCCAGCGGCGGCCGCTTTGCCCTTGCGCTTATTCTTGCCACGTTTCTTTGCGTTGGTCTGCACATCGCTCGGCTGGGAAGGAGGTACAGCAGACTCACTGGAGATGGCGGTGGCCTCTGAGACGTCAATATCGGTCGCCACGCCTGAGGGAGCGAGCATCCCTGCAAATTGTGCCACTCCCTCGCGAACTATCTGAGGCCCGTCCTGGTCATTGTCTTCGTCTCCAATCTCATCATCGGAGGGACCAAGAGTGAGATCCGAGAAGAGGTCGAGCTGACGACTTGAGTCGAAACGTTCCGCACGTCTCTATGTCATTGATTTACAGCACGAATGGCTCAGCGAAAAGAATCGGATCGTTGCGTTGACACTCACTCGTTTCTGCTCTTCAAGTGCCTGCATTGAGGAAGCATAAGCCTCTTGATAAGGGAGTTAGTACTACTGCATACCTTGCTTCTACGATGCTCTTGCGATATCAATGGATCTCTCACCACAGCGGGCGGCACTTTGTACGAAGCTTTCCGACTGCTGAGCATGATGATCTTGATTGGCGCGTAATCGACCCGAACTTGCGAATTCTAAAATAACTTTGCACACGCTGCGATGGGATGCAGGTGATGGTGGTACGATGCTAACAACTGGATGGCAAGAGTTTGTATGGTGGTTCAAAACATCGGGCACTCGACAAAGTCGCTAGGACACGGCAGGCCACTTTAGACGCCCGGCGCCACTCGCACGTGACGTCCGCCGCGGTGCCCAATCGTGACCCGTTCTGGTCAGCCCACGATGCATTCACCGAGCGTTGTGAGACTTCTCATCCAAACTTCTGGCAGCCCTCTGCAGCTAGGTTGTTTTCTGCAGCCGTGAGCTGCAGAACACACAGGTCTTTCAATCTCTTTATTAGTAGCCCAGGCCAAACCGAATGTATGTCGAAGCCATCATCCAAAGGTACTACGACACCGTTTAGGTGAGGTTCACATTGGGCTCACAATCGTGGATATAGTGGCTACTATCACTATATATTCATGGAAGCTTAAGTTATGCAGCGATGATTGGCAGGGGCAAGACTACATGTGAAACGCTGTTCTATGATATGAGTATTGCGAAGGTATATGATCCCGTTGCCACTTTTTGATGCGACGTGTTTAGTCCAGATGCGCCAATGAATTACGTGGACACGCGACAGTCGGACGGTAGTCTCTTGTCGGGCTCTGGCTTTGCATTTAGACCCCGCCAATGGGAGGTCGGACCGATTCACAACGATCAAGGGATCGCAGTCAATAAACGCATAAATACGATCACTTTGGGGGTCCGTCGCACGAATCAGCTAACGTCGCTCCACTCTTCTCTCAAGCGACAATCCGCAGTTGTCGTGGTCATCATGTGCTCGGATTTTGGTCACGCCCTGACCCTTAGAATTGATTCAACTGTGATGGTCAGATCTCAGGTCACCACGGGATCAGATCCCGGCACCCTTCGACTCCGTCCAGGGTCAGGAGGTCAGGTATTGACCGGAACATCACTGCAGCTACGGAAGGTGTTGGAAAACTGTCTGTGGCAGATTCCGGGTTGTGGGTGTTCTGTCTCCGTGAAGTTACCGCATAGACGGTGGAGCTAACAAAGTTGTGCCCATCTGGTTATCAGGAAGAATGTTCGTCCATACATCTCAGCACATCTTTGCCGAATGTGTGGGATGTATTTCTTGCACCCGTCCTGCGACAAAGCAGGCGAAGACGAGCCAACGTAGTAAGAATTAATTGTGGATTTTGATTGGCCAGGGGGAACTGTTATCCCTTCTGTGCGCTAACGAGCCTGGACCAGCTCCATCGGGCCGGAACGGCTCGGGGGCGAGCCTCTGTGGGAGCGACAACTCACTTCGCCATTGGCTGGAAAACACCGGCTACCTACTGCCGGACTCGGAATCGGACTCCAGATTAATTGGATTGGACGCAAGTTATCCGGCTCGGATCGGTTCAGCTCAGCTCAGCTCGTGCCCACTGCTTGTGCCTTGCACTCCCTGGAGTTTGAACGCACTGTTAGCAGAGCAAGGAGCACGATTTGAAAAGCCAATGCGATGAAATTCACCTTGCGCTTCTTACCTCCTTATCATTGGACAAAACACACACGCATCAATAAAGAGCCTCCGCGTGATACTGGGCAGCTGTACTACCGCCCTCTTGCGACCCCACGCTGCTCACATGAGCACTACGCAGAAGTCCAGAAGCAGCTGTGCTCTGTGGGGTAGCCGACAAAACGCAGACGATCCCACACGTAAGGGACGATGTCCCTCCGCAGGCTCGGCATCCTATCAAAGGTGTTCGCAAGCTGTTACGCATGTCACCATTGCTCGAAGCCTATATCAACGTGGTGTCTCCCGATGGGCGAAGATGCCGACTCCCTCCTCTAGCGTCAGTGGGATTCCTCTCGCACTGACAGAACTGTAAATTTCTGTGATCTCAACATCACAGCGATTCAACGCGTCATGGTCCTTCCGGTCCCAGAGCTGCAGCGTTCCACGACAGGTTCTGGCAGTGTCAAGATCGTCGATAAGGAAGAGCTCGATACCAAGGAGGTCAACGTACGAGAACAGGATGCCACGCCGTGCGACTTGTATTCTGAAATCGACCTCTTCACATATCATGAACGAAACGCTGGGCGTCTGGTGATTGACGCTGAGTGAGTCTTGTAGATTTCTTTTTCTGATGGCGTTGCTGACAACGCCGTCTGATGTTAATCCGTCCTGCAGAGAGGCTAAGATAGAATTTGGAGAAGAGATCGCAAAGCGTCTCAAACTGTCCAAGGATGGGACAAAGGTCCTGTGGCCACAGCCGAGGGACGATCCGGAGGATCCGCAGAACGTAAGCAGCTCACCACGTCTTTCTAGTGATAGAGCTGAAATTAAACCATCATGGAAAGTGGTCGGATCGACGCAAGAATTTCCAGCTTTTCATCGTCACGCTTGCAGCAGTCGTCCCGGACTTTGACTCCGCCATTGGTATGTCTCTCTCGTGCTGTACCAGTGTCGCCTCTGATGAGATTCCCCTCTCCGTTATGAACGTCCCCTCGCATGCCAATTTCTGAGACAGGCATCTCGGCACTTTTCCAACTAGCTGAGCGGTTTGACACCACGACCGGTGTGATCAACGACTTGACATCAAAGTGAGCTACCTGTCCTGACTCTGACCCTTTCTGTGATGCTAACCTGATCCACGTATGTTCCAAATTATGCTAGCTGGAGTATCTTTCTTCTCGGTGCGGATTTGTTCTCCAATTTCCTAAATGCATACCAAATTTACATGCGCGCATTGTGCTCTAGGATGGGGCAGTGTCTTTGCAGTGATGATGATGCGTCGTTATGGACGGCTTCCAGTTCTTTTTTGGTCGCAGGTAATGTTCAGACTCTCGCTTACGTTTCGGTCGCCAACGGGATGCTGTTTTACACACGTGTTGGCTTCGGTTGCATTCGTTCGGCACGAATTTCGTAACGATCTTCTTCCTCCCTCCGCCGATTCGGTATGCTGTTCCGAACCTGACGCGCTTCTCCTTCTCTTTTCCCAGGTCCTTGCACTTGGCTTTCTCATTGGATGTACGTTCGCCCCGAACTTGAAGACATTCACAGGTGAGTATCGCTCCTGATTGGTCGATGACCACTTCCATTCTACCGGACATCATATTCCTCCGTGTTTGCAAATAAATCAAACTCCAGAGGCGAACACGATTACGGGGCACGGTCAATTCTCGCTCATTTGGTCATTCGTGGATGCGTGTCGTTTATATTACCTGCCCCCCCAAAAGATGTGCAAATGAGGGTACTAACAAGGTTGCCCCGTAGCGATGCGTTGCTTGACAGCGTTCTTCGGGTATGTTTTCATTGTTCTCTCACATGCACGATCAGCTGGCGCTGAAAATCTACGCCAGAACGACTCCACAAGTGACGGTATGCAGTACCCTCTGCTCGCGTGCTCTGCCGCTAATGGTTCTGATAGGGTCTCTTTGTTGTCACCGACCTGTTTCCATTTCACATGCAGGCCAGGAAGGTTAGCCTCAATTTTCAACATCTCTCTAACGATCTTCAACTTTAGCGTTGCTGTAGCTTAATATCTGGACAATGGGTTTCATCATCTCCCCGTTCCTAGCACCATTTGCACTGGGATTTCTGGCCGCTCGTGCAAAGTAGGTATCAGGCGGAGTCGACGTTTGACTGTGCCTTACTAACAACAATTGTCTCTCGTTGGTTGGCTCGTGCGTGGTCAGCTGGCGTTGGACGTACGGCACAGGTTCATTGTACGGCGCATTCGTCGTGTTCTTGATTACCTTCTTCCTCGACGAAACGTCAGTCCTATATCTTCCTGAATGCCGGAGTAAACTCATTCATGATTATGCAGGATGTATGACCGTGCTCTCCCAGAGCCACTTCCGTTACCAAGACCGGCGTCTAGACTGCTCTTTCGTCTACAGAATTTAGTGGGGGTAACCGGATGGCGGATGTCGCGGTTCCGAACGCCATGGAAGCCAGTGATTCTCGCCTGCGTGAACCTGGCTTGGCGTCCCCATATTTTGAGCATATTAATCTTTGAGGTGTGCTCCTCTTTTTCTGTGGCTTCTCCCATCCGAAATTCTAAGTGCTTCATTGACTCGTGTGAAGGCAACGATCTTCGGTTTCACGGTCGGCGCAAATGTAAGCATACATGCTCGCGCTCCTCGGATTTCTTGGTGTTGAGAGTCGATGCATTGCAGACCACGAATGCCGTGTTTCTGAAAGAATCTCCACCGGAAGGATATGGATTCAGCGAATACGCCATTGCAGGTGCTTACGCCACTCCAATTGTGCGTCTCTCAAGTCTATGCTACTGTTTAATCATAAGTCAATGTTTTTACAGGTTGCCGTCTTGCTAGGAGAGCAAATGGGCCACTATCTCAACGATTGGATTATGAATGTATGCATACGGCGAAACAAAGGCGTGTTCGAGGCCGAGATGCGTCTGTGGTATGTGCCCGAACGAAAATACTTTCCCTTGCGTCACCTGATCCCCTTGCAGGGCATGCTACCCTGCAGTTGTACTTTATGTTGTAGGCTTCGTCGTCTTGGGAGCATCAATGGAGCATCTGAACATTCCTGGCCTTATACTCGGCTGGGGGATTGCTCAGTGTGTTGTCGTATTCAACACGGTGGCAGTTTGTGAGTTATCAGTCATTTGACGTCCACATCAAAACGCTCACACATTTGTTCTGCGTCAGACGCGTACTGCAACGATTGTTTTCCAGATAGACAGGTATTTCTGATCATTGTACGGGTGATCTTCCTCTTACCGCTGGGCAGGGCGAGGTCTCTGCGTTGGTCAATCTCTATCGCACGCTCGGCGGATTTAGTGTGGCCTATTTTCAGGTCCCGTGGGCTACGAAATACGGAGCCCTGCAGACGTTTGGCGTAGAGGCTGCGGTGGTTGCGGCACTGTTCCTGCTTGTCGTCCCCGCTTTGCAGGTCAAGGGCACATATCTCAGGGTGAGTATTATGCCTACAATTGTCTAAGATGGGATCCTGAAAACGGATTGTGGTCCAGGCACGTTTCTCTCAATGAACGTTTGCATTACATAAGGGCTTGATAGATCCCACCATCATAGAGGCGGCCATCCAACGTATGCATCATGTATCACTGCAAGCGAAAGTGTATAGCGAATTTTACGATCACAGTCAGTAATTGTTGAATCACGTTGACCAACCTCTCAGTCGCGCAATTATCTGTCTGATCTGCTGTTCACTGTCTTTCTCATCTTCGTCCTGCTCTTCTTCTTCATTCTCAGCACTCTTCTCCTTTTCAGCGTCCAGAACATCTCCGCTCTCGCCCATAGCTTCCTCTCCCTCCTGGATCTTCCGCTTGCCTTCTGTATCAGTTTCTTCTACCCATTTTCTCCATCGCGTAAGCGGTGGCCACTCCACATTCAGAGCCTCAACGATGTTCGCCAGCCAACTGAGATCCGTTGCCAGTTGAGCCGCACCCGCGGTGTTCAGCCTCGGGATGCGCGGAAGAACGGTACGCGTGAGATTTGCGAGTAGAGTCCGAGTAAGGGACGTTAACCATGCAGCGGTGACTGCCTCTGGAGAAAAGTGCATCTCCGAAATGTTCTGTGCTTGCACCTGTGCCTGCATTCCCGTAATTTGTCCGGGCAACAGGGCGAGTGACGAGGAACGCCGAGACTTCAGCTCGGGCATTGTATGTGACGGTGTGGGCGAAGGCGCGACAGGCTCCGCGACTGCGCTGAGAAACCTCTTGCTGATGTGCGGAAGCGTCTCAAGTGAAACGGCGAGCGCATCATCATCCGCATAGACCTCGAAGAGCCGGGGCAGGCTGAGCAGACCCTCTGCCACACGGGCCATCGTCGGACTCGGGCTGAGCGAGAAGGTGGGGACATGCACGGCACTCGTGGCTCCGCCGGCGCTGGCACCGGCTGAACGTTTGGAGAGTTGATCTTGGACCCACAGGGACAGCGAAGCGTAGGACGCAAGGTAGGCGTTTAGAGGACCGAGGATCGTCTCTTGCAGTGCGACCTGGCACGTGAGGGCGAGTTGCGACATCGCGATCCTGGCGGCGACGAGCACGGGAGGCTGGGATGAGTGTGATGGCACCGGAGACACGGATGAACCGCGTCGTGCGTCGGGAGAAGGAGGGACATTGGGTGCTAGCTGCGTCTGAGACTCTGGTTCAACGATGTCCAATAATGTATGGAGCGCGGCGGAATTAAGACCCGATTGCATCAGCAATTGCATGGCACCACGCGTCGTGTTTTCTCCGTAGGCAGTGACATTGCTGGGATCCTCCCTTGTTGCTGGAAATGCTTGCGAGATCTGGACGAGAGAAGCACGCAACTTGGCTTCGAATGCTGAAGTGCGATCTGTCACAGCACGTACAGCCTCAAGGAGGTGCAGGAGCGATTGGATCTCTGCCCAATCCTCCGCAGTGTAGTCCAAGTCAGCTAGATCATCTTCTGACTTCGCCTCTGTGAGTTCGTTTGCGGACATACCGCCGGCGGATTTCTCCGCTGTGATCTCTGCGCGGGAAGCCTCCGCGAACGCTGAAATGAAGTAGTCAAGGGCCTGAACAAGTCCTTCGGCGCCATAGCCATGCGTGAACACAGAGCAGTGCGTGATAGCTTCCTCTGCTGCGCCGAATATGTCTACTGAGCGCTCTCTGAGTACACGTGCACGGTCGGCACCTCCGCTGGCCTTAAGCGTCGTTCGCATGGCAGCAGCCAGTGCCTCGTCGAGCATGCGTCGCTCAAGAGATTGATAGTCGCCCTGGAAGTCTATGAACGGTGCAAAGAGGTCCGTGTCCCACTCGAGCGTCGGTAGCGCTCCAGGGGAACCAGACCTGTTAGAGGTCTGCGAGAGGGTGATATTACTGCTGGATAGCCGATGAACCGACATACGACGAGAGATGGAGATGGACATGCGTGCAGAGGACCGTCGGCGCGGATGCACTCGCGGGCTGTCGTTCTCAATTCCCACAGCTGGAGAGTGCATGGCCGAGTATCCGACCTTCTCGAAAATCTTTTCGACTGCAGCAGCAAACTCTTGTGTGGCTCCATAGGCGGCTATGAGCTCCCGCAAGGCTACGGCGCCGTAATATGTGGAGACAGACGCGAGACGCTGAGAGAACGACGGCTGAAGGGCCGATAGAGTGGACGAGATCAGTGTTGAGAGTGTTTGTTGCGGGTCGGGGAAGATCGCTGGAATTGAAGTCCTTTCTATCTGGAGAATAGATAGAGATAACGTAAAGAAAGTTGGCAGAAATGATGCAAACGTCTGCCCTCCATCTGTTGTTCCGTCGCAGTCGGTAAGTCGGGCGTCTCGCCATGCCTCTACGAGCGAAGCGCGGCGAGATCCGTAGTAGTAGTTACGGAATTCGGCTTCGCGCTGTATATTGCTGAATATCGCAAAGTAGTTACGACACACAGCGACATCCTGCGAGCCCACTGCGGCTACAAGCGCCGAGCTGAGTGCGGCTTCGAGCTGGTTCTGTAGACTGACCATGAGCGTGCGCCGGCTCTCGTATTCTGGCGTGTTCTCAAACACGGCCATGCTCTTGTTGGCTTCTGAAAGCCTCTCGGCAGCCTTTTCGTAGCTCTTCTCGCCAAGAAGGGAGGTGACGTCGCTTTCGAGCGTGCCCCAGCTTTCTGCTTCGCGTAGCACCTCGCGGGCAGCCTCCATGTTCCGCTTTACTGTGTCGAGGAAGTGCAACCGATCGAGCGCGGCGTTGGTCTCTGCTGCAACAGACGCTTTCGATTTGGACTCGACATTCTGTAGGACTGCCTGCAGTGATAGAGCACCGTCCCGCATGAAATGTAGATCATATGTGAGGCGGGCTGCCCCGCGCGAGATGTCGTCAATTAATCGTTCTACCTCGGCCGATGTATCCTCGCTTGCAATTTCCAGTGTACCCGTCAGGCTGGAGATGCGTTTGTCGAGTTCGATGAGATCGGCCTCGTTCTCAGAGCCTTCTTGTCGAGGCTCAAGCACTTCATTGATCCAGGAAATAGCATCTGTGGAGCTCTCGAGCGAGTTAAGGAGGTTCAATGGCAACTCCAAATGTTTGGCGTTGCTAGAATCAATACCCGTTGCTTCCATATTTTGAGACTGGGTGTAACACACTGGGATTTATTTGTGCTTCAGCTTCTTGAAGGTCGTTCTACGACGTAATGGACAGAACGTTCCTGGACACACCTTTTAAATCTCTTTCTCTATAGTGGCGGTCGCAAGGTCGGACGATTCGCGCTTCAGTGTATTCGCACGGGTCTTTCGATTAGATAAGATGGTAGCGATCAAGATAAGATAAGATGTTACCAATGGCAGATGCTTGATCAGGCTTCCCTGAATCGGAGGTGTGTACAATCTGTTGAAATCATAACACAACCTTCCTGCATGATTTCTGTTATACGGAACGTGATGCATGTCTTTTTTCATCACATTGAGCAGCCTGCGCGGCACGTTGTCCTAACATGGACTTGTGTCACGAAGCAGAAGAGATGCTTCTGCCCGTATGATTTGCTTCAAGAACTCATACAAACACCACGCGCTCCTGGTGAGCTGGGTTGGCAACGAGCTGAAGCTAATCTTATGTAGACTCGACTCCAAGGACTCCAAGGGAAGCGAAAATGGAATTTAGCGAACGCATCGCGAAGAAGCTCAAACTTTCCGCGGATGGTACGAAGGTGCTGTGGCCTCAACGTACTGATGACCCGGAGGACCCTCAGAACGTGCGTCTTCCCTCCTTTCTCGACAACGCCTATGCTCCAACTTTATGTTGATGACATATTCAGTGGTCGGACGGGAGGAAGGACCTCCAACTATTCATTACTCTGGCAGCTGTACTACCCGACTTCGACTCAGCGATTGATGAGTCGTGAAGCACGTTTGCAACACCTCCGAACGTCATGCTGAGGTCAAGTTCTTCCATGTAATAGCAACTGCAGGGCGTCACTGCAGATGCACATTGTAATGATTGCTTTCTTAGCAGACACAAATGTACGCAATGCGATCTCGCATCGAGTGATTGAGTAACGCAGGCGTAACAAGGCGAGACATTTGCGTTGATTAACTGGTCCCTGACAATGGGCGGGTTCAACGCTGCATATTTCCAGGTCCGATGGGCGGAGCGGAATGGCGCATTGCAAACGTTTGAGGTAGAGATTGTGCTATCGTGTCGGCACTCTATCTGCTGGTAATTCCTGCGTTGCAGGTTTACGGTGCACGTCTGAGGGTGAGTGTTCCATCGACGCAGCTGCTTACACTATCGCAGACAGTACTGCTGACTGCTGCACAAGTACTCGGTTTAAAACCCGTAAACCCGAGGGTAACGCCTCGTGCATTTGTCCTGCAGCGCGCCTCGTATCGTGTCATGATCGCTTCATGCATGTCATATTGTCATATCATACTGTGAAGACTTCAGTGCAATAGATCCAGCCTGGCAGCAACATTGCGCGGTAAGGTGCTCGCTCACATGTCCCGAGGACCAATGCGGATTGTTCTACTTCGGCATGTAACCTCAACAATAGCGACAAGGGCAACGTCGCGTGTCTCGCCCAATTTCAGACATCAGACACTTGTGAGCGCGTCTGAAATGTCATGCTACCTCCTGTTGCGGCTTTGAATTCCTGAATTGACCATGAATGGACCATTATATGACTTCAAGGAGGGCCGTACAACGCACCTCAAGCTTCAGTTCCGTGTCTTCGGTTGTTCTCCTTCCTTGACGGCGCACGTTTGACCCGTGATCGGTTCTCGTTGAATTTTCCGTGTCCCAATCAACGGTGGCACTGTGTCCGGCATCTAGGCGAGCGATGCGAATTGATTCCACAACAGATGGCATGACGTCCTTCCGTATGAATGCGCGATTATTCAAGTTCACCAAAAGTGAATTTGCATAGCTTGCGCGAATATTAGCAACGAACGATCTCAGAAGGCATTCTCAGGATGATTTACAGTTTGGTGATTACAGGCGCGCTGTGGTTCCAGATGAGAATCGTGATGTTTTCCTTTATAGCTGAGGCACTTACGGCCCTTCATACAGCAACGTTCGCTTGAGCTGTCATAGACGTGAGTAGTATACCCGCATAGTTCAACGGACAGCACTCACCGAAGGCAAGCTGACCAAAATAGTGCCAACAATGGCCAAAGTGGCTAAATGGACGTCAGCAGGGTCAAGGCTTACTGACAGAGGGCTGACCTGTGAGACTGCCTGTCTCGACGGAAAGGCGTATGATTCCACTAAGGACGGCATCCGTTCTGGCTACCCCTGTCTTAGCTCTAAGTAGCTGAGATGCGCAAATCAGCCAAACATTCAAGGCGACAAGTTGAACGCTACCCACGAGGATCGTCATTGCCACTGCAATAACTACATCATTGACAGCGGCGCCGACAAGCCAGGTCTGCGAGGTACGGGTGAGCTGACTAGTCCATGGACATGGGATATAAAGTACTCACGATCAAAGATGCATCTGCTGGCCCTAAGTCCGCGCCAGTACCAGCTTGACCCATCTTATCACACCTTGGCTGTCAAGAGAATATTGAGGGATCGAAAATAGACCAACTTTGACTCCACCTGCAGTACCTGCTCCCAACTGAAACAAAGCAAGCTGTACGACAGAAATAAGTTTCGTGCATCCTGTAAAATGAAAGCATGACTTACAATCGCTACTACCACAGGTACAATGTAGTTCAATGAACGCGATGAATGGGTCAGCATGAATATTCGCCACGCGTAGAAAATTTGCACTACTGCGGCAGTGATTGCCGCCATAATAGGCACAGAAAACCAGGTAAAGGGATATGTATCAACCCGTGAGGTATCCCCGTCGGAATAAATGTACTGATCGAATGCCGCAGCAGTTGTGAGAGATGTCTGGACAGTCTCGAAGATTGCCAAGCCATAGACTAGCTCCAACATGTTGTCTCAACGAGAGTGCAATCGCGTCGGAGAACGTAATGACCCACCCAAACATTTCATAACCTTTCTGTCCTGGGGAAACCACAAATAGTACAGATCTATCAAGCGTCAGTAGGGGCTAACGCACTGTGCTGTGCAAGAGTGCTCACAGACTTGTGTAAGCAATACTCCGAGTAGAGCCCAGTTGAGGAAGTAGCCGAGGAGCTTGAACAGTATGATCATAGTGTCCGCAATTTCTAGTGAATGACGCGTACCTGTGGACCTGCTCTGGCACGACATTTGGTATCATCGTACACTGCCAATGATTGAGCTACACGTACTGCAAGCTGAATGTCTCTGAAGTCATCCTGGTTCAGCTGATATGATTGCCTCAGACAAGTACTTCTTGTGCATGGTTTCGTCATAAGGACATACCTCAAAGGTGGAGCACGAACTATACGATCGATGCCCTATATGTGTGACTGAGGGTAGCATGCGCCAAGTCGTATTTGTACGGCAGAGACATCCTTGTAAAATAGCTTCCGGACAGCGTGAGATGAACATTCTGCGAACGCCGAATGGCAATCACACTAATAATACCTAGCTGCAATTCAAACATGTGATGATTTGACATTGGACATGATGCATTGATGGGTTAGTCACTCCGTCGCCGTTTCATTCGGCCTGCCGAAGACCAATCGATGTGGTTTGAGATAGACTCGAAAATTTGTACAGGCAATGATGTCATAACCGGTCAGAAGATGTCAGTTCTGCAAAGATTCGATGCTTCTGTGCGGACAGAGCGGGCCTTAGTTAATCCACAGAGCCCCATATGTGCGTATAGGACCCACTGATAACTGCACTGGGCATGGACATGGGAACTGGACTGCGCTGCATCAACATCAGAACCTGATGCTGAATGTTAGCATCACGTTTTGAGATATTCGACAATGGCCGCGGCCATCAGGTCTCAGTCGGCATAGACGACTTCGATTCAAGCCGAGAATATATTGAATCTGCAGCGCCACCACGCCTCACCACGCCCGCGCCACCAGCCTCGTGACGCCAGAGATGCTTAAGGCAATGCTTGTCGTAAACGACATCAACCTGTTGGTCGCTCAATAGAACTGGTCACATATGTGACCTCATGAGCGGTAGGATTCTCTCCTTTGGAGTATGTCTAAAGAACACCACCTTTGTAGAACGCTGCAGGCCCCCGAGACTGACAACCGGGAGGATTGATACAACTCAGACACTTGATAGATCCGAAACAGTGAAGAGCAGCCATCATCTTCCTGTCTAGCATTCCGATAGGGTCCAGAAGCAGAATATTTAGCGAATAACCAATGACGATGTTCTGATGGACGGAACGAGCGGACCTTTGGAGAGGTGTCTCGGAGGGCAAATGCCCACGCATTGATCTCGGAACAGCAGGACGGATGACCGAACGCCTTAAAAATGGGCCCGAGCGACCCGAACCATTCGGCGATCTGCTGCATTGCCCTGAACCGCTAGACCATCATACACGGAAACGATGTCCAAGTCAGTCGAGGAATTTTCAGCCAAGCGCATCGTCTTCGAGACATCCGTACCCGTGGACGAGATAGTCGCGCGTCTCGACAAGGAGCTCAACAGCGATAAGGCTGGTCCCCAGCTCTTCGAAATTCTTAAGGAAGTGAAGAATAGAGAGGAACTGGAACGGGGTTTCCAGGAAGTCAGCGGAGGAAAGGACTTCGTGTACGTGCCCAATATCTCCTGTCCCTCATCGACATGCATGCAAGAGACATGTGCATTGACCATATGTCCTGCAGTCTCTTTGGGAAGTCTCCGTTCCACGTGTGGCGAAATGCATACTTTGGGACCACCGATGGTCTGAAGACATACCAATATTCGTTGGGAAATCCCACTATGGCGCAACCGATGCTGCAGCTGGAGCTGTACACGACGCTGCACGTCCCGCCGCGCATGCTAGTCGTCGAAAAGGCAGACAGGAGCGGAACGGAGATCGTGTACATGCAGCCCTCGACTCTCTTCGCTGCCCCAAGGAACGGCAAAGTGGACGAAAAGTTGCACGCTATGGCAGAGAAGGTTGACGACAAGATAGAGAGTCTGGTCCGGAGAGTGATTGGTGCTTGACGGGAGCAGTGATACCGTCTGGAAGGAGGACACCCTTATGCGACTTGTAAGAATCAATCTTCCTAGTGTTCTGTACCCTTCACCGATTGACAGAGAGACGAGTAAGCATCGTTTTGTGTAATAAACGCCCGAGAATGTCGCATGTTCCGACCATGCTATTCATCACTATCAACGACTCTGCATAATCAATTAATCATCAGAAAGACTTCTTCAAGATAGAGCGCAAGATGCTACAACTTAGTGCTATATTATAACCGTAGATGTGCTGTAACCATTGCGAAAAGAGAGATGGAGAGCCGACGATGACAACACGAATGCTGTCATGTGCTGGATAATGTAATGAACAGCACCCGGAGATAACCAGTACTTCTCAGCGGGGTACTTCCGCAATTCCAACCAGATGTTGGTGACAAGCGCGCCGTCGAGAATCCACAAGACTCAGAGAGACGCAGACCATAATGGTTGAGAGTTGCACTTCGAATGTAGAGGGCGAACTTCAAGCTTCAAGGATCGAGTTGTGAGCATCAAGCAACTTGGTTCTTGCGCCCGTGATCCCGCCCAGGACCAGCCACAGACACGTAGAGCCAATCCGCGAATTCTGCACCGTAGTCCTCTCTCGATGAGGCTGGCTCCCGGGTGAGGCCCACATAAGCATGACTTTGATATCACGCGCACTACCCATCCTGTACTTGCTCTCCCCAAGCCCAACTTGGCAGATAGATCGAAGACTGTGTAAGCGACCAGTCGAGTAGACGAGCCAGACCAGAGTTGTTGCCACCAGAGAGGAACTGAACCATATGGCATCCGTGAGACTCGCGAGAATCATAACCGAGCAGAAACCGCGCTATGGTAGGGAATGCATCGACGAATGGCCATCACGGACTTATGCATGGTCCAAACTTGTTAGTTCAATGGTTGTTTGGTGTTGTTGTGCAAAAGCTTTGACGCTGGATAAGTTACCTCGTCAGAGTCGAGGGAGTTCATCAGAAGAACTCAAATCGGCTTGGCCAATGGCTAGAAAACCTCCTTCCTGATTTATTCTCGCTGATTTTAGCTTGTGCAAGCCAATAAGTTCACGGCAAGAAGCTCTCAGTCGGGAAAAAGGTCCAAAACAGGGAGGTTCTGAGACTTTTTCGGACTGACTGTGATGACGACAAGCGGCTCAAAGCATCGTACGTCAGATCTGAGTTTTCCTGATGTTTTTCAATTCATTCAAATAATTAGGTCGTCTTTGCGATGACAAACGAGAGTCTGCTTCGTATGGCGCTCACTGAAAAGGTACATTAAGTTGGAGAATTCAGAATCACCAGAACTTGTCCAAGCTCGCGAGTCAATCTGCTCCTCACTTCGCAACTGCCGGGATTAAAACATGTATTTCACAACATACAGATTCCTAATCCATACAGCGATATATTGGCGAGAAATTCACGTTATTTGTCCCAATAGATCGCGCTCTATCGACCGACTCATCATAAAGGCAGCGTTGGTGCAAGGCATATAGAGACACTCACCTGCCTTGTTGGAAACGGTGAGACGCAGGTCACGCGTCGCAATGGTCCCTTCGCCTCCAGCTTGACTCGAGCTCTGGTATATCGGTAATGGGACTTCGATTTAATCCTTTGCCACTGTTGCGATCGCGTGCACGATCTCTCCTGGGAAGGCATTCACGGGGTGTGTTGCGGTCAGTACTTCTTCGCGAAACGTTTGGCTCGCCCATCTCAGCTTTGAATTGAGATATGGATTGATCGTGAGCCGGATTTCGTTAACTCTGGCACACCAACCGCACGGGAAGGAGAGGGAACTTAGCCAAAAGGACTGTGGGTATGGTGAGCGTACATGGCTTCCATCGTGGTGCGTGCATGATATATTGAATCCCACGGGTACTCAAAGTTGTGCTAGTGTGCGTACAAGGCTCACGGAGCTGAAGTATCGTCTGTTACATTTGTTCCGAATCGTTCTCAAAAGTCTGCTATGCCAGCACCTTCCACGCTGAGAACTTGAGTCGTACTTGACCTTGTCGACGCATGCTCATGCACAAAACTCCTCTTCCCAGATCGTCAAAGTTCAAGAACCGGGAGCTGTTTCGAGTGATGACTTGCTGGAAATACTGGTATATCTGACTCGGAAAATTCGATGAATCGTGTTGAAAGAACACGTCCTTCGTCGGAATAAGTCAGTGCTGTGACCCGAAGGTCTCTCACCAAACAATGTCGCATCGCATACTACGAACTACAAATACATCACAGCGATCATTGACTATCGACACGCCACATTGATAGAGCCACTGGTTCTCAGGCTGTTGCCGAAGTCAGTACATGGCGAAGGTTCCAGTTCGAGACTCCACGCCAGATGCCCTCGGTTGTTACCTCAAAGCCCGTACTCTTAGAGCTGAGGTAAGCCGTGAATGGCACACTGAGTGTGCCGGTGTCCACGGTTGAAACCGCTTTTACGGTCTCTCCAGGGCCTGCTCGGACAGAGAACGTAGCCGCGTACGTCTTGGAGAAGGTGTTCTCCTCGCCCCACTTCCACTCGTTGTTGACAGAAATGTCGACTTTGAACTCGGTCTCGGCAAAAAACGGAACTCCAGCTTTAAAAACGCAGCGAATGGTCAGCCTATCGCAATATGTTCAACAACGAGCAACATGCACCTTTGAACGCGGTGCCTACGGCGATGGTGAAGCCCGCAGTATAATCGAACGTGCTGGTCTGCGTCAACGTTTCTGAGAAATGAAATGACATCTCCTGGGTCTGAGATGATGAATTCTCGAGAACTTGGGTCGCTAACACGTTCGGCGTCGATGAGAGAATTCTGCCATCCTTGAGGTCGTACTCTATCTTATCGATGCTCATATCCTCGAAGAGGAAGGTGAAGTATTGGTCGTCGCAGACTTGAGTCTGAGGGTGATTCCAGAAGTATGGTTTCAAATGCGTGCGCGAGACGAGCGCGGTGCCAGTCGACGGCGCTACGAGCCGGAAATATTTAGAGCGATAGGTCTTTCCTGGCTCAATCTTGAACCAGCTGTTGAATGAGCAATGATGAATTCGCCAGCCCGGAGATCCGCCAGCCAGTCAGGGGTACTTACTTGTCGTTATAACGTCCGTCGCCATCGATTTGGCCCACATACGGTTCCTTATGGGTACGCGAGAAGAGCACCTTCCCCGTCGCTTTGCTCTTTATCGCGTAGAGATCGGCACGTTCTCCAGTGCCGTAAATGAACGAGAAGTACTGGTCGGTAGCCTGGTCGTTGACCGGAGACAGACCAACATCGGGAGAGGGAGAATTGCGCGCGAAGATCACCTGCCGACTGGCAAAGCCAAGGAGGCGGAAGTAGAGACCCTCCGGCGGGATGTAGATGTCGGTCATGGTGAATGGGAGCGTAACGTGTACGTTAGGATGTTGATGATGCAAGAGACAGAGGAAGAGATGGGCAACTGAGACAACGGGCAGTGTGTGCAGTGATGCGTTATAAGAGCGGCACGCGTGCAGGGCTGCACCTTCTGGACGGCCGTTGGAATAGGAGGTCCGCACGGATGAAAACGTCTTTATGGCATCTTCTTTTACAAACATGCTTTTGAATTGGGACATGTGGCCGCGCGAGTAATGCGTGTCTCCATATCAATATTCCGAACCATGAACTTTCCTTACGTGTGACGAAACACGACTGGCTGAAGTAGTGCACGAGGTGGTCCATATTTGAAGGGCCATGCACCAATATCCTCTTCGCGGTGATGAGCTGCCTATTTACAGGAAGGCGCGTATGTGCACCGGATCGATGGAGGCCTGACGGATCGACGGGTTAAACCCGCCTCGGCGGACCCGAGCAAGGAGCAATACATTCAAATTTTGCTATGTTTGAGCAGCACGGGCTATGTAGCTCTTTCCGGATACTCAGTGCTTTCATTCTCTTGCTATAAGATCGCGCACGTGCTGCCTAAGTCAGGCCTCCAGTCCATGAACCGGTAACCCTGCGAATGACAATGAGCGGTGGATTTTATGAGACTGGCAGGATCGTACCTAGCAGCAGCAGCTTAGCGATTTTCAGGGCCCAGCGCGGTCTGAAAGCCCGAGGTTTGGCCCAGCTTCTGGCAGCAGGCTCAGGCTTGCCAGAATGGCAAGCCGAGCCCTCTGCGAAGTTCGGCTGTGCTCAGGCTGGGCTTGTCACATATGAGTGAAAAGAGTACTATTACGGCCCGCTTAAGTGGACGAACCTTCTCAGATTCCATATTCGTCGAGTGCACATAACACGAGGCAACCTTGCAGAGCATGGCGAGGATAGTAAGATCATCGCTGAGATACGGCCTATCGGCAACGTGGCGAGGATTAAAGGGGGGATCGAGAGCTACCAAAGTACATTATGCGGCCTCGAAGAGGCCTTAATCGAGGCCGCCTGATCTCCGTTGCAGGTACAGGAAGCGTCAATTACCGTTGTGGCAGAAAAAGCCCGGAGCCGCGAGCTCCGGCCTTGCTCAATAGACGCCGAGCCCTTCATATGGGTTCAGAGCTTCCTTGGCTGGGCTTGCGGGCTCGTGCTCGAAAGCCTGACCCTGGCTGAGTCGTGATGCCACGATGTTATTGCCCTAGATCAAAACCATTTGCTGCTGGACTATGTCACGGTAAGTAGATCTTACACTGAAGACGCTCGTACCAATTCCAGTGATCATCGTCAACTGGGCTGATGGGCTGCAGGTTGGTGACAACATCGAGAGCTTGGTGCGAAGAGCGAATATTGGTGCTTGACCGCAGTAATGGTGCGGTCCGCAGGGAAGACTTCCACATGTATTCCTAGCGTTCCGTATATGTCACGCCGAGAGACAAAATAGTCGAGGTGAGCATTTTGTAATGCAGTGAAGAATCCAGCATGCTCCATTGAAAGCATTATAAATGTATAAGACACGACTCCTCCGACGTCGTAATCGTTGACCAGTAAGTCTGAGAGGACCGCAGCTTCAGGCGTCGGGCTTGAAACCTCTCGCTGTGGGAAGAGTTTTGGTAAGAAAGTTCTGGTAGAGATCATGTCTGCCAGAGACAATCCTATGTGGGCGCCCTGCTCCTGAGAAACACTGAACAATCACAACAGCGACGCCTCCACGACAGAGCGCAAAACGCTGCAAGTTCAAGTGGTAGGAGAACATATCCTTCTAGAGGTAGCCAGACTGCCTATGCCGCCGTGAATGAACCAAAAAGCAAGTCGATCTTCGTCTCACCAAAGCGCGCTCTACTTGACACAAAGGCATCAGCATGCGGCTTGTATACCGAGTGTGCGTAGTCACAGTTCAGCTCGCCTGATCGATGACGTAAGAGTTGATCGTGAATTTTGATTGGCTAGTAATGCTAATGAGCCTGGACCAGCTCCATGGCGAGCCTCACCAACGCACTTCGCCATTCGCTGGAAAATGCCGGCCGCCTGCTTTCGGCTCACTGCAGCTCAGCCCGAGCAAATCGGCCACTAATTTCATGCTTTTCATTGAACTTCACTAATGGGCGACCATAATCGAAGGTACGTATGTCAACGTATATATCGACCTGATTCCAGTTCTCATTGTACACAGAATGTGATGCAAATCTGCGCAGATGATCATGAACCGCATCGCCCTGACATGATCACGTCGACTTGAATGCACAAAGGAATCAATTTTGCCGATATAATTCACTTCAACGCCTTATCTATGAACCACACCTTCCTTGATAAATGTAAAGCTGGGATAGCGTCGACCTGACATGCCCCGCTTTCTAAAACGGGCAAGGGACTTCGTCATGAGGACGGGAGCGCATTGGCTGGGACCGTTCGAACATCACTGGTGTGGGAGGGGAGTTCGCGCTTAGGCTACCCCGCGTTTCTGAATCTTAATTGCAGAACTAGGGCCATCTTTCCCCGTTGACATAAATACGGGCGCAATGAACTGTTGGAAGTGGCCGCCCGACGGCACTTCTGGTGAAACGCGCTCAACGCGTCGGGAGGGACAAGCGCCAAGCGACGGCTGAAACGCGTCGCAGGGCGGTACCTGGAAACAGAGCGGGCGAGTACGGAAGGGCAGAAAACGTATAAGTACGCACCTGTACTACTGTATTCCCCAGTCGTTTGTGGCCTCACCAGCCTCTCACTCCCATTGCGCCCATGAGACGGGAAGGTGCCGGCTGGTTAACACCCTTGCCGCACCCAGGATTTCCTAGATGAACTGCTCCGCTCGTGACGGGGTACTGCTCTTACTCCTCGATCGATGTCCTCCCTTGCTGATCCAGAGGCCCATACTGCCATAGAAGTTGATGTCATAGAGAAAGATGGGGACTCCAAGTATGAGCGATCCTCAGATAATGTTGGCATTGATCTGCTATCGTACCATGAGCACAATGCTGGTCGTCTCGTTGTAGATCCAGAGTGCGTATTACTCTCCTCCCTGTAACTCGTGCGGGTACGGTGTCCGAAACTGATGTCCATGTGGGTTCGACTTTCAGAGAAGCGAAAGTGGAGTTTGGTGAGCGCATCGCGAAGAAGCTCAAACTTTCCGCGGACGGTTCCAAGGTATTATGGCCACAACCTACGGATGACCCGGAGGATCCTCAGAATGTACGTCGGATATTGCATAACCTCCGACAGCTTGCTAAGCGAATTTTAAGTGCTCCGATGGGAGGAAGAACCTGCAGTTGTTCATTATTACCTTAGCGGCTGCAGTACCCGACTTTGACTCGGGCATAGGTGGGTCATGAAGCACGTCTTTAAAGCATACAGTTTCCATCCGCTGAGCCCATCCACATTGCAGGCATCGCTTCAATCTTCGCCTTGGCAGCCCAATATCATACCACGACCACGGTTATTAATGATCTGACTGCGAAGTGCGTTTGTCGGGCATCATCAACTTTCCTCTCACTAATGCAATCGACTCTCCATGGCGTTCCCACAATATCATTGGGACATCGACTCCAACTAATTTCGGACATCGATCGTCGCACATATTCTTCCGGTCAATTTGTGTGCAGCTGGAGCATCTTCTTGCTAGGTAAGAATTGATTGGATTTCTGCGCTTTTGACGTCTGAGTCGGACAGGATGGGGCGGCATATTCGCTGTGATGTTAATGCGGCGATATGGGCGTCTTCCCGTACTTTTCTGGTCTCAAGTGAGCTGCTTCAGTCTTTCGTACCAAAGTGCCAATGAACGAGGGATTCGTTGCGCAGGTCCTCGCACTTGGCTTTCTTGTCGGATGCACCTTCGCACCCAATTTGAAAACTTTCACCGGTGGGTCCATTGTGCCTATCACGCGCTCAACCGCGGTCCGGAACTCACTAGCCTCATTGCTCCAGCCATGCGCTGTCTCACAGCCTTCTTCGGGTAAGCCGTCAATGTTTCAGATGGCCCATCTTTCGATCACACACGATGCTATTACGTATTCTTTGTGATTTCTCATATCCTTGAACTGACCATCGGGATCGCTCTGTAGAACATGTCCACAGGTTACGGCAAGTCATCTAACACTTTCTGGATCCTCACGTCGAACTGAGTCTTGCATATGCCGCTTCAGGGTCTTTATGTCGTGACAGATATGTTTCCATTCCACCTCCAGGCACGGAAGGTCAGTATGAGCGCCGTATCATTGATTCCTTGTTTTATTATTCATTCGTGACACACAGCTTAACATTTGGACAACGGAATTCATTATATCTCCCTTTCTGTCGCCTTTTCTCTTCGGTTTTCTAGTTGCGCGCGCAAGGTAAGCTCGAGCCCCAGTGTCGCTGATTCTCCCTGTTATGATGCTCTCGTAGCTGGCGTTGGACGTACGGCGTTGGCTCAATCTACGGTGTCGTTGTTGTACTCTTCATTCTATTCTTCGGCGAAGAGACGTATGTGCCCTCGCTCAGCTAAATCTTCCTGGTTATCTCCTCACTCTCTGCGACCTGACAGCTTGTATGATCGAACACTTCCGGATCCCCGCCCAATCAAACGACCCGCATCGAGGTTGCGATACAGGATTGAGACTCTGATAGGCCTAACGGGCGCTCAAATGGCACGCCATCGGGCAGGTTGGCGCGATGCGGCACTAGCCTGTTTGAACATCATATGGCGCCCGCAGCTTGTGGGCATATTGCTGTTTGAGGTCAGCTGTTATTTCATAGTCCCGTTCCTTGTACTGACTCATGATAAGGCCATGGTATTCGGGTTCAGCGTCGGCATCAATGTATGTGAATCATTTTTCATACCACAGGTGTGTATCCAGATTTCTGACAATGGGATTAGAACACGAACGCTGTATTCCTTGGCGAATCGAAGCCGTTTGGACTCGGGTTCAGTCAATACGCGATTGCTGGCGCATATGGGACCCCCGTTGTGCGTCATGTTTCTTGAAAGCACTCTCACCGGTATCGTCTTGCTTATGATGACTTATAGGTTGCGGTGCTCATCGGTGAGGTGCTGGGTCGATACTTCAACGATTGGGTCATGAACGTTTGCGTCAAACGTAACAAGGGCGTTTTTGAGGCAGAAATGCGATTATGGTACGCAGAGTCCTTCATAATCTGCCGTCCACGTCAAACGTATCACTCATATTACCTGAATCCATACATATAGGACCTGCTATGTCGCTGTACCATTGTATATCTGTGGTTTTCTCCTTTTAGGTGGCACCTTCCAGAATCACCTAGGTACAGGTGCGCTCGTCATGGGCTGGGGTATAGCGGAAGTTGCAGCTATGATCTGCACGGTTGCAGTTTGTGAGTGTTGCTTTGACCGACACTGGCTGGGCATTGACGACAAGAGTAGATGCGTATTGTAATGATTGCTTCCCTACCAGAAAGGTTTGTCATGCCATGTGAATCTGCTTCGAATACTAAAGCAATAGCGGCAATAGGGTGAGATATCCGCATTGATTAACTGGGCTCGGACGACGGGCGGGTTCAGCGTCGCATATTTTCAAGTTCCATGGGCACAACGAAGCGGCGCGTTGCAGACGTTTGGCGTGGAGGCGGCTATCGTGTCCGCGCTCTTCCTCCTGGTAGTCCCTGCATTGCAACTGCACGGTGCACGTTTGAGGGTGAGCGCTACTTTCATACAGCTGTGTAGACTTTCGTTGATGGCACTGCCTATTGCAGCGCAAGTATTCGATTTGAATACCGATCCTTCAAGCTTCGAGGGACGTATCGGATGATGATGCTCGCTTGTTCCAAAGCAAGGACAAAACTTGTGGTCGGGCACGTATCCTGAACCTTATAATATGAAAGGCCACCACGTGTGATGCCGAAATCTAGACACCACACACTTGTGAGCACGTCTGCAACGTCATCCTATCATCTTTGAAATTCTAGATCAGCCGTGATTGGACTGTTTTATAATTTCAGAAGAGCGTATCGTGCAACTCGAGCTTCGATTTTTGATTATCGGGTTTTTTGAGCTCCTATGATGGCGCGTGCGGTGTTAAGCTCTTGTCAGGTCTTTCTTGTTCCAATTATGTCTTGTTCCAATTATCAGTCGTATTATGTCCGTCATCTATTGAAGCGCCGCGCATCGACTCTCATCTGATGGCATGACGTTCCTTCGTACGAGTGCTTATTTGTTCAAGTTTGTCGGCAGTTGATCTACAAAGCTTCCACGGATGTTAATAATGAGCTCGAAGCCATTCCCAGTTTGACTATACATGAACGGCACTCACTATAGGAAAGCCAGCCAAGGTAGTATACCAAATGGTCAAAGTGGCTGATCAGCGCGCCAGGATGTACTAATGGAAGGCTAACCTGCGAGATTTACCGTTTCAAGGGCGTCGGTTAATATCTATCGCACGCTCGGCGAAATTCGTATGGCCCATTTCCAGGTACTGTGGGCTACGAAATACGGGGCCCTACAGGCGTTTGGCGTAGAGGCCGCAGGTGGTGGCGGCACTGTCCTTGCTCGTGGTCCCCGCTTTGCAGGTCAAAGGCACATATCCACTGTGTCCGTCATTGTCTGAGATGGAATACTGCAAACGGAACATGGTCCAGGCACGGTTCTTTCACTGATAGTTTGCATTACATGAGCGCTTGATAAACTCCACCATAGAGGCGGTCATCCAACGTATAAATCATGCCTCTGTTTGTACAACTGCAAACGTAAAAATATAGCGAATTTTGCAGTCATAACCAATGATCGTTGACCAACCTCTCAGTCGCGCAATTACCTGTCTGATCTGCTGTTCACTATCTTTCTCATTCTCGTCCTGCTCTTCATCTTTATTCTCAGCACTCTTCTCTTTTTCGGTATGCGAAACACTTCCGCTCTCGCCCACGGCTTCTTGTTCCTCCTGGATCTTTCGCTTGCCTTCTGTATCAGTTTCTTCTACCCAATTTGCGCCATCGCGTAAGCGGTGGCCATTCCACGCTCAAAGTCTCAATGATATTCACCAGCCAACTGAGATCCGGTTGCCAGTTGAGCCGTACTCGCAGTGGTCAGCCCCGGAATACGCGGAAGGGCCGTACGCGTGAGACGTGCGAGTACAGTTCGAGTAAGGGACGTTAAACATGCAGCGGTGACTGCCTCTGGAGGAACGTGCATCTCCGGAACGTTCTGTGCTTGCACTTGCGCCTGCATGCCCGTGACCTGTCCGTGCAACAGGGTGAGTGACGAGGAGCGCCGAGGCTTCAGCTCGGGCATTGTATGTGACGGTGTGGGCGAAGGCGCCACACGCTCCGCGACTGCGCTGAGAAACGTCTTGCTGATGTGCGGAAGCATCTCAAGCGAAACTGCGAGCGCACCATCATCCGCATAGATCTCGAAAAGCCGCGGCAGGCTGAGCAGGCTCTCTGTTACACGGGCCGTCGTCGGACTCGGACTGACCGAGAAGTTGGCCATGGGAACATGCACGGCACTCGTGGCTCCACTAGTGCTGGAGCCTGATAAACGTTTGGAGAATTGATCTTGCCCTCGGCCGCCTCTTCGTAGCTCTTCTCGTCAAGAAGCGAGGTGACGTCTGGTGACGTCGCTTTCGAGCATGTCCTAGCTTTCTGCTTCGCGTAGCACCTCGCGGGCAGCCTCATGCATGTCTAAATTGACACTGTCGAGGAAGTGCAACCGATAGAATGCGGCGTTCGTCTCTGCTGCAGCGGACGCCTTCGATTTGGACCCGACATTCTAAAGGACTGCATGCAGCGATAGAGTGCCATTCCGCATGCTAAAATGTAGATCGTACGTGAGGCGGGCTGCCCCGCGCGAGATGTCGCCAATTATCGCTCTACTTCGGCCGACGTGTCTTTGCTTGTCCAGTTCTTCCTGGCAGCCTTCTTGCGCACTGGGGTTCAAGTATATCGTTGAACCAGGATACAGCATCCGCGGAATTCTGCAGAGAATTAAGGACATTTGACGGCAACTATGAACGTCTTCCTTGCTAGAATCAATATCCGTTGCTTCTGTAGCTTAAGCTGCGCCGCACCAAGCTTCGCTGGGAATTACGCATGCTTGAGCTGTATGAAAGTCGCTCTACAACGCGATATACAGCATGAATCATGTACATACCTTGTAAGATCCTTTCAAAAAGTATCAAACGACACGTTCGTGAAATCTGAGACCCCGACTTATAAGCATCACTAAGAGATAAGATAAGGTGATGATGATCGCTTAGATTAGATTGCCACGAATCTGATTATCGGCAGAGATGCTCGCCAATCGGCCAGTACATTTATGCTGCTCATTCCGGACGATCATAATCCGAGTCGAAGGTGCGTATGCCAACATAGTACCACATGATTCCTTAGTTCTCGTTGTACACAGAACGTGATGCAAATTCGTGCAGATATTCACGTACCGCATTGCCCTGACATAGTCACCTTGAATAACACAAAAGCCTGAAGCAGCGTCTGCAGACGGAGACAACTTTGCGTATATGATTCCCTTCAACGCCTTACCCAAGAAGCACCCTCCTCGCTGAAGCTGGGATAATGACGACCTGACAATCTCCGCTCGTCAGGAAAACTCAAATCCGGCTTGGGACATTTTTATCCGCCTGCCGTTACCAAAAAAGACAGTAAGCTCGAGAAAGTCTCAAGATCTTCTTTTTTGAGCCCTTTTCGGGGTTGGAAGCTTCTTATTTCGCTTGCACGAGCCAAGATTCGCAATAACAAGTCAAAAAGGAGGTTCTCGAGCCACAAATTGATTTAAATTTTCCTGATGCTTCCTAATACAGACGAGAAGCATCATGAGGACGGGAAAGTATTGGCTGGGACCGTTCGAACATCTACATGTGATGGTCACTAGTGTGGGAGGGCTTCGCGCTTAGGCGACCCCGTGTTTTTGAATCTTAATGCAGAACTAGCGCCCTCTTTCCCCTTTGACATAAATGCAGGCGCAGCGGACTGTTCCGTTCATAATGGGACACTGCTCTTACCCCTCGACCAATGTCCTTCTTTGCTAATCCGGAGGCCCATTCTGCCATAGAAGTTAATGTTGTGGAGAAAGACGAGGACTCCAAGTACGAGCGATCCTCAGATGACGTTGGCGTTGACCTGCTATCGTACCACGAGCACAACGCTGGTCGTCTCGTCGTAGATCCAGAGTGCGTATTTCTCTCCTCCCTGCGACTCGTCCGCGCACGGTGTGCGAAACTGACATCAATGTGGGTTCGACTTTCAGAGAAGCGAAAGTGGAGTTTGGTGAGCGCATCGCGAAGAAGCTCAAACTTTCCGCGGACGGTTCCAAGGTATTATGGCCACAACCTACGGATGACCCGGAGGATCCTCAGAATGTACGTCGGGTATTGCATACGCTCCGACAGCTTATTAAGCGAATGTTAAGTGGTCCGACGGAAGAAAGAACCTGCAGTTGTTCGTTATCACCTTAGCGGCTGCAGTACCCGACTTTGACTCAGGTATAGGTGGGTCGTGAAGCACGTTTTTCAAGCATACAAGTTTCATGCGCTGAGCTTTTCACATTGCAGGCATTGCTTCAATCTTCGCCTTGGCAGCCCAATATGATACCACACCCACGGTCATCAACGACCTGACTTCGAAGTGCGTTTGTCGGGCATCTATCGGCTTACCGTCACTAATACAATGGACTCTTCCTGGCGTTCCCACGATACCATTGGAACATCAACTCTAACGAATCTCGAAAATCCATCGTCGCACATTCTTCTGGCCGATTTGTGTACAGCTGGAGTATCTTCTTGCTAGGTAAGTATTTATTGGATTGCTGGGCCTTTACGTCTGAGTCGGACAGGATGGGGCAGCATATTCGCTGTGATATTAATGCGGCGATATGGCCGCCTTCCAATCCTTTTCTGGTCTCAAGTGAGCTGCTTCAGTCTTTCGTACCAAGCTGTTAACGAACGAGTGATGTATTGCACAGGTTCTTGCACTTGGCTTTCTTGTCGGCTGCACCTTCGCGCCAAATCTGAAAACCTTCGCCGGTGGGTTCATTGTGCCTATCACGCGCTCAACCGCGGTCCGGCACTCACTAGTCTCATTGCTTCAGCTATGCGCTGTCTCACCGCTTTCTTTGGGTAAGTCGTCAGTATTCAGTGGCCCACCTTTCTATCACACACTATGCTGTCACGTATCTGCGTGGATGCTCATATCCCGAGACTGACCATCCGGATCACTCTGTAGAACATGTCCACATGTTACGGCAAGTCATCTAACACCTTTCTAGATCTCATCGTTAAATATGCCGCTTCAGGGTCTTTATGTCGTGACAGATATGTTTCCATTCCATCTTCAGGCACGCAAGGTCAGTACGAGCGCGATATCATTGAGTCCATTGTTTCATCGTTCATCTATAACGTGCAGCTTAACATTTGGACAATGGGCTTCCTCTTATCTCCGTTCCTGTCGCCGTTTCTCTTTGGTTTCCTCGTCGCGCGCGCAAGGTGAGTTTGAACACCAGTGCCGCTGATCCTCCTGTCATGACGCTCTCGTAGCTGGCGTTGGACGTACGGCATTGGAGCAATCTACGGCGCTACTGTTGTGTTCTTTATTCTGTTCTTCGGAGAAGAGACGTATGTGCTCTCTCTTCAGCTAAGCCTTTCCTGCTTGTCGGCTCAGCCTCTGCGACCTGACAGCATGTATGATCGAACACTTCCGGATCCCCGCCCAATCAAACGACCCGCATCGAGGTTGCGATACAGGATCGAGACTCTGATAGGCCTAACGGGCGCTCGAATGGCACGCCACCGGGCAGGCTGGCGCGATGCGGCACTAGCCTGTTTGAACATCATATGGCGCCCGCAGCTTGTGGGGATTTTGCTGTTTGAGGTCAGCTATTATTTAATAGCTCCGGTCGTTGTACTGACTCATGGTTAGGCCATGGTATTCGGGTTCAGCATAGGCATCAATGTATATGAACTTCTCTTCAAACCACAAGTATGTATTTAGGTTGCTGACAACGGGATTAGACTACGAACGCTGTATTCCTTGGCGAATCGAAGCCGGTTGGACTCGGATTCAGTCAATACGCGATTGCCGGCGCATATGGGACCCCCATTGTGCGTCATTTTTGAAGCACTCTCATCGGTATCGTCTTGCCCATGATAACTTATAGGTCGCGGTGCTCATCGGTGAGGTGCTGGGTCGATACTTCAACGATTGGGTCATGAACGTTTGCGTCAAACGTAACAAGGGCGTGTTTGAGGCGGAAATGCGGTTATGGTACGCAGAGTCCTTCGGAATCCGCCGTTCATGCCAAACGCACCGCTCAACTTCTTTAAATCAATATATGCATAGGACCTGCTATGTCGCTGTACCATTATATATATGTGGCTTTCTCCTTTTAGGTGGCACCTTCCAAAATCACCTAGGTACAGGTGCGCTCGTCATGGGCTGGGGTATAGCGGAAGTTGCAGTTATGATCTGCACGGTTGCAGTTTGTGAGTGGTACTTCGACCGATGCTGGCCGAGCATTGACGACAGGAGTAGACGCATATTGTAACGATTGCTTCCCTACCAGACAGGTTTGTCGTGTCATCTGAATCTGCTTCAAACATTAAAACAATGCTGGCAATAGGGTGAGGTATCGGCGTTGATTAACTGGGCCCGCACAATGGGCGGCTTCAGCGTCGCATATTTCCAAGTTCCATGGGCGGAACGGAACGGCGCACTGCAGACGTTTGGTGTAGAGGCGGCTATCGTGTCCGCGCTCTTCCTCCTGGTAGTCCCTGCATTGCAACTGCACGGCTCACGTCTAAGGGTGAGTATCACCTAAATGACGCTGCCGAGACCATCGTTCACGGTACTATAGCGCAGATTTTCGATTTGAATGCCTATCCTTCAAGCTTCAAGGGTAAATCATCTTGTGTGGTATCGTGCGATGCAGTTCACATCATATCATGGCCGCTTCATGCATACCTCGTTCTCAAATCGTGCCAAAGGGTTGATAGTACGATAGATCCGCACTGACGGCAATATGCTGATAGTAGGATGTAATGGTTCATGATACTCACTTGGATGTTCTGGAGCAGTGACGACATTGTAAAGTCGGGCGCGTAATCTTCATCTTATGACGTGAAAGGCAGCATCGCGTGTGACGCCGATATTTAGACATCACACACTCGTGAACACGTCTGCAACGTCATTCTACCTTCTTTGGAGTTCTAGATTAACCGTGAATGGACTGTTTTCTAACTTCAGAAAAGTGTACTGTGCACCTCGAGTTTCGATTCTGTGATAGAGAGGGGTGCTCCGCTCCTGTGATGGCGCGTGCCGTGTTCAGCTCTTGTTGAACCATCCTCAAGTTTACCGGTGGTGGATCTGTATAACTTCTACGGACTCTATGAATGGCAGCGGCCATTTGGTCGCAATGGCCTTCGATCCCAGTCAAACGTTTATTGAACTGCTGGGCCAACACGCTCGCGCCAACAATATTGTAACGCGCCAATGCTGCTGGAGATGATAGTCGTGATAGCCGATGTCAACGCGTCGGCTGCGTTGACGAGACTTACCATAAATGTGGCCTCATTAGCACCAGCACGTAATCATTGAAATAGACACTTACAACACCGACCTTCGTAGAGCGCCATAACCTCCAAGAATGACGACCGATGAGACGAGGACGCTTCAATTCGCTTAATACATCCTAAACGGTGGACAGAAGACTCGGACATCAAATTGTTGTTGGTCATTCCCTTTTGCTATGTCCGGAATGTCAGCAGAGAATCAAATACGGTGGTCTGACAGACGGAAATAGCGCTAGCGTCGGGGAGATCTGTCATGGTGGGCAACGATGAACCATCGTACTGGTTTTGCAACGTAACGGATGACCAACCACGATTTTAATGCTCTGATGCTCTATTAAGACAGGCCAGTGAACCCGAACCATCCGGCGATTCACCCCCTACAAATCGACGAACATCCGCGCTTGACTTGTAGTCCATCATAGACGAAAACGATGACCAAGTCCGTCGAAGAGTTTTCAACCAAACGCATCGTCTTCGAAACGTCGGTTCCCGTGGACGAAGTGGTCGCGCGCCTCGACAAAGAGCTCAACAGCGACAAGGCCTGGCCACATTTGTTCGAGCTCTTGGAGGGAGTGAAGACTAGGGAGGAGTTGGAACGGGGTTTCCTGAAAGTCAGCGAGGGAAGAGATTTCGTGTACGTGTCCATCATGCTTATATCCTCGTCCTCATTCGCGTGCTTTGAGAGGAACACTCATTGATTGTACGCCCTACAGCCTCTTCGGGAAGTTACCGCTCCATGAGTGGCGAAATGCATACCTCGGGGCCACCGATGGCCCGAAAACATACCAGTATTCGTTTGGAAATCCGCCTGTAGCGCAACCGATGCTACAGCTGGAGCCCTACGCGACGTTACACGTCCCGCTGCGCATGCTTGTCTTGGAGAAGGAAGATAAGACTGGCACGGAGATCGTCTACATGCAGCCGTCGATCAGCTTCGGTGCCCCAAGGAACGGCAAAGTTGACGAAGAGCTACGCGCTATGGCAGAGGAAATTGATGACAAGGTAGAGAGTTTGGTCCGAAGAGTGATTAGTGCTTGATAGTAGTTCTGATGTGGACCGGAGTAACTCCACGTGTAATTCTGATGATCAGTGCCCCTTGCCGTTTCGTACACGTCGCCGAGAACTTTTAACAAGTGAACGCTGTGTTGTGCAGTGAAACGAAGATATGTTCCGAGCAGGTTAGATAAGGCTCTTCATCTTGAGTTCTATGGGCGTTGTTAATGGTTCCGTATAATCCCTTGAAAACCTTCGCAAGGTGAGAGACACGACTCCTTCGATATCGTGATTGGCGACCACCATCCTGAGAGAACCGCTTTTATAGGCATCGGACTTCCCTCGATGTGGGAAGAATCTTGGTAAGGGAGTTCGGGTAGGATCAAATCTCTCGAACAGACTCTTATGCCGACATCCTGCTCCTCGAGAACGCCGAGAAGTGGTGCAAAGACATTTCCACAACAGAGCACGAGACGCTACAACCTCAGTGTTGCTCGAACACTGCGAACCTAAGGCCGCGCCACGAACGTTCAGTGATGCAGGCAACAGTACCTGAGGGTAATTGGTATATCAAGGAAAGGAACACAAGCAGAGACGACTATTTCCGCGATTGCGGGTTGAGCCTAATCGGCGCGCCGTCGGAGATGCGGCAAGGCCAAGGAAGATATGTTCTGGTTGGTGAAGTGCCGAACATAGTAGATGCGCGGGCGGTATGCTGTAGATTCCACTGAGAGACGGGAATTCCGAGCAAACGCGGAAGCACGACCTCGAGCTAAGAATGAGCTTCATTAACAGCCGTCATCAACTATGCGCGTGTAGACCTGCGCTGCAATACCATTTGGGTATGGATGAAGCGTAAGGAAAGCATTCGGGAGGCTTAGTATGTGATCGAACAGTATTTTTTGCGTTATTGGTCCGAAGCTGTGCACGAACTTTGTGCTGATCGGATGCTTTCCGCTTGTGAAGCTTGAAACTTCATATACGTTTCAACTGCTCCACGGAAAAGCAGATGACTGCTCAATAAGGGGTTGGGTACGTGTCCCAATCATCAGCCAACCCAAACAAAACGTTTTGTGAGTGGGAAAAAACACATATGCAGGGAATTATTCTCACCTTATGTTGTGGAGTTTTGCGTGGCTAGCTGAAAACGCACGATGCAAAAGTCTGTCCCGGAGCATCATATTGATGTGCCTCTCGCATTGCTGAACGATCGAAGATGACAAACTTCTATAAGGCTCTTCCCAGTGGTACAATTGCCTCAAGTACATGACATTGAAAATCCTTTCTGCAGCGAAGGTTCGTCCATGGGGAGTTGAGAACACTGGCAGAACAGGCGTTGGCAATGAGAGGCAATGAGTCACTAGAGCTTTATCGTTTCCTGAGCACTAATGAACAGATATTTCTTCACAAAGCTTCGTTTAACCGGTTTTCTTCGTATGCGAAAGACTCACGTTCATGCAGACCAGTCGGCCTTGGATCTAACCGTGGATCCGGACCGTGTTCACGTTGCCAACTTTGAACGTCGCGTACGTTGACGCGTGACGTTGAGTGACGTTGACGCGTGACGTTGAGTGACGTTAAGAACGCCCACTCCGGCGCTTCATGACTGAGCGCCCATTCCCATTTCGATAGACTCCGGACCGGCCCGTAACGACCTGCTTCCGATTCATACTCTTGATCTTATGCATCTTCACCGATAGTTTCTTTGAGATTTCCGTGCAGGCTGTTCACACAACATGGCGACGACAGTGCTCTGCTCAGTGCCGTACCGGCTGTACTTTCACTGGTCGGATAGCGAGGTGGATTGTCGCCTTGCATATCATGCCAGTGTCTTCCCGTCACGGTCAGCGCGCTGCTTGCCAGTGGCGCGTGATTGCATGAACATGTACGGCGAGCTGCGAACAAAGATGCATGAGTCGGACTACCGTATATATACCGTTGCTCATCGCCTGGACGCTCCCCCAATCAATATTCAGTATGCACCTCCGCGGACGTTGCACGTTGCTGCACGCTGGCAAAACCGTCATAGTAGCTAGCACACACCAACGATGGTGCGATCGTTCAACTTTCAACGTTCCAATAGTTCCAATCCACCAAACGCGCTTCCGAACTCGGACGTTTACTGACAAATACAATCTGCCGCCTATTTTTTCTACAGCTCACCCGCGGGTGCCAGTGCTCAGCGCTCAACGTTCAAACGTTCAGCGTCCACCGTTCAGCGTCCAACGCCACTGGCAAGCATGCCCGCTCCGAGCGGTGTACACGGACACAGCAGCCCGAAGCTCTGCAAGGCGTGCATATACAGCAGAAACACTCAAATCGCCTCATGACCCACTTGCACAGACCTCCTTCAAGTTTTTTTTTGCTACCCTACGCTTAGATCGGCTCGCCAGTGTGCAAGCAGAAAAGCGAACAAAAAGCCGCTATCAGGTCGGAGAAAAACCCAACACAACTTGAAGGAGCTCCGGAGAGTCTGAGAGTCTGCTTGCCAGTGTACAAGCAGAGCTTGAGCGAACAAAAAGACGCTATAAAGTCGGAGAAAATTCCAACACTTACACAAGGAGGTCCTGACTCCTGAGAGTCTGAGACCTTCTAGGACTTTTCGGTGTTTGTGTCTGGTCTCAACAACTTGAACTCGAAGCGGAACCTACAAGCCCACGCCAGTGCACGCGGATTCGAGTCTTATTCCGGACCCCGATGCCTGGTGCGTAATGAGCCCTGAGCCCTGAGCCCTGAGCTGTAGCCTGTCCCGTTGTCAAAGCGGGCCCTGGGCAGGGCTGCCAGTGGGAGAGAAGCGGACGGACGACTCCAACTCCTAGTTGCGAATTTAACCGGTGTGCATATCAGAGCCCCAGGTAAACGTTCCACGGAAACCACTGCACACCCCCACCAAACCTGAAGCAACTTGGACAGCGACCCGACCGCAAAAAATGGCCGAAACGCCCTCACGCGCTCACGCACTCACGCACTCACGCACTCGCGGTACCACGCGCGCACATGTACACGTTCATCTCGCTTTCGACATCCGAGTCCGAGCATTATGTACCACCCAGTCCGAATCTAGATCACTACACGATCGACCTAAGCTATGTATATACCCACAAACACCATCACGATATGCAAGAGAAACGAACGACACGGGCGACATCCCCTTCGCCTAATAACAATAATATACTTCACATTTTTCCTTCCTTCCCCTAATCACAACCACGCACTACGCACTACGCACTCTCCCCCCGCTTCTCGCTCTCCCCCCCATCCACCGTACTCGCGCCCAAACTCCCCGGCCTCCCCTCCTCCTCATTGTGTCCCCTCTCCCTCACATCCACCGCCGCCTGCGCACATTTACGCTGCGCGACCTCCCGTCCCCCACCGGGCGCCACCACCCCATCCACCGTCCTCACCTCATCGTGCTCATGCTCACGCTCACGGGGGGCATTCGCATAATCCAGCCCCACATAATCATACGCAAACTCCCCCATCTCCGTATCGTCGATCCCCACGATCTCCGCCTCCTCCGAGCACCGGAACCGGCAGCCCGGTATGAAATGCATGATCCACAGTATCACCGTCTACACCCACGCGTCAGTCGTTTGCACGGGGGGAAAAGGGTGGGAGGGATGAAACGCACGGTCATGACGAACGAGTAGCTCATCCCCGAGACGGAGTCCGCGAGCTGGTACCCGAGCTGGATATAATGATGGTCGAGCCACCCGCCCGGGATGTCCGTCACCCCGTCAAACCCCGCCACGCTCGCCTGCGCGAACAGCCCCGTCAGCACATTCCCCACCACCCCCCCGATCGCGTGCGACGCGAATATCTACGCTCGTCCGTCAGGTCACAAATGGAATACGCGGAGAGCAGAGGGGGGCGCACGTCGAGGCAGTCGTCGTAGCCAAAGTAGAACTTGAGCTGCGTGGCAAAGTTGCAGACGGTGCCGGCCATGAAGCCGAATAGCACGGCCGCGGCTGAGGACGTGTGAGGAGGAGGTCAAGAGGAGATGAGCGGACGTACGCGAGCCGACGAAGCCGGAGCCGGGTGTGATAGCGACGAGTCCGGCGATCGCGCCAGAGCAGAAGCCCACCGTGGACCACTTGCGTTCCAGCCGATAATCCTACCCATCCATCAGCGCCCACATTAACCTGAGAAATGCACGACCGACGCACCCAGAGCATCCACGTAATCCCACCGACGCTCGCCGCCAGATTCGTAACGATACACGCCTGCACCGCCCTCAAGTTCGCGCTCAGCGCCGAGCCGCCGTTGAACCCGAACCACCCGAACCACAGGAACACCGTGCCGAGCACGACGTAGCTCGTGTTGTGCGGCTTGTACGCGAGGCGCTCCGTGCCGTACCCGCGGCGCTTGCCGAGGTAGATGGAGATGGCGAGCGCGGCGGTGCCCGAGGAGATGTGCACGGGGGTGCCCCCGGCAAAGTCGAGCCCGCCGAGGAGGTAGGACCAGCCCGAGGCGTTCCAGGTCCAGCAGGCGATGGGGTCGTAGACGATGGTGGACCAGACGAAGACGAAGATGAGGAGGGGGCCGAGGCGGGCGCGGTCGGCGAAGGCGCCGAGGGCGAGCATCGGCCTGTGCGCGGGTGGGTTAGTGGGGAGGGGAGGGGAGGGAGGGAGACGTACGTGATGGCGGCGAACATGAGCTGGAAGACGCAGAATGCTATTGAGGGGATGCGGGTGCTGCCCACGGAGGGCTTCTCGAGCACGCCCTTGAGGCCAAAGTATTCTAGACGAGAGCGTGAGCGAGCGGTTACGATCTGACCGGGAGGACGACGCTTACGGAGGTTGCCAATGTAGTGATTCGTCGCGGTGTCACTGAATGCTAGCGAGAATCTGCGAGGAGGCGTGAGCGCGAGCAGGGAAGACGAAGGTCAGTGGTTCTTACCCCCAGAAGAACCACTTCGGAGGATTTGCGTTTAGTCAGGCTTCTGCCGAAGAAAGGTAGCGGGCATACCTGGAAAGACACCATGGCTAGTGTCATCATGGACATCCAAATCATGGACAGCGCATTCTTGCGGCGGAGGAGGCCCGAGTAGAAGAACCCGACGCCGGGGATCATGAGCCACACGAGTGCGGTGGAGGCGAGCACCCACGCGATGTCGCCGAGGTTGTAGATGTAGGTTTCGCCCGTGGAGGGATCATACCACTCGAGGTCGCTGGATGCGGCGGTGTAGGTGATGTTGACCATGGCTGGGTGCGCGCGTCGGGAGTGCGCAGGGGCGAAAGTTAGAGGGAGAAGAGGAGACGCGGGCGATTAAAGGGCGGCGGGGGAGCAAGATAGGCAGCCGACTTGGCAGGGAATTAATTCGCAAACGACGGACGGGGGCTGTTATCGTCCAATGAGCGGGCGCGTGTTTATCGAAGTGCGGAAGCGCGCGGCGCGTACGTACGTCGAGACGACTTCCATCTCCTCCGCCTTGCACAGCTTTGCGCCTGCGATACCCACTCGCCCAGGCACACGCCTCCTCTGCGCTCCCCGTGAGGAGGTGAACAGTGCAGCAAAGAGTGGGCGCCTGCCTGTGCGGGGAGCAGATCAGATCGGGTGTGCCCGATTTGATCAACTCAGCGGCGGCGTCCAGCGCTCATCGTGCACACGCAGGCACAACTAACCTCTCCATCTCCCAGGCCTGTCATCCTCGAGCAACGCCGCAAACAGACCATCTCCCACCGTCATCCACGTACGGCCGACGCGCACGTCTGACGCCGCTTTCAGCTTCTCCGCTATCTCTCGTCCTCGCACTGCCCGACGCATCCGATTATCCACCCGAAACCCTCGGCTACGCGCATGAAACTCGATCACGCAGGCCCTTATCTCTCTCCGTCGCACGCCCGACCACCGATCGAGGCGTGGCCGACGCCGGCACGCAAGACGGCGCCGTTACCCGGTCTTGCAAATCCCCTTATCTCGCTCCTCGCGTCGCGCACTAGCGAATTTCATTTCGTCCCGCGTACGGTGGCCCCTTACGGTGGAGCGGACGAACCTGGGATGCCAAAGCTCGAGTCGCTGCTGGGTGTGGCCAGGCGTCGGTGATTTCACCCGAGTGTTGCTCATCGTGCGAAGGCAGGGAATGCGACCGTGCGCGCCTTCTCCGTTTATCGGGCGGGTCGATGCTTTTCAGTATCGTGGCCGCGTGATTCTCGAGGGAAGAGTGGTCAATTACAGTAAAGGGCGAGGAGCCATCCACGGGGTACCACCACTCTAGCCCTCATCGACATCCAACCGAACGAACAACCGAAGATAAAAGCTTATATGAGACGCCTATCAAGGTCTGCACGGACTCACCTAACCAATGACGTAGTGCGCCATGGACCAGCGATCGTCTTCCCGAAGCTCATCTCGTTCTACACCGCATCGCACACACCAACTTCCAGAATTCGAATGGAAGCGCGTCCCGTTTCTGGTGTGCTCGCACTCGAGACGCGTGCGACAGCCAGCTGGATATTGGTCCTCACATGCCAGCGATCGTGATGGGTCGCGTCGCCCTTGCCCAGGGCACGGTAGACGTCCCTGGGGACTCGTAAAATCCAGCACGTGCGCTGGCATAAACTCCTAGCACGACTCACACCATGTACATCTCTTCCGCATCACGCTTCAAGATTGTCGCATCCCCACGGGGAATCAACACCATCCTGGCCCTGTATACCGACGCAATCCGAACGAGTAACCAAAGACGCTTCGCCTTCACCAGGACGGTAGAACACCTACCAAAGTCTACGCGAAGCCTGATCTCGGCTGGCCAGGGAAATCCCCGAAGCTCATCTCGTTCTGCACCGCTCCCAGAATCCGAACGGAAGCGCGTCCCGTTTCTGGTGTGCTCGCACTCGAGACGCGTACGACAGCCAGCTGGCAGGATCCACGGTTTCTACACGCACATGCCAGCGATCCTGCGCGTGACGCGTCGTCTCGCGCTCACGTATAGCGTGTCACTTTTCACTGGGCGTGCCGGACGTTCTGGGAACTTATTAAACTAGCATGTGCGCCTGAATGTATTTCTGAGCAAATTCACACCATGGCCATCTCTTCCGCACCATGCTTCGAGGTTACCATTGCCACAAGCTCATTCTGAGCAAAGGGCACGTCATGCCGCAGCGGGAAAGAGGTCCTCACGATCAAACTGCTTATGTACTGTACAAAGACTCGTCATGCGGCTGTCAGGCACCACCTGAGGCCAGCGTCTCACGTACGAATGATACATCACCTGGCGACCTGCATTGCTATCTTACCATTCACCCGAACACTCACATCGGCAAAAGGGAACAATGTCGCTCGCGCTCACGATTCTCAACGTAATCGCAGCACCAGCACCGATCACGCAGTCTGAGAGCAGGACACACGCTTTGGCCCGAGAGCTTCAGTTGTGTGGCTGGCATTGTCTGAGCGGAATGACAGCTATGATCATGGCCGTCAATGTGTTCATGTCTAGTAGGCTATGCGATTATCCTCCACCTCCTCCGGAGCATCGGTAGCACCACTCCACGCAAAGCCTCCAATCGCGAACCCACCATCCCTCCTCATCCCCCATCCCTCATCGATCATCCACTCTCACTGCGAAAACCTTGCCTACAATCCACGCACAACCACGTGAGCCGGACATCTCACCCATCATCATCACCACAATAAACCCACTCACCCGAAGGTACGCCCCCTTGACCTGCAGCGCAGGCACGATAAGCAGGAACAGCGCAGCCACGATCGCCGCCTCGACGCCAAACGTCTGCAGCGCCCCGTCCTGCGTCGCCCACGGCACCTGGAAGTAGTCCACCGCGAACCCGCCGAGCGTGCGCGCGAGGTTGACCAGCGCGGAGATCTCGCCCTGAGCATGCGGCCAGTCAGAGGCCATGGCCCGTGCTCGATCTCATTTCGCTACCCGCGAGGGACGCACCTGTCTGTCTGGAAAGCAGTCATTGCAGTATGCGTCTAGCGTGGGCGAGGTGGGCGTGAGCATATCAGAGACGATGTGGCTGCGCTCACACACTGCGACAGTGCAGAACACCACGACGCACTGCGCGATGCCCCAGCCCAGCACGAGACCCGCGATGCTCAAGCGCTCCATCGACGCCCCGAGCACGATGAACCCCGCGACGTACAACAGCACCGAAACATAACACGTCCTGCCGCGCCACAAAAAATCAAAACATTCGGCTAGTCCGCACAAGAACAATCATCACATGCACACACCACAAACGCATCTCGGCCTCGAACACGCCTTTATTCCTCCGGATACACACCTCCATGATCCAGTCGTTGAGATAGTGCCCGATCTGCTCGCCTAGCAGGACGGCGACCTGCGCGCTCGGCGTCGGCTTACGAGGACAAGGCGCGTGGGTATGCTATGAGGGACGTACGATGGGGGTGCCGTAAGTGCCTGCGATGGCGTATTCGCTAAAGCCGTATCCTTTAGGTGGCGACTCGGCGAGGAAGACGGCGGTCGTGGTCTAGGACGTATCAACCGTCAGCATACGGGAATACGAAGTCATCGCAGGAGAACCTCACGTTGATAGCAGTCGTGAAGCCAAAGATGACCCCCTTACGATCCAATACACCCGCCAATGAGAAGAAGAAGCCACTTCTCCGAAAATTATGAAAACACACCTCAAAGACCAAGATGCTCAGAATATGCGGACGCCACGCCAAGTTTGCACACGCGAGCACCACCGGCTTCCACGCCGTCCGGAAGCGCGCCATGCGCCATCCTGTGATCCCGACCAGCGTCTCGATGCGATATCGCAGCCGCGACTTCGGTCGTGCGATAGGGTTCGGCTTTGGAAGGGAGCGGTCGTACATCCTGAGTCACGTAAGTGCAGATACGGACACTCGCTGGTGAGTGATCGTTTGTGGGGTGAAGAGAAAAGCATAGACTGACGTTTCGGCGCCGAAAAAGAGTATTAGGAGCACGACGATCGTGGTGTAGAATGAGCCGACAGCGTACGTCCAGCGCCAGCTGTTGATGGCCGGCGCGACCCAAGGAGATGGCATCATCGTCAGCTAGAATCGATACGCGGATGAGCGGTGCGGTGCGTACTTCGCACGTGCGGCGAGGAATCCCAAGGCAAACGGGGCGAGGAACGGAGAGATGATGAACCCCATCGTCCAGACGTTGAGCTGCAGCACAGCACCATGAACACACGTTCGCGCGATTCGCCATGCAAGAATCAGAACGTACCTTCCGGGCTTGAAGGTGGAACGGGTACATGTCGGTGACGGCGAACAGACCCTGTCAAGAATACGAACGAATGCACTAGGTGAAAAGAGAGCCGAAGACGCACTGTGACCTGCGGGGTCGTTCTAGCGTCCTCCTTCAGTGACGGCTGGTCGCATACGGACAATGAGTTCTGACACTTACCCGAAGAACTCCATCAAGCAACGCATAGCTTCAGAATGCAGTCAGCAAAGTTCTTGTTGCAACGTGACAGTCTCGAAGCCGACCTGTGAAGGTATTCAAATTTGGAGAGAAAGTACACCCGACGACGAACGCAAGCGCTAGAACCTAGTAGAAAAGATACGTCCCGGTCGGCAACAGCGGGGATGATGCGGAGCTCGAACGTTACCTGTGACCAGAAGAGCACAGGGAGTCGTCCGTAACGACGCATCAACATGACAGCGAAGATACTGCCCCATCCTGCAAAAGGCACAGCCATGAAGCGCGATGCAAGAGTTAGGATGATAGGATAATCAGGCTGCGCACCGAGGAGGAAGATACTCCAGCTAGGATCGTTCAGAGAAACATGGTGCAGATCGTCAATACAAGAACGAAACGTCAATTGGAGCGGCGTACTTTGATGTCAAATTGTTGATCACGCCGGTTGTGGTGTCAAATCGCTCCGCCAATTGGAAAAGCGCTGCGATGCCTTCCTCACATCATATGAGAAAACGCTTTCACGACAGGATGTTGCGACATACCAATAGCACCATCAAAGTCCGGAACAATAGCTGCGAGAGTGATTATAAACAGCTGGAGGCTCTTGCGACCATCAGACCACTGTTCGAGGAATCAGTTTGAATCTTTCATTGTACAACAGAGGTCCTGACATTCTGCGGATCTTCTGGGTCATCTCTAGGCTGGGGCCATAGCACCTTTGAACCATCCTTCGACAATTTCAAGTGCCTCGCAACTTCCTCTCCAAACTCCACTTTTGCTTCTCTGCGAGGAAGCTTGATCGTCAGAAGGATACCGACAAGATACCACAACGCAAAGCGCACTCTGGATCAATCACCAGCCGTCCAGCGTTCCGTTCATGGTAGGTGAAGATCTCCAGCTCCCATTGAGCGCCGAACGTCGGGCTGTCAGCTCCCTGCACATCGACTTCCTTGACGGCAACCTCTTCCTTGTCGACGATCTCGGCGCTGCGAGTATCAGTGCTGGAGTGCTGGAGCTCGAAATCGGAATGGGTCATGACGCGGACGCCTCGGTGGGATTACGGCTGCAACATTGGGATCACAGAGCTCCTGTTATCAAGTCTGATTGAAACCCCGTTACCGCGGAGCAAGGGGGGATCGACCACTCCGTCTGGGGTGCCTGGCCGTAATATTGGGTACGAGCCCTGGCAGCGTACGCGACGCCCTGTGATTCGCGAACATCCTTGATGGGATGCCCCAAGGAGATTGGTAGCCACTGTGAGACTATCCGCAGCTCGTGGAGTACCCCACATCGCATATCAGCTTCTGGACTTCCGCGTAGAGCTCATGTGAGACGGAGGAAGACGGACGCGAGCGCGAGTCCTGCTGCCCAGCATCACGTGTGCTCTTTCCGTCCAATGATGAGGAGGAAGAAGCTCAAGTTTTAAAGTGTTCGAATTGACTGTCTATGCAGCGTTTCTGGGCGTGTAAGCGGGAACTAAGCGGGACGATCACAGGACCTCATTCTCCGAACATCTACCGTTCTACCCCGGCTTTGACGATGCAATCGCGCGAAAAAGCGTAATGTATCTTGCATTTGAATGCGCATCGCCCGTGTAACTCTAGGAGAACCAGGAATGAGATCTGAGACATCGCGCCTTGGCCAGCGGTGATTTAGTCGCGCACATCCTCGCGACGACAGAACGTTTATAGCTGATCGGTTGCCTGCTGTAAGACATGAGAACCGCTTGCTGGACCGAGTCTCCCAGGTTGCTCGCGTGAAGTCATTGTACGCGAGCACCTGAATACTAGCTCTGTCATTCTTCTGCATACCATTGTTTAACCTCCGTTGGTCCAGCAGGTCAGATCGCGAGTAAATGAATGTCCGTATTCGCATTGAAATGATCATCGCGTCCCTTGCGATAGCAGGTTCAATATGCTAGGTATGATTAATCTCACCGTCCGGTTCAGCAGAGCACTGACGTCACCATGTTGTATAAACAGCCTAGCGTGAAATTCAAAGAGAAAATATCTGTGAAGATGCATAAGACCAAGGGTACAAAGCGGAAGCGACTGTGAAAACGCATTGACGGTCAGGCATGTCAAAATGGGCGCTTGGTCACAAAGCGCCGGAGCGAGCGTTCAAAACGTTCAACGCAACGTCAACGTCCGGATCCACGTTAGATCCAATTTTAACTGGTCCGAACGAACATTACTTTTTCGCATATGAAGAAAACCGGTTAGATGAGGCCTTGTGACGAAATATCTGTTCATCTACTCAGGAAACGGTAAACGGTAAAGCTCCAGTGACTCACTGCCAACGCCTGTTCTGCTCTCACTTGTTGCATTGTCTCTCGGTTACGTACACAGAATAGCAAGGGGCACTGATCATCACGAATTACACATGGAGATCCCTTCCGGGCCCTACCACTTGAACTACTATCAAGCACCAATCACTCTTACGACCAATTTCTCCATCTTGTCATCAATATCCTCTGCCATGGCGCGCATCTTTTCGTCCACTTTGCCGTTCCTCGGAGCAGCGAAGACGAACGATGGCTGCATGTAAACGATCTCCGTTCCGCTCCTATCTGTCTTTTCCAAGACTACCATGCGTGGCGGGATGTGTAGCGCCGCGTATGGTTCCAGCTGCAGCATCGGTTGCGCCAAAACGGGATTTCCCAACGTATATTCGTATATCTTCGGACTATCGGTGGTCCCGAAGTATGATTTTTGCCCCTGGTGGAGCGGTAGCTTCCCGAAGAGGCTGCAGAACGTACAATCAATGAGTGTCCCTCTCAATAGCACGCGAATGAGGACGAGAATGTATGGCGGCCACCTACACGAAGTCTCCTCCCTCGCTGAGTTTCTGAATACCCTGTTCCAGCTGCTCCCTAGTCTTCACTTCCTCCAAGAACTCGAGCAAATGTGGACCAGTCTTATCACTGTTGAGCTCTTTGTCGAGGCGCGCGACCACTTCGTCCACGGGAACCGACGTTTCGAAGACGATGCGTTTGGCTGTGAACATTTCAACTGACTTGGACATCGTTTCTGTCTATGATGGTCTATCGGTTAGACGTGGGTGTTTGTCGATATGTAGAGGCGAGTCGCCGCAACGGTTTAGATTCAGAGGCTCTGTTATAAGAGTACAAGAGCGCTAAAGCCGTGGTTGGTCATCCGTTTTAGTGCAAAACCAGTATCATCCTTGCCCACCATGGCTCATTTCCCGATACTGCGCTATTTCTATCTATTGGCACACTGTTTTCGATTCTCTGCTGACATTCCGGACCTGGCAAAAGATAATGACCAACAACAATTTAATGTCCGAGTCTGCTGTCCACCGTGTTCGGTTCCACATCAGGAAAACTCAAATCGACTTGCGGCTCGAGAACCTCCTTTTTGACTTGTTCTTACTGTTATTGGCTTGTACAAGCGAATAAGTGCACAATGAGAAGCTTCCAACCCAGAAAAAAGTTTCAAGAAAAGAAGTTCCTGGGACTTTCTCGAGCTTACTGTCTTTTTTGGCGACGGCAAGCAGATAGAAGTGTCCTAAGCCGGATCTGAGCATTTTCCTGATGCGTTGGACACGAGCGCGCTCGTTGTAGAAAAAATATGGGGCAGGTTGTAAACGTCGGGGACGTTTTTCGTGGATTGGAACGATCAGAGCGCAGTAGGTGCGGTGCTAGCTGCTACGTTTTTATGCACCAGCGCGGAAACTACGCGGAGGTGAATATTGTATGGGGAGCATCCGGGCGAGTGAGCAATATTGGTATATGGTAGCCCACTGATCCAATTCTTCTTCTTCGTTCGCAGCTCGCGGTATATGCAATCATGCGCCACCAAGTGCGTGCCTCTTTGTGCCGGGAAGACGTCATGGCGTCACGATCGGATCGATCGAGCTCACTGGAGCACCCGTCTCGGTTGGACAGCGTTGGCCATGGGCGGCATTGTTGGCATGAAAGCAATATTTCTAGCCCGGAAGAAAATCTGAACATGCTTGTTTCCGCTTGAGTCACGATTATCTCCATGCATATTACTTCATTTCTCTCATGCTATGTGATCCCATTCACCACCAACTCGGACGTCACAAGAAATCTCGGAGATAATCTTGACGGCAATGAACTTTCGTGTTTACGACTATACGGTCAAGAGACACACGTTGTCTTGAGCTTCCTGGACGCCTTCTGCTAAGCTAGATGTCCTCCATATCATATTATCCACCAGACATTCAGCCTTTGACTGCATCAATAGTACGTTCGACCGTCAACAATGACAGAAAAGCGGTCTGAACGAAGCACCTGAGAAGGCAACCCCCAAGCCGATTCTGCTCATCTGTGTGGTTCAAGCTGTAACGACAGCTTGTCGCTTCCTGAACAATACCCTTGCATCACGCGCGGGCAAAACGCTATGCCACAATGTCCAATTAGCTGGCCGAGTCATCGTACCTATCAACTTCACGTCGTAGTTTTGAGAATGATGTGTGCCATCATAACCTTCAGTTCGTTCGCTGCGAAAAATCGTCCAGGGCTGCGCAATTAACCGCAGCTAATTAGCGAACGATTCGAGGAGCGGTCCAAGGCTCGGCATAGACATACCAGGCATGTTTCCCATGGCCGAAGGGGATGTATTCAGGTGAGGTGCTAACAAACTGATGCTTCATCCGCTCGCTCTCCTCTGCGCACATATCGGAGAATCGGAACGGCTCGAATACGTCTGCGCGTTTATAGTGCTTCTCGTCATAATGGGTGGCGAGAGCTGCCCCGGCGACGAGAGTGCCCGCGGGAAGATAGGTTCCATCAGAGAGGGTGTAATCTTGGAGGACTTTATTGCATCACGGCGACTGAAGGGAACGGTCGGTTGGCACCCACTGTGAATGATCGCGGTGGAAGGTGGACTCACTGGAGACTATACTGTTGATCCGCTGCGACTCCCGCATGAAACTGTCTAATTTCCACATCTTGCCGACGGCGACTTTCGACCATCCCTGTTCCTTGACGACTGCCTCAATTTCCTCTCTCATCGGCTGCATGCATTCTGGATTCGCAGCTAGGTGGTAAATGGCGTGCGTAATGCTCTGATAACAATAGCTTAGTAGCAGCAAATTCGATTGCGGCGTCATTGAAGGCGCACATTGCTGGAGGAATCAATAGCCGCGAAGTTGGAGAACAGCATCGCCGAGACGACGACATCCGGCGATCCACCCGTTTTCTTTGCTTCGTCCATCAACTACATCAGATAGTCGTTCTACAGCCATCGCAGTGTGAGGTCGAAGCAGGCCTGACTCGGGGTGCGAGCGGATAACGTACGGGTTTGTCGGCCCATCCGTCTCCATGCTCTAGGAAATTGCGCAGGCGCTCCTCAATGATCGGCTTTATGAAGACCCCTACTTGGCTGGTTGCTCTTTTGGACCACGGGAGCATACTGCCGACAATGCTGGGCAACAAGCGGTGTCAACTGCAAACAAACATCACTTGGCATCCATGCACAAGAATGTACCCTTTGAACAGCTGAGGAACGTATGAGAGAATCATCCGCCCTTTGCTGACATCGACTGCGAAATTGACGACGGTGTTGAGGTACTCCTCGTTCCGGCCTACACGGTATAGTCGGCCAAGTCAGCGAGTGCCAGTGAGCATGATGACCACAGGCTCCGAAAAGGATACTTACAGAAAGGAACACCAACGAACACCCGATTTGTCACATGAGCCACGATTTTCTGCATGGAACGAATGACGGGAACAGCGACCCATTCTACGTTCACACGCGTTTCGTTAGAACGTCACGGATCCTGGTGAACACAAGTACTCGCCATCGCTTTGAACAGGGAGCACCTCCTTGAATGCGGCTTGTACTTCGTCTACGACATCCGCGAAAACAGCTCCCAGATTGCGCGTTAGCGGACCGTGAATGGCCGCCATGTGAATTGGATACTTGTCCGCATCCGGCGCGATGGTATACTTAGTTTGGAGAAACTAGCGGGAACATGGGTGTCCATCAGCAGCCGATGAACAACCCCCGGGAAACAGAGGAAGACTAGCAACGGACCTCCCGGGATGCTTCCTCGAAATTCATGTGTGAATTTGGGACTTTGCACAATTCCTCGTTCATGTCCGAACCACTGACGACGACGAGCCAATGGTCGACCGTGGCCACCTTAAACACCTTGTACTGGACATCATGCGATGCGATTAGATGGACGACTCATGCTACATATAACGCGCTACAGCGCGGTGGTGCAACGGGTGACCGGAAAGGTCAGCGCGGCTGTCACGCCTGCAGCTACTCGACACGGAGTTCCCGGAGAGTCC